ATATAATAAAGTATTTCTTATCGAAACCTATTGTTCATGGTAGAGTTGGAAAATGGGCGTTGGCTTTAACAGAATATTCTCTAATTTATAAACCATTAAAATCTGTAAAAGGCCAAGTTGTTGCTGATTTTGTCGTCGATCATTCGATTCCAATCAAAGAAGTTGATTTTATAAATTTAAAGTTATGAAAATTATACTTAGATGGTTCAAGCCACAAAAACGGAATTGGAATTGGAATACTAATAATCTCACCCAATGAAATCCCCACTAAATTACTCTTCAAGATTAAATCAGCTTGTTCAAACAATGAGGCTAAATATGAAGCTTTAGTAGCTGGACTTGAAATACTATTAAATTTTGGGGTGTAATCATTCGAGGAGATTTTGAGTTAGTAATAAAACAACTAACCAAAGAATATAAATGCTTAAGTAGAAACCTCGTCGAATATTGGGTAAAAGCGAACAAGTTATTACAAAAATTTGATGAAGTTATTCTAGAACATATTCCTTGAAACAAAAACCAGGAGGCCAATGAATTAGCCCAAATTGCCTCGAATTACAGAATTTCAAGTGAAAACCTTGCAAAATTAACAGAGATAAGGGAGAAGTTAGGATCAACAAACCTTGAAATCCTAAACATAAATGATTTAACTGACCAAGATTGGAGGAAACCTCTAGTCAATTATCTCAAGGATCCCAACATTTCAACTGATTGAAGAACAAAATTTCGAGCAATTAATTATATAATTTTGGTTAATGAATTGTATAAAAGGGGTGTTGATGGAACTTTACTTCGATGTCTCAGCGAACATGAGGCTTACATTGCCTTAGCTGAAATCCACGAAGGAATCTGTGGAGCTCATCAAGTTGGAGAAAGGATGAAATGAATGTTGCTTCGAGAAGGGTTGTATTGGCCCTCGATGGTTAAAGATTGTTTTGAATATGCAAAATCCTGTGAGGAATGTCAAAAACATAGTAATATTCAACATGTTCCTATCTCAGAATTGCATGCAATAATTAAGCCATGGCCTTTTCGAGGCTGGGCTTTGGACCTAATTGGCCAAATTCATCCTCCTTCGACAAAAGGCCATAAATACATTATTGTAGCTGTCGACTATTTTACGAAGTAGGCTGAGACAGTTCCATTGAAAGAAGTTACTCAGAGTGATGTTGTTAATTTTATCGACGAATACATAATTCATCTATTCGGTATACCAGTACCAAGGAATTGTTTTTGTCGGTCGAAAAGTAACTCAATATGTTGAGTTATTGAATATAAAAATGATAACTTCGACACCATATTATGCTCAGGCCAATGGTTAGGTTGAGGCAGTAAATAAAATTCTGATCAAATTGATTAAAAAGCACATTGCATCAAAACCGAGAAATTGGCATGACACTTTAAGCCAAGTGCTGTGGGCATATAGGAATTCTCCAAATGAGGTCACAGGAACAACCCCATTTCGACTTGTTTATGGCCATAAAGCCGTTTTACCTGTTGAGGTAAATCTACAATCAGTTAGATTACAGCGGCAGTTCGAGTTACCAAGTGAAGATTACTGGGCCTTAATGTTCGATGAACTGAATGACCTAGATGAAATTTGTTTGAGTGCCTTAGAAAAAATGATTCAACAAAAAGAAAGAATTTCAAGGTCATACAACAAAAAAGTGCGAGGCAAGTTGTTTAATACTGGTGAATTAGTGTGGAATGTAATGTTACCGTTCGACAAAAAAACAAGAAAATTTGGAAAATGGTCGCCCAATTGGGAAGGCCCTTTCGAGATTGAAAATGTGTTTTCAAATAACGCGTATTCAATTCGAGAACTAGGAACTAATAGTCGAATTATGTCGATTAACGGTAAATACTTAAAAACATACAAACCAGAGATTCATGAAGTTAAAATAACTTGAAGTCAGGCAAATAAAAAGCTAATTCAAACAATAAAAGGCCAAATAAATAAATTTCATTCAAACTAGAATTCGAGTATGTACAAAGAGGCCTAAATACTAGAATTCAAAGAAAAATACATAAAAAATCAAAAAGGAGGCTTCGAGCGCATTTCAGTGTAAACGGTCCTCAAATTTTGATATCTAGTTTCAAGGGTCGTGCATTATGCATTCAAACTCGAAATGTCTTTCATAGCTCGAGCCCTCTCAATAGTCAGGGTCTTCACATTTTCTATGAAGTTTTGTCATTTCTTTTCACAAGCCACACCGGCCTTTTTCAGCATTTCTAACTCTTTTCGAGCTCTTTCAAGTTGTTTCTCCAAATCAGCAATTCTAAAATTTTCTAATTAAATATAAGAATAAAAATATTAAAATTTCATAAACCTGAGATGCAAATATTTTGGGGGGCATCTGTTTGGGATAAGGAAAATTTTCTAAGTTAAAAATCATCTTGAGGGAAACTACATTTCAACAAGTTTTGAGGGTCAAGAAGGAGTCAAAAAATAGGCCTAAACATAAGGAAATATTGAAATATTATTCAAGACCTTTAGTTTTATTAAAAGGGACACATTTCGAGCTATTTTAGGAAATTTTTTGTCACATTGTTGATTTTTCTCTAAGCTGCTTGAAAGACAAGAAAATATTCTAAGTCCACAAAACTAAAGGTTTTTTCGAGGAGTTTCCAAGTCACTGACACCCAAAACTGCTCGAAAAATAGGACTGACAAGAAAATATTTTAAGTCCACAAAAACTGATGGCTTTTCGAGGCATTTTGAGGAGTTTCCAAGTCTCTAACACCCAAAACTGCTCGAAAAACAGGAAGTGGTTAGAAAATATTCTAAGTCCACAAACTTGGTTGAACTCCAGATTTCCTCCAGAATTACTCGAAAAACAGGAAGTGGTCAGAAAATATTCTAAGTCCACAAACATGGCTGAGCTCCGTCCCTCCAAAATTGCTTGAAAAACAGAAATGAGCAAAGAAAATATTATAAGTCCATGAGATCAAGACAAGCTCTTAAGACCCCAGAATTAGTCGAAAAGAGAAGGCAATGAGAAATTATTCTAAGGCCATAAACTAAATGAGCTTCCTAAGACCCTCCCAGAATAACTCGAAAGACAAAAATTGACTTGAAAGGTTAAGTGCAAAAGCAATTATTAGCAGTTACCAACACTGGACAAAGGTTCAACTATGCAAAGAAAAGATCGTGGGTGATAACGATTACCAGCAGTTACCGACAGCACGATCACAAGCAATCGTGTATAATGGATATAACAATTGAAGGCAGTTACTAAGAAGTGCCCGCAAAAGGAGGAGGACGGTGGTGATCTTCCTGCCTATAAATACCCCAAAGTGCCATTCTACAAAGGACGACTTTTTGCACCCTAACACCGCACTTAAATTTTCTGAAACGCTGAAACCCTGCACCGTGCCAAACACCAGCTACAAGGAGACACACGGTAGTCGTTGTTCGCCGTTGTGAGGAGTCGTATGTTTACATTCCAGCATATTTACATTTCCGTACCTTTACATTCTGCATTTCAATTCAAGTTTCTTTGTTTGTTTGCTTTTGTTCTTGTTTCTGCAATTCGTTTCCTATTTCATACTTTTCTATAACGAACCTCTACGTTGTGATTCAGTTTTACGCATTTCATATTCACTATTCGTGCTAAATTGCTTAATTTATGCGTCTATTTCATTGTTACGTTAACAACACACTTAAAAGAACACAAAGAGGACCTAATCCAGTCCCCTGATTAATCTTTGGATTATTTGTTTACAAACTGTCATTTTTTACCATAAATAATGACTTAAAATCATTTTAACATATTTCAGTAAATTATATTACAATTAAATTTACTTAACTTCAAAACGGATGAGCCCACAAATGACATCACTGACAGATTGTTATATTTGTACTTCTTTCCATTTATATGAATATAATTACAAACTTCATTTTTTCCTAATGCGAAGAACATATTGTGTACGGATGTGGTTTAACGGAAGAAAACTATGAATGAAAAATTAAGCTTAATTTTGAATAATGATTTTCACCATTATTGTGTGTCTAAAACTATTTTTTCATGAGAAAAATTCTCTCTCTCTCTCTCTTACCATTTAAAATGAGAATAGTTTTTATTTTAAAAATATTAAATAATAAATCATAATCATATTTATGCATGAATGATCATTATAAAAAGTTAGTGGTTATAAGCCTACTTAAAAAAGTTACATATTTTTTTTCTTTTAATCTTACTCATTTAAATAATATTTGAAGATTAATATTTTTTTATTGTTTATTAAGCATTATATGACCACATAGAAAAATTTACATAATTTTTTATATTTTAATGTATTTAAATAAAATTTAATGATCAATATTTATTTATATTTTTCATAATAATCAAATGCTCTCATATGACATCCTTGTTGTGCATGGCGTAAATTATTATTATTATTATTATTTTGTTGTTCCAAGGGTATTCTTTCGTCTAAGCCTGAATTAATTTATTATCAATGAGTTGGGCTTAAGCGAAAATGGGGCTATTGGTTGGGTCTGAGATGAACTTTCAACCCAGTTAATAATTAATAAATGGCCCAAAGTTGCCCAAAAAGGGAAATTATTTTTTACACTGCCGAAAATTCCAAAAATTTCATTTCAAAAGTGATTTATACCCTTCTAAAATTAATTTTTCAGGATATATTAAGCTCTCTTTTAAAAGTTTAAAAAAAATATAAAGAGAGTAATTTTTATTAAAAATGATAAAATATCACTAAATTTAACATATAAATAATATTAAACATTAAAATTTTAAATAAAAATGTATTATGTATTACTTTTTTATTATATTCATTTTATTACGCATTAAAAAATCCAAAAAATTAGTCGATATAATTTTTCAAAATTGTAAAAATCAAACGGGAACATAAGCAGTGAAACGTTTCGGAGCAGATTGGTTGAATCGAACCCGGGCTCTACCCAAAGCAGAGGAATAGAGGTTAGATGCCACGGTTTCTCTTCACCCGATTTCATTTACATTTTTTAATTTTGAAATTTACAGAGGTAATCAATTAATCAGTTAATAAATTAAAAGCAGTAGTAATGTCTGATTGTCCTCATCATCATCATCATCGCATTCCTTTTCTTCTTTGTTCTTCCAATTTCCGTGTCTCCATCGTTTTGCGCGTTTCATCATAACCCTCCCACTTTCACAAATTCAATTCTTTTAAGGATTGGTTCTAAAATCTCGTGGCCGTTTCTCGAATCGAATCGACGCAAAGTTTTCAGTCAAATTAGTTCTGGCTTTGAAGTAGCTCTCAAATGGAAGCGGATTTCATGATGAATGATATGCTCACACTCACCCACGGTGCTTTCGATGCCAACGATATTGTGAGTTCATCGCTCTCTTCTACATAATACGTATCAGCTCACTTCCTATCATTCAACATTTACACTTTCTTCATTTTGGATATGAAATGCTGCTTAAACCCTCACTTACGCTTATTTTTGTTATATTTTTCGTAATTTTGATGATTTTATGCCAGCTTAAATTTCAATTTCACGTGTAATGTTTGAATGATGCACATACTGATTGGTTGCTTGTGGTATTTGTTTCACTTGAACACTTGGTATTTCTTAATTAACAGGATGATGTAGCTATTGAAGGAGAAAGGTGTGGAATATGTATGGACATTGTTATTGACAGGGGAGTTCTGGATTGCTGTCAGCACTGGTTTGTGTTTTCTCTGTAACTTCTTAAAGGCTTAAAACATGTGTTCTCTCTCTTTGTAATCGTTGGTTGGGTAGTGTCATTGTGTTTTATGGGTTCTGCCTTACATACTCATCTGCTGAAATGACAGGCTTAACTCTTATTATTCATTGTGCATTTTGGGGAAACAAAGTGTCATTTTCTCGTAAATAAAATCTTAACCAGACGTGCTAAGTGGGTGCAAGTCATTGTTGGACTTAGTTTTGATTGAACCGTGAAGCTCAGTCAAATTAACTAAAGCTTATTCGCACTTGGTAAATTTTTATGTTAGAACAAAAAGGGGATAGATTACACTCTCCGCCCCTAAGGGGTTCTTACACTGCCTTACCCTTTAATTTTAAGAATTACACTTTCCTCTTTGGAGAGATGAAATGTAATATACTTTAGTCTGTTTCAATGTAAATAAACCTTTTAGTGGTGATGAGTGGCTATGGATGAGCCTTCTCTGCAGTTTAATTATCATCGACAATTAATTTTGAACATCTTTACTGACAATGGACTTTAGAAGGTAAAATGATGTTTTAATCGCATTTACTATCAACTTTGAAATTGCTGAATTTAGAGGAGGAGAAAGATAGGACAGGATGATTTAGTGAGAATTCTGAATGAGAGTGCTTTCTTATTCAGGAGAATGTGTTTCATTGGTTATGCAAGACAGCCATGTGTATAGATTCTTAATGGACTTTGTGGAGACTATTTACTCGGCTAATATTAATTGAGTGCAATTTCCTTGACACTAGAACCCATGAACACTGGATGCATTTTAACATGAGATACATGAACGTACGAAGCGCATTAATATTATTATTTCCAACATTTTCCCTCAAGGTAAAGCTTACTAAGAATGTTTTTGTGAGAATTCAGAATGACTATGATTACGTATTTAAGAGAATGTGTACAGAGATTATGCAAAACTGATAGATAGACTCTTAACAGGCTTAATGAATACTATTTGTAGGCTATGATACATTCCTTTACATTAAAATGGAATAAAGTGTAACAAATATTAGTTTGCATATTGAGTTTGTTATGTTAAATTATCATTGTTTACCCTCTGCTTGGTCCCATTAAATGTTTTTTTCCCGTCATTTTTTAGTATGTGTGTTGAAATATGAATCTGATATTTTAAGCTTGGTTCATTTGTTCCACAGGTTCTGCTTTGTATGCATTGACAACTGGGCCACCATCACTAATCTCTGTCCACTCTGCCAGAATGAGTTTCAGTTAATCACTTGTGTTCCAGTGAGTGATATAAAATTGCAGAATGCTACTTTTTCTTCATTGCTTTAGTATAACTCTTCAGGTTACAATTGAATTTGCACACCTTACTGATTCTGTTCTAGACCATTTACTTGTTTTGATTATTACTACTATGAAAATTTTATGTTTTGAATGCATCTAATACTTTGAAAATACTGTTAAAATTTGATGCATGCCTAAACATACGAAACTCATGATTGTGAAGGTATATGATACCATTGGAAGCAATAAAGTTGAAGATGACGTGTTCTTCAGGTATCCCTTCAGTATGTCTGTATGATTGACAGCCTTATTTTCATTGGTTGTTAATATTCACATTTAAGCATGGGGAGTTTCAGAATTGGTGTTTAAATTTTAAGTCATGAATTTTGCGTAGTTCTAGCCATCCATCACTATTGTTGAATTTTAAGTAAATACTTCACAGTTTTATTACTCAAATTTGAGTAAATGCTCTACAGTTTTAACACGTTTCTGCTGTAAAAAATTATGTAATCTGTTATCTGTTTCCTTTCATTATTGCAGAGATGATGAGTGGTCCATTGAAGCAAAGAATAACACGCTTTCATTTCCCTCGTACTACATTGATGAAAATGTAATTGTTTTCCATATACTATAATTATAGAATTCCAAGCAAAAAATATTGACCTCTGGTTAGTTCAGATCAATTGCAACCTAGCTTCTGGCTTTTGTTGTACTTTGCATGAGCACACTTCCTATGTACAAAAATCTTTTGATTCTTATCATAAGTTGATTGCTAGTGTTCTCTAAATGTCTACACATTTTTGGAGTCATACTGCACATACAACTTTTGGCATATAGATCCTTAGTACTGTGTTACTTGCAGTTGAGTCATTTACAGAACATGTGTAGTATTTACTTTGGCTATATAACTGTCATGAAAATGCATAGAAAAACACTTGGGTAAGAATTAATATGGTTTTATTTATCTTCATTTATTTGTTGACCTTGTTCACTTGTATGGAAATTGGTAAGAGATAATGGGGAGACTGAAGAGGGTTAAAAAGGTAGATAGAAAAGTAAAGAGCAGAATATAGTGACTGAAAGTCTTTGTTAGTTAGTAATGAGTCTAATGGCCCCTAAACTATTATTTGTACCAACACATTTATGAACTGTTTTATAATTCTCTGATACAGCTACTTAATTCATTTATAAATTCCTCAAAATTTTTAAATAACAAAAATCGTTGCAGAGACTTTTTTCAGGGATTAATATAATTTTCAACATTTTTATTTGTCTTTTTGAAAATTAATAAATAACATTAATTTTTATGTATTTCACATTTTGTAGGCAGTTATTTGCTTGGATGGTGATGGCTGCAAAGTTCGGAATGGATTGGCAACTATTGAAGGGGATTCTGGTCTTGATACATCAATTGCTTGTGATTCATGTGATACATGGTAAACTCAAATCAACAGATTAGGGTAATAGGTTTCAGATATGCAGTTTGAGATGAACAATTTTTGTTCAAGATGTCATTAAGAGAGTGAAATTTCAGTAGGTTATTATCCTCTATGACTTGGATATTGTTGGATTGGTCAGCTCTAAATTGCATGTTTGCCTAGGGTTAGACCTCATCCGCCTGATCCATTTGGCAGAAAGAAAATTGCATTTCTTACCATGTAACTATTTGCCGACCACCTTGCCAATAAATTTATAACAAACATTATTAGATGAGTAGTTGAGTCTAATAGGTGATTTGGAGTTTGATAGGAATCAAGGGTGCAGTCAGGCATGTAATTGCTTTCAAGATACACTGTGGATTACTTGTTATGTTTTACATGATTAATGTGATTGCACTATTAAAGCATGGTCATTCATGATCAACCCACTTCAGATAGATTCTAGATCATACTTATAAGATAGATGGTGTTAAAAATACTGTATAATAAAGAGCTTGTGTGTTTTTGTCACCCACATGTACAAGTGGGTAGGGAAATTAGTTCATTAATATATCAGTATTAGGATTTTTGGAGCAGTGCCACATGATTGTTGCTTGAATTGCATTGTGACAGGTATCATGCCTTCTGTGTGGGATTTGATACTGAAGGTACATCAGAAAGTACATGGTTATGCCCAAGGTTAGTTGAATTTACCAGTTAATTCTGTTGGGTACTTTTGTGCTTCTAATTGCTTTTCTTTTCTTTTTGCTCTTTAATCAGAAAGCTCTATTTGTATCCTATTTGTCAACTAATTTAGTACATATTGGCTACTAGCATATAAATAACAATATAGAGTTTGATAAGTTCTAGGTGCAAATTTTAAGTTTTTTTTTCATTGTGGTTCCCTATGATGAAAAGCTTGGTTGGCTATTTAAGAATCTAAACAAGAAATTAGAAGTTATTTAAGAGGTGATTTAAGAATGTAAAAAAATTATTTTTATCTAGTAACAAAATAGAACTATCAAAAGGTTATCTAGAGTCCAAGTTTTACAAATTTTTCTGTTATTTGAAATGTCCTGCCGAACGAATTGTTTAACTTGTTACTAAATTTTTCTATTACCAGATCCCCAGGTAAACTTCCTTTTGCTTGAACATAAGCACTTAAATTATAAAATTGTTTGCTGACGGCATATAATCTCTTCTTTCCATCCTTTAGTATTCTAATTCAGGGTTTTGTTTAGATGTGTTGCTGATGAAATTTCTAAAGGATCATCCAATTCAATAGAGAGGACAACTGTGGAATGTAACCCAGATAATAGTAACAGTGAGTGTCAAGATGAGGATTCCTTTTCAGGAAAAGTGTCTGTGTCTGTTGCTGATACAGGAGAGACAGCTGTTGTTGTCTCAATGGTTGACAGAAATAAATGGGTTCCAGCAACAAGCGAGAAAAGCCTATTGCCTTTTGAAGTTTGTGGTGATCCAACAACTGAATCATGTATGTTAATGTCTGACACAAATAATCAGCAGAGGGGGGAAGAGAAGACAAATGCGTCACCAATCGTGGAGGAAGAACTGGAATTGTCTTTATCAAACAATATATCCTGTAGCCTAACTTCTAAATCCTTGGGACATAATGATTTAAAGCAAAGTGCCAATGGGGCTAGGAATGAACTGAGTAGCTTTGATGGAGCCAAGTTATTTGATGAGTCCCATATCAAAACTAGTCCATCCAGAATTGAATCTGATATGGGTCTTCATCTTGGTTTGTCAGTGGGCTCCTTTTTATCTGGTAAACTATATTATGCATCATAAGATGATTTTTTGTACTCTTCAATTTAAGCGAGGCTGATTGATATAATCTCAAAGTGCTTATAGTGGATAATGCAGACAAAAATGAAACAAAAGATCAAGCAACTGATGTCCTGAATGTGAGTCCAGAAGAATGTTTGTCAAAAGGTGCTCCACCATTCTTAGAAATATGATTCCTCTTGCTTTCTGTATTTCAGTCCACACTTGGACCATGGGAAACCACTGATGGATCATATTGGTTGTTTACAAGCATTTAAACAAGTTTTTAAATTATGTAATGTTGTTAATAAAATGTTGTCAGGAGATGAAATTGAAGCCAATGCTTGTAAGGACAATGCCAAAGTAACTGGTGGAAAGAGAAAGCATGTTGATTGCAGGTAAGAATTCAGTTAAATTTGTATCAATATTAAATGAGTAGTGTTTCCTTAGTCATTGTGACTAGAATAAAGCACACTTTGCCTTACTAGAGGCTCCTCACCTGCAGTTATACTAGAAGGAAGGTTAGAATATACAATTGTTTATTTGTCCATCTATCACCCCACAATCAACTTCCTATTTAACAGGAATCAATCACCCAAAATCAAGCTCCCAAGTAATCATGCTTGATTTTTGGAGTCAATGCTTCCTTATTAACGCACAAGAAACTTAATTCTTACCTATATTCTTAAATGTTACTAACAGTACTTTCAGTTCTCATCACTACTTGCTTTTATTTTCTTTTGGCTGGGGGACGGGTGGGATGGTTACAAATGACCCTTGATTGGTAAATCATCTTTTTGTGTCTGAATAATGTGATTCACAGTTGCACAGCTATGTTATGTGGTTGTAATTATGGCCATTTTGAACACCCATCTTTTTGTGAAGGAAAACTGTTGACCTTCAATGACCCAAAGGGGTAACAAACTAACAGGGTTTCACTGAGTAATGTTGCAAATGATGTGAGCAGTAATTTCTTCTAGTTCTGATGAACCTCGATTCAGTGTTTTATTAATTTGATACCAAGATGAATCTTGCCATACATATTAGAAATGGATTGGGCCCATCTCATCCCCAAAAGGTAACTCAAAGGAGGAGAATTGCTCAAGTTTATAAGGACTACTTTGACCATATTCTTAGTTAACACAGGATATCTTTGTATATATATAAATTCTAATTATTCTAAAGCCTGTTAGACCTAGTTGTAACATATAGGGGCTGCTTTTGACATTATGCTCACCTTTAGAAGTATGTGGTGGTTGGCATAAAATATCATCATAAAAATGGAGCTAGTGGTTGCAAAGGCAAAATAATGAATCAGATCATCATGAATCTCAGTGTTTTCTTATACTTAGAAGAAGATAAAAAGAGAGAGGAGCAGGTGCCTAGAATCCTAGATATTCTTCATTCTCGTGCTATGAAAACCGAAATACTTTGTGTCAACTTTTTCAAACTTGCAGTGATTGTTTGTGATCTTTAAATGCATACTCTGTTGAAATAATTGTGTTAACTGTTATTTGTTTTCTGTTCATCACATGAGGAGTTCAAATTTTGACTTTATTTTATTTGGTTTTTTTCCCTTGATTTCTTCCTTGATGTTTCAATAGTGAACTAGTTCATATAAAAGCTGATGATGGAGATGACAAGCCTGAACTTCCAGATGAAGTTGTGCAAAAGAAAATTAAAGTTGCTGATAGTCAAATGAGTGATGCTAATGGCTCAGCTGATGCTCATCTTTTCAACAATTCGCAGAAAAACCCGGCTTTGAAACATTCTCTGACAAAGGAGATTGCCACATCAGATATAATGAATATAGTTAAAGGGACGAACCGGAGGCTTTCCAAGCGACTTACTGGGAGTAATACTTGTGACAAGTTATCTGAAAAAGGAAATATGGCTGGGTTGAGGGTTAAAAAGATCATGAAGAGAGTTTCTGATGATGGAGAATCATCATTGGTAGTTCAAAATCTAAAGAAGGAAATTAGAGAAGCTGTTCGTAACAAATCCTCTATAAACTTTGAGGAAAACCATTTTGATACAAAGCTTCTTGAAGCATTTAGGGCAGCTATAACAGGGCCTAAAACTGAACTTGTAAATAAGTTATCCCCTGCAGCTATAAAGGCAAAGAAATCAATGTTGCAGAAAGGAAAAGTGCGTGAGCATCTAACAAAGAAAATATTTGGGACTTCCAATGGAAGAAGAAAGCGTGCATGGGATAGGGACTGTGAAATTGAATTTTGGAAATATCGTTGCATGAGAGCAACAAAGCCTGAAAAGATTGAAACTTTGAAATCAGTTCTTGACCTACTAAGAAAAAGTTCTGGCAGTCCAGAATCCAAGCAAGCTGCTGAATGTCAGGCCAAGAATCCTATTCTTTCTCGGCTGTATTTAGCAGACACATCTGTTTTCCCACGGAAAGAGGATGTAAAACCTCTGTCTGTACTTAAAACCGTTGCTAACTCAGAGCAAGTTAAACAAAACAACCCATCAGAAAAAGTACCAAATCTATCTGTTGATAACAATGCTATCAAATCAACAGATGTAAATAATCTTTTATCAAAGACAAGAGTTTGTTTATCTGAAAAAAAGGTAGATAAGAAAATTGTACATGGTCCAGTTGGTGATAGTTCAGCTTCTGGCAAAGTGCGCTTAAGCAATCACTCAGAAAGAACATTAGTTTCTTCTGCTAGTGTCAAGGTTGGCACAAAGGAGTTAGGCCTTAAATCTGATTCTATGAAGAGTGATAAAAGAAAATGGGCCTTGGAGGTTCTTGCGAGGAAAACAGCTGTGACAAGCACGAACACATCTAGTGGAAATCAAGAAGACAATGCAATATTTAAAGGAAATTATCCTTTGCTTGTACGTAAATGATCTGATTGTTTTTCTTTTTTGGGCAAATGTTTTATTATCTTTCACATTGATGTCAGTAATTGTTTACGACTGTTCACTTTAATTTCTTTCTGTTATTTGTGTGCAGGCTCAATTGCCAATTGACATGAGACCAACATTGGCTCCTTGTCGCCACAATAAAATTCCTATAGCAGTGAGGCAGGTATGTTGTACGGTTGTACCATTCATTACCACCAATTTTAAATTGCTCAAGTAGGATTGGAGAAGAAAACTTGAGATGAAGAAAGCAATGCTTCTTTTTTTGTACTCTGGATGCTTGCGTAATGAAGGCACCAATAGATGGCAATTCACAATCACATTGGGTTTAAGAAAATATGTTCCAATTCCTTAGGAGAGTCCTTCTTTTCTACTTACTTTGTAGTTAAATTTATCATTTAGTTCTTCGCTGTTTTCAATTGTTTAACATGAACATCTGATTGCCACTGGTTTTCCCATCCCTCTCTTGATCCCTGTTCGATTATGAATATCACTTGATGAGTGAGTAGTCACACCACCTGAAGTTCAGCACCAGAAATAGTGAGAAACTTTTTGAAGAATTTATTCTGCAATAGATAGAAGTTCAAATTGACTTGTTGTCATACTTCGAGGATTGGAATTAATATTGGTGACACAATACAAGTTTAAAGTAATTTAACTCTGTTCCTTTGTTGGCATGACGCATGAGCATGACTATTTCCAAAATATCTAGTTACTGATCAGTCAGACAGAGCACAACATTCATTAGTGCTACTTTCTTTCTCTATAGATTATGTTGGTTAGATTTCTGCTCACATTGACTTTGTTACTTATAATGGGCTTTGCAGACACAGCTCTACCGCCTGACAGAGCGCTTATTGAGGAACACAAATCTGGCAGTCATTCGCAGAACTGTAGATACAGAATTAGCTGTTGCAGATGCAGTTAATATTGAAAAAGAGGTTGCTGACAGATCAAACAGCAAGATTGTGTATCTGAACCTTTGTTCACAAGAGCTCTCGCATCGCACAAATAACACAAAATCCAATGTAGCCGCAGATACAAGTCCACCAGCCTCATCAGCTGTGCTTACTGATCAATCAGAATTAAATACCAATGATCTTTCGACTGACCCTGCTGTTGAAACAGCCTTGAAAAATGCTGGTCTGCTGTCTGATTCCCCACCTAGCAGTCCTCGTGAAAACACAGAATTATGTGATGCAGATGATACGTCGGGACCCGATAATATATTTGAGCTGGATTCTCATCCTGAGCTGGATATTTATGGCGATTTTGAGTATGATTTGGAAGATGAAGATTACATTGGTGCTAGTATTACCAATGTATCAAACCCAAAACAAGAGGAAAATGAGTCAAAAGTAAAACTTATTTTCTCCACCGTGAACTTGAAAAAGTCAGATGTCACTTTGGATCGTGCAGACTGTGAGGGGTCTGAAAGAAACGAAGTGCCAGGAGATACCTCCTGTCCACCAAACTGTCACAATGATGCATTGCATCAGGATTCTACAAATGATGCAGAGATGGGCCAGCCTTCTGTTTCTTCCGAGCTTCTACCCTGCGAGGGTGCTGCTGAGCCAGTTGATTCCGAATTTGAAGAATTATATGGACCTGACAAAGAACCGCTTATAAAAAAATTTCCCGTCGGTGAAACAATATCATTACATGGAGATGGCAAGACAGAATCTCTAAGCGAGGCCAATGACTACCATAATGATGAAAAACATGTCTCGGGCCAAGCAGTAAATGCTTCGGAACAAGGGAATGAGAGTCTCACAGAAAAAGTTTCTCTTACTTCCATCACCGACAAATCTTCAGATATATCTGAGGCTGGTGAAAATTTCCAAGCGAAGGAAGAGAAATCTGATGTCACTGCTAAGCAGAGTGACTCTGTAAATCATGTAATTAAGAAGGTATTACAAAATTAGTTTTCTCATTTAACTTATTTTCTTTTATTTTATTAAAAATGCAGTAGTTTATATGCTCGCGTTTTTTCGTATCTATATTTTTCTGTATAATTCCCATAGTTCCGTAATAAGGATGGACTTTTTACAGGTAGAAGCTTACATCAAGGAACATATAAGGCCACTGTGCAAGAGTGGGGTAATCACGGCTGAACAATATAGGTGGGCTGTGGCAAAAACAACTGATAAGGTTATGAAGTATCATTCTAAAGCAAAGAATGCTAATTTCCTCATAAAGGAAGGTGAGAAAATAAAGAAACTTGCAGAGCAGTATGCTGAAGCATCCCAACAAAATAGAAAAAATTGATTCATGTAGCATTATTTCATCATCAACAAGTTTTCTCAAGTTACTGCTTATTCACTTTTTATAGGGTGTTACCTTACTTAAGAAATTTGCTTTATTGATGAGCTGTGGATATGTTAGATTTAGTCTCTCCGCGTCATTAACGTGAATTGAGCAGACAATGGGGATTGATTCAGTCATTCAGAACTGAGATAACCCGAGACACGGTAAATTTTCAAATCTTCATGCGATTAGTCAAATGCATTTTATTACTAATAGGAAAGTTGGTTCCTCTCCTTCATTGTATTATCTGCTCCATTTTTGTCTACAGCAGCGACTACTACTTCTAATCCTCTTGCCCGTGAACATTAACTTTTCGTATAAAAATAAAAAAGTCAAAGGAAGACTGCACTATGCACATTTATATTCACAAAAAGAAAAAAGAATCGTTACATCATAACTTTTACTTTTGTGTGAGCAGAGTAGATCAATTCTTTTTTTCAAAAAACAATTTTTTTAAGTTATGAAAAACTGTTTATTTAAAATATGCAAATAATACTATTTAATAGTTAAATCAAATTGTATGTTTATAGTGTTTGCTTGTCTGACTCGTTAAATGGAGTTTACACACTTTATGATGCAAATTATGCGAGGAAGAGGTATTTTTCCATTGTGGATGTGGTGGAACGGAGGCTTGGAAGTTAAACAAACAGGCTGACAATAAATTACTTAAATGGTCTAAGTGTGTGTTTGGGAAATATTAGTGTTACAATAAGTTGTTTTTAAAAGAAAAAAATTAATATATTCAGTAAAATTGTCAATGTTATAGTTTTTTCCTATGATAAAAAGTTTTTCATCACTTGTAAAATTAGAATTTATGATTAAAAGTTTAGAATATTTTCTAGTTAACTTTTACTTTTTTTCATTTTTATCTCTAACAGTTGATTACTTCAATATAAAGTATAATTAATACAAATAAATTTATTTGTAATTTAATTATAAAATGTAGTTTTTAAGACAATGTACAGAAAATAGGTTATTTAAAAATATTTTTCACTTAAACATAATTATATGATATACTATATATAGTCAATGTCTACCGTCTACCATATGGTACAAATATAAGTATAAAAAAAATTCGAATTTTTGTTTGTTTTTTTTTTTTCTTCAAAATTTTCCACAATAAAGGAACATATAAAAAAAATATTCAAATAAAAGAGTTATTACCATGCGTAAATCAATGATATGAAGTTATTATAGATTATTCAGTAATTTTGAGTTAAAGTCTGAAAATTTAATTACTTTAAAACTTAATAGAAAATAGTTTATTATTCTTGATAGTTTTATTTAACTGAAATTTGGGCTACTTAGCTTAGCTCCTAGCAGAATAGCAGACTCACGTGGATTAAACTGAAAAAGCATAAGAGAATTCAAATCTTTAAAATGATAACTTCAATCTTTTACTGATAATAAAATTATGTAAACGGTTTATTTGTAATTTTTTAAGTCTATTTTAATATATATATATATATATATATATATATATATAATTTTTAAAAATACATTAAAATTTAAAACATCAAATATCTATTACAAATTTAAAATAAAAAATATTCACACAAGTCATTTTATCTAACAAAATTAGTGTCCCAACCCTTATTTTTTTACCGATACTTTCAGGTTAGCCCACCAGATAAGCTGGATTGTTCTATTTTGCCTATTCTTAATCTTAACTTGAACGTTAATACAAGAAATTAAATTAAACAAATATTTTTTTAAGTCAAAAAAAGAATTACTCATGTATTCAAGTAGGGAAAAATAATTTTTTCTTCATCTCGTATATTTTTTATTTTCTTTTTGTCATTTTATAAGTCCATAAACATATATTTTAATTTTAAATAGCAAACATCAACTAGTTTTATTACTTTACGTATCATTACTCCATTTTTAGATTAAATAATATTGTCTATATATTATTTTTTATTATAGATCAGAAGTATCTATTTATTAAATTATAATAATTGTATGTTTGTTAATTTATGCATCCAATGATTATTATCTCTAAATTATTTAATTTTAAAAATTATTCAAAATGGAATCACTTAAAAATCTAGCAAAAGTGGTATAAATCATTGCTTACAAAATCTGATTACTTTAAAATAGATTACAAAACAAGTTAAAAATTTATATGTAAAGCTACATATAATTAAATAAAAAAAAAACATAAAAGCAAGTTACATTTTTTAAAATGTCAGCAAGAACATTTCTCTCATTCTTTCTTTCTTTGGTTTTTTTCTTTCCTTCCAATCTGAGCATAATAATAATAATAATAATAATGAGAGCATATTACAAACAAACAACGGTACCCGACCCGAATACAAAACGGTGCTAGCTTTATCGGATTGGGTGGTAAACTAAAAAGTAGCAGCAGTTGCAGATTACCATTTTCAATCTCATCATCATCTTCGTGCACTTGCATTCCTCTTGTCGCTTAAAACCCTAATTTCATAAACACTTACGCTGCCACCTCATCATTTCCCCATATATGAATTTTCCAGAACGATGAACATTCTCTCCTCACCCCACATTCACATCAACAAAACCTACTACACGCACCGCAATGGAACACCGAAGCAACCACACTTCAACCGTAACAGGCACGTTCCCACGCGGGCTCTTCTCCATAGGTCATTCACCGTGCTGTGCAAATCCTCTTCCAGAAGTAGCGAACCCGGTTCGGAGGATTTCGTGAGCCGGGTTTTGAAAGAGAACCCGAAACAAGTGCAACCCAAGTACCTAATTGGCGACAAGTTTTATAATTTGAAAGAAAAAGAGAATTTGGGTAAATCGTTCAATGTGGGCGCTTTTGATGCGTTAGCGAAGATTTTTAGCTCGAAGAAGCAGAACAAGAGTGAGAGTGAGGTTACGGAAGAGAGAGATTCTGTGTACTTGAAAGACTTGCTTAAGGAGTATAAAGGGAAACTTTATGTGCCTGAGCAAATTTTCACTGCAGAGTTATCTGAGGAAGAGGAGTTTAATAAGAACTTGCAAACGTTGCCCAAAATGAGCGTGGAGGACCTTAGAAAAGCTATGAATAAAGACAAAATAAAGTTGATAACTTCTAAGGGAGATGGAGGAGTATTTGGTGGAAGTGGTTATAGGGATTTTATTGTGGAGTTGAAGGAAATTCCTGGTGATAAAAGCTTGCACACAACTAAATGGTGGAAAAGAATGGCACTATTATCTATTTAGTTACATGTTTTTTTTTTTCCCTATGCCTTGTCTGTCTGTGCACTACAATGTTGTGATAGATTATGCGTGCAACTTTGCAGGACTCTCAGATTACATAACAGGGAAGCTCAAGCAATTTTGGCGGACTACACTGGACTGCGATATGAGATAGAGAAAAGGCATACTACGGTTGTTAATCTTTGTCTCTTTGTTGAATAATTTTGATTGTGTTAGGTAGTGTTATTGCTAAGAGGGAAAATCAATTAGCTTTACAGCTTGTTTTATGTTTTGTGTTCTTTTTGCTAAGTTAAGATGTCTTGTAGTTTTGTGCGTGATGCGTGGGTGAGATACTTTTGTGGGTAATCATAGTGTCATTGTTCATTTAACTCTGAAACTATTTTGTTGCAGTCTTGGGTGGGGAAAACACTGGAGTACCCTCATCCAGTTGCATCTGCTATATCTAGCAGAGTGATGGTTGAGCTTGCGGCGGTGACATTCTTTGTGGGTATAGCAGCAACTATAGTTGGCAGCTTCCTTGGAATAGCTATGTTTGCTGTTACTGCTTTTATATGTGTGGTAGCTATCTATGTTGCGTGGCCTATGGTCCAACCATTCCTCAAGCTTTTCTTCAGTCTTGTATTTGCAATTTTGGAGAAGATTTGGGATAATATGGTTGATTTTTTCAGTGATGGTGGCATTTTCTCTAAGATATATGAGTTTTACACTTTTGGTGGATTATCTTCCACCATTGAGGCATTGAAACCAATTATGATTGTACTTTTGACCATGGTCCTTCTTGTTCGTTTCACTCTTTCAAGAAGACCTAAAAACTTCAGGAAGTGGGTATGTGACTAAGTGACTGACCCATAATATGCTTGAATTCTTGAGCAAATTTTTTTCCATGGACTTGCTTGATAAGTATGCTCTAAGAGATGTTTATTTGATGATATACAGGATCTTTGGCAGGGAATAGACTTCTCACGATCAAAAGCTGAAGCTCGTGTTGATGTGTGTTAACACCTACATTTACATTTGTCTCTTCAAACCTTTTAATTTTGTTTTAAGTTTTCTAGTCTTCAAATCTTTTCATGCTATTCACATATTCTAATCTCTACTTATGGAATAACATCCTTTCAGGGTTCAACTGGAGTCAAATTTTGTGACGTGGCTGGAATTGATGAAGCGGTTGAGGAACTTCAAGAGGTAATTCTTTTATACAGTGTTGCTTCTAACTATGAGTGTGTGAACAAGTTTCATGCCTGCTGGTGCATGTCACCCAATAAAAAAGGGCAGAAGGTGAGGCCATTTGCTGTGAGAGAACCATGAAAAACAAGTTATGATGAAAAACAAACTATAGAAGAAGAGGAAAAGGTTTTGTGGAAAATTTGACAGTGTTTCCTCCTTGATCTCTGTCTTAGACATCTTTTATCATTTTTCCTCCTTGAACATGAAGTAAAGGTTTCTTGACCTATTGAACTTGATTGCTTGTAGGCTGCCTTTTTTGTCCTTCTTTTAAACTTTTTTTCCGTTAATCATTAAATATTCCAAATTTTTTAAACACTTTTGATGACAATATCTAGTTCTTTTTCTTTTTTAAGGGAGTGGTTTGTGAAGGCTGTTGCTTAACCACTGTCACATGTTCTTCTGCTCAAATTACTTTCCATCATAGATAGATACATGAGGAGGTCTTGGGTATGATGGTCTCCCCATGTTTGAAAATTTTTTCAATGAATTTATATATTACTTTGCTCCCTATGTTTGAAAACTACTGTAATGATTTTATATGTGTAAGACCATGTCTAGTTTCAACTTGGTCTGCACTATTTTATTTGATCTCCAATCTTTGTTGGCAGAATGGTCTCCTTATGGGCCATTATTTATTTTCATGTTGGAGGCCTAGACATCTGGCCATTGCCTATGTACTCCCAGCCCATTAGCACAATGAAGTCTTCTAGATCTAGAAAATATCTCATTATACCTTTATATGGCTGGCACAGCAGCCCACAAATATTAGAGTTTCAACTGACAGATTTATGCATACCCAACTGCATAGAGAAGTCAATGGAGAAACAGTTAATAATTAACCAATTTTCCTTTAATTAGTTTAAATATTATAACTTTTACCTCTGAGTAGCTCCTGAATTTTTCCTTGCCTTTAATATGCATCTGTCTTCTACAATACATGCTCTTGTTTTAGTTCGTGTGCATTCAATTCTTGTGTCTCGTTTTAGTAGTCTCTGCTTAGTTTATTGTAATGGATGAAAACTTAAGAAGGTTATTTGTGATTTTGTTTAGTTGGTGAGATATTTAAAAAATCCTGAATTGTTTGATAAAATGGGGATCAAACCTCCGCATGGTGTTCTGCTCGAGGGCCCTCCCGGATGTGGCAAGGTCAGATACCTGTTCTCCAGAAATGCTGGATGTAAGAGTACATGATGGCTAGTGTATGTTTTAAGTCTTCTCATGCTTTTGCAGACCTTGGTAGCCAAGGCTATAGCTGGTGAAGCTGGTGTTCCATTTTACCAAATGGCTGGATCAGAATTTGTAGAAGTTTTAGTTGGTGTTGGTTCTGCTCGTATTAGGGATTTATTTAAAAGAGCCAAGGTGATTCTATTTATATTTTTTCCGAATTTCATTTTAAAATAATGTATTGCTGCTAATTTGTTAAGGTTCTTGAGTCCTGCTTTCATGTTCTTCTTTTTTATGTAAGGCTAACTTAAAAAGCATTGCATACTTATTATTTAGAATCTCAGATAACATAGTCCTTCTGTATATGGTGAGGTGACTGGTTAAGGGTATTGGTGACTAGAAGAAACAGTATATTTTCATGCTTTTTGCCATGTTTAACTTTAATCAAATCTATTCAACATTTTCGAGGACCTTGGTTTCATATGACAATTTTCGGCTGCTTTTTCCTTCATATATTGTTCATTTGTTTGATCAGGATAACAATAGCTTAATGAAAAATAACATTTATGCATGTCAGTCCCTTCCTCTCTAGAAGTAAATGTTAAAAGGTCATTAAGTTTGTTTTTATTCTTTTTTCGTGGTAAATTCATTACCTGTACTTTGCTTGTTGCAAACAATGGATAGATGGTTTGTGTCATGGGGAAGCAAGATATTGTTCATGTTTTAGATATATATTGTAGAATTTCATATTTCTATGCTTTGAGAGCTAGTGATTGGTGGGTACTCAAATGTTTGTTTCTTTATGCAGGTAAACAAACCATCAGTTGTTTTCATAGACGAAATTGATGCGTTGGCAACTAAGTATGGCTATATGGATTTATTTTATGATTTGACAGATTGTATAAAGTTGTGGAATATTTGTGTTCATGGCATGTTCACTTGTTTAATGGAAACTTAAGCCAAATGCAGTAATAAGTGAGTAATTTAGCAGGCCTAGAATTATAATAGAAGATCTAACTGTAGTTAAACCCACTAGTCATTATGAGCTTCTTGATAGGTCTTTAAAGTGCCAATATTTTGCTGGCATTGCTGATCAATTGGTTGGTCTAATCTAGATGTTGTTTCTCTCATATGCTGTTCTCACAAATGAGAATGCATAGGAAGTTAACATAGGTTCATGTTGTGGTAATATTTTTAAGTCAATGCTTAGACATTACCATAATATTTTTGGTACATTACTACATTACCGTAATTAATATTGATGGGCACGGGATGCTTCTGGCTGGAAGTTCACTTTAGTTCATAATTGGTGATTGTTTTTCTCCTTTTCTTGAATAATTCAATTTCATTATGTGGAACTAAGGGCCTATGCATTTGTGCTTTTTTTTAATTTAAAAAAACACTTTTGTGATTGAAAATGTTTTGAAAAGTTATAATAATTATTAAAAAAATTTAGAAAAGCTATTTCAGTCTTTCTCTTAGAAAATAAAAAATGTAGCTTTTGGAAAAAAAAAAGATAAAATCTCTTTTTTTAAGCTTACATGAATGGACCTTTAAAACTATCTAAATTATTGCCAAGCTAGTGATGTTGCATGGTTTCATCTGTTGTCAATTGACTTGCTGGGTACCCTAAGCATCCATCTGTCTGATTGTGCAATTTATGCGTGATCAGGCGTCAAGGTATTTTCAAGGAGTCCACAGATCACCTGTATAATGCTGCTACCCAGGAACGGGAAACTACGTTGAACCAATTGTTGATAGAACTTGATGGTTTTGATACTGGAAAGGGTGTCATATTTCTAGGTGCCACAAATCGTAAGGATTTGTTAGATCCAGCACTTCTTCGTCCAGGTCGCTTTGATCGCAAGGTTACTTTCTATAGCTGAGCTAATGGATTTCTTTCTCACTTTTGGTTTGGTTGAGGAAGGTAAAATATTTTTTTTTATAAGATAGGGGGAAGAGAGAATGCGTTTAAATCTCTTCTTTGGCTTTTCTATTAAATGCTTTGTTTAAAGCTCAATCTTCTGACTTCTGGTGTAAACAGTGGCTTACCTGCCCACCACTTTCATAAGTTTGCTTGATTCTATTTGATGTTTTATGTAGTTTTTTCAACGGTAATATGCTGTTAATGGTCATTGAATTTTTCTTCTGTAGATCAGGATTCGCCCCCCAAGTGCAAAAGGAAGATTTGATATCTTGAAAATTCATGCTAGCAAAGTAAAAATGTCCGAATCTGTTGATTTATCCAGCTTTGCACAGAACCTACCTGGTAAGAATTCCTTTTTTACTTATTTAATTTGTCACTTTAATGTCTGAATACACACACTTGTTTCAGGATGGACTGGAGCAAGATTGGCCCAGTTGGTCCAAGAGGCTGCTCTTGTGGCTGTCAGGAAAAGGCACAGCTCAATTCTTCAGTCAGATTTGGATGATGCAGTTGACAGACTCACAGTAGGACCTAAACGTGTTGGAATAGAATTAGGTTACCAAGGACAATGTCGTAGAGCTACTACTGAAGTGGGAGTTGCATTAACTTCTCATCTACTCCGGCGATATGAGCAGGCAAAAGTTGAATGCTGTGATCGCATCTCAATAGTACCTCGTGGTCAGGTCCTTGTTCAGCTTCCTTCACTATATTATCCTTTACTTCTTTGCGGAAATATTTTGTCAGGCTTTCTATTCTCATGTTTGAGGCTCTGCCAATACATGTTGGGAAATTGATAAAGGATATCTGATACACCCAAAACATAGTTTCATTACTGCAACATGGGAGAATCTGGTACAGAAATGTATTAAATTTGTAGCATGTGAATTATAAAGGAGAGAAAAGATAAAAAAAATAAATGAATATAGAGCTAAAAATTGTATTTAATGCTGTTTGAATGAAACATAAAATGAGTACAAAGAAAATAAGTAGAAAAGAATATAATGAGAAAGAAATATATGAAAAATGAGATGGAAAAGATTTATTGTTTGGATGGATAGAGAATAAGGGAGAAAGTAGTGAGAAAACTTTACTTGTTTGTATGAATGGAAAAAGAGCAAAAAAAGATCATTTATGAAAAATATTTTTATAATAACAATAAAAATTTTATTTTAACCAAAAATTAAAATTTTAATAAATATTTTTTAATTATTATTTTTAATACTTTTATATTATTTAAACATTTATTTTCAATAAAATAAAATAAAATAACCTTTGTCATACAAAGTCTCACCATTTTGCAAAAAATTTGTGGTGAGTCTCAAAAAATATTTTTCACTAATAAAATTATATATCTAAATGCATGAAAACTTTCTTTTCCTACACTTTTTCATTCCTACATATGATATTTCCTAAAAGTTGCGACAATTAAGGTGTTGGCAGAAAATGCAGCCCTAGATAAAAGTGAAGAGGTAGAAAATTTTGTATGGAGTCTATCTGAAATATATGCTACTTTAAGCTACTTTATTTCCATATGTATCAAACTACCATCTGCCGTCCATGCTTTACAATTCCTGGTTGGTTGGTTTTTACATAAAATTATGCTACATTGGGCTATTTGTTTGTTTTCTATATTTTTTACTCACAAAAAAGGCTTCCATTTCACAGACATTATCTCAATTGGTATTTCATCGACTTGATGATGAATCATATATGTTTGAACGTCGACCTCAATTGCTACATCGTCTTCAGGTATGTAAATGTACTCGAGTATATGTTATTTCCCTTTTTTATCTTGTTTAAATTGCTTGTTTCAGTTTTGAGTCTGTCTCGGCAAACAGGTTCTGCTTGGAGGTAGAGCTGCTGAGGAGGTCATCTATGGACGTGATACCTCAAAAGCCTCAGTCGATTACCTTGCAGATGCATCTTGGCTTGCTCGGAAAATATTAACCATGTTGGCATATTTACTTGTATTTTATTCATTTAAGTTTTTGTTTATTTTCTTGTGCTCTATATATAAGCTGCTTTTCCCCCCTATCTATTTGCAGATGGAATTTGGAGAATCCAATGGTCATACACGGAGAACCACCACCTTGGAAGAAGTCAGTTAAATTTATTGGACCAAGGATAGATTTTGAGGGGTCTCTTTATGATGACTACAACTTGATTGAACCCCCACTAAATTTTAAGCTGGACGATGAAGTTGCCCAAAGAACTGAAGAGTTGATACGTGACATGTATGGAAAGACAGTCTCTCTCCTTAGAAGTCACCATGCAGCTTTGCTCAAAGCTATTAAGGTACTTGGAGTGAGATCTGAGCATGAGTTATATTACTTTGTTGGTGAATTGTTATGGAACTATGAGAGATCTCTAATTTTTTTATATAAAAAAAAAAAAAAACTTTATGAGTGGGATGACGTTTATTTCGGTAACTGCATACAACATCTGCAAGCATCTTGAGATAGAAGAGATTATACCAGTTTAACTCCACTGTAGTGAAAATGATCCATTTAGCATTCTGTGCCTTGACTTCTTTTGCAAAATCTGTGGCAACTGATCTTTTTCAACGCTAATGTATTGGCACTGCAGGTTCTTCTCAATCAGAAGGAGATAAGTGGCGAGGAAATAGACTTCATTTTGAACAAATACCCTTCACAAACACCTTTACATCTTTTGGAGGAAGAAGATGCTGATAGCCTTCCATTCATCAAAGAACAAGTGGACGATTTGGAGTATGCCTTAAAAACTCAATCAAACGAAGAAACCGTGTGAGCTATTTCTCAATATAAGATCAAGAATTTGTTCCTGGATTCCTGGCCAATCAGTGTTTCAGATTTGGTGGCTGAATTTCAACAAGATTCGACCATGGACAATATGCTTGGGTTAATTCAAAGCTTAACTTTTCAGTGAGAACAAAAGAATATGTACTTTGTTGAGCCGTAAATTTTGCTCTTGCAATTTGTATGGAACGCGTGGCATTATAACATCTTTTAGTCAAACTGGCACAATTTACCAGGTGTTGGCTATGCTTTCAAGATATGTTTGGGTGCAAGAAAATGAGGTAAGCTATAGAAAGATTGACTTTTCATATTTTTTAAAAATAAAAATAATAAATTACATTTATCTCGGATATTTGTCTAAATGAAGGCAATTCTCAAACTGAAAGCTTTCTTTTAATATGTTAAAATAATCATTTTAATTTGTAGAGCTTTCTTACAATCTTGGTTGATTTCTTTTAAAAGGAAGACACCAATCAATTATTGACTTACACTGTCAAGATTATTTTTTAAAATTACATATATATTAATTGTTAAATACTTTAATGCATTTATTATGATAAAAAATATATATTTAAGGGTATATAATCTTTTAATTTTTTTAGCAAATTAACAACTTTTACCATAAATTGAAAATAGATTTATTTTTAACAAATTATAGAAACCATAAATGCGATACCTAGTATCTGGAATTGATGTATTTCTCTAAAATTGTATCATTGCTTATTATCTTCTTTTTCTTATAAAATTTTTGTATTTTATACCACTAAGAGATCGGCTTCGTACTGATGCATGGTCGAGACAGTGATTAATGGGCCTGACCATGACCCGAATGGGGACATTAGGTCGAAGATATTAATTATATTAAAATGGTCCTAATTGTGTAAGCCTAATGAAATAAGAATACAATTTTCTCTTTTAAAAGGAGAAAATATTGGCATATGCTTCCTTTTCATTATTAATAAATATATTTTTAAAATTTGGACTGAGTATGAAATTTCATGTTTCTAAAAATAAAATAACTCTAGAAAGCTTGAAATAAAGACACGACATGATCAAACCTCTCTGCTGGCGTAGCTTGTTGGAATTGTTTGGTCCAGACATGTCAATTTGTGTATTGAAAATATGTTGATAGTGCAAGGCCTGCCAATGAAAGAGACCAACCAATAAATCAGGTAATGGCATAAAAACCTAGAGAAATTGAAAGAGAAGAAGAGGACAAGGACACAAACACATACACGATGTTCCAACTTCCCAGAGATCCTTAATCTCTGACTTGCTTTGCCAAGGGCTTTATAAGTTATATGGTAGTTTGGTTTCTCTTTCCCAAATATGGTATTGTTGTCTCATATCCAATTGTTTGATGTGCATCTGCAACACAGATTCACCTTCGTTGGCCCCTTCTTCTGCATTAAAATCTTCACACCACTGTCACCATCTGCCTTGCCATTTTGCTATTGTTTGCATTCCTATTATAGGGTTGGAATCTTGCTCAAAATCTAAACCCCCCCCCCCCCCTTTGGCTGTGATTAAAAAATATATATTTTTTACAACATAAGCGATCCTTTGATTTCATTTTTTTTCTGGTTATAAAAATGAAAATATGTTCTTATTCTTCGTTCTATTTTTAATTATTTGTATAAGAAATACTAAAAAAAACTTTTTTTTATTTTTACTAGTTCTTATGTAAATATTTAAAAATAAAATAACATTTTTATAAATAAAAACAAAAATTATTTTTCCAAGCAAAATAATTCTATAATTTCACTATTTTATTATATTTTTAAGTGTTGTATATTTTAATTTAACTTTTTTACCGTTGCTTGAACCATACAATGAATACATAAATATGTAAAAATTATCTAAATTATAAACTTTGTTTGAAATTTTATTTTATTTTTTTTGAGAAGAAGAGAAAAGAAAATGACTTATATAATATTTATCTTTATTTAAAAGTTTTTGGATGAAAAGAAGAATGATCATAAATCTTTCAAAACATTCTTAATCTCATATTTTAAAATTCTTTAAATTTTGAAGATTTTGTATTAATCACTTTTCCTTCATTTCTTTCTTTTTCTTTTAAATCTTTTTATTTTCTTTCTTTTTAAACTCTAACAAATCTTAAAATTCAATATTCTAGCCCTTAAAAAAATTAAATGTGAAACATGAAAAATTATTAGATATTCTCCCAAACTTCATCAAATTATCAACCCAATTTAGCTACAAATCTTAATTTAAAAAGAATAGAGTCTGGAAGATATTTATTAATTTAACAAGTTACAAAATAAACAACTTTGACTTTTTGACTTAGGGTTTAGTTTCTTCAAATGATACAAAATAATGAAATTATTTGTAAGATATTAACATTATTGAAGTACAGTTAAAAGAGTTTATAGAAAATTTATAAATTTTTTATAATTTTATTTTAATACTTTTTAATTATTAAAATAAGAAATAGTTTGATTTAATTAGTGAACTAGCTAAAAGTACAGTAAAAATCATAATATAAAAAAAAAATATAGTATTTATATAACTGGACTTATACTATTTCAAATTTATCCTTTAAACGAGTAACATACACATAAACTAAATGTTAAAATTAATATTATTCTTTAACTATTAAACAAATCCTAAATTTATTAACAAATACTTTAAAAGTAAACTTATTTGTACTGCTAGTTAAAGATTAATTTATAAAGATTGAAGAATATTAACAAATAATAAAAGAAATTTTATATTTGAAACTAATTATTTTATTTTAGACATGTTCTTGTCATTAAATATATTTAAGTGAATTTTAAAATATTGCGTGATATTATATAACTATTTTTTTTTTTATGTCTGCGCTTCAAATATTTTCTTTAGTCAATAACAAAGACAAATTTTTTTCAGAAAGATCATTGAAGTAGGTATAACTCATCTTTACAATATATATATATATATATATATATATATATATATATATATATATAATTTTTAATTTTTTATTACTTGAGAATTAATGTTACAATTTTGTTGGTAAAATTTATTAAAAAAAATAATGAGAATCATAAGTTATTTTATAAACTCTTGTTTTAATATTCACTTTATAAACTCTTTCAAATGCTATATATTATATAAGTCTATATTATTACATATTTAGTAATGTTTTGTATTGAATTGGATTAGATAAAATAATAATTTAATTTTTTAAAATAATAATTAAAAGTATACTATACTCATTTGCAACTGTTAGATTGTATTTATTTTTAGAGAAATAAAAGTACTTAAGTATATAAAAGAAGAAGAAGAAAAAACCAGGACCATTATGTGCATTTAATAAATTAAGTTTGTACATATATGAACAAAATTCTTAGTGTGATATGGTAAGATTTCCAAAGCAAAAGAGACAAATAACACTGGTTTTTTTTCTTTATTTAACAAGTCATATATATATATATATATATATATAATAATAATAATAATAAATATGTTAAAAATATATCCTTAATTAATATTTTTAGAAAAAATAATATACATTTACTTATAAATCAAATATAATTTATTTTTCCAAACTTAAACCAAATAATTAACAGAGGCATTGATATCTAATTAAAATGATATAAGCACCAATAATTATATTTTTGTTTAACAAGTGTCGTATAAAAATTATTCAATGATAAGAATATATTGAATACATAATTTACATTTTTCATGATAAAAATGTATACATAAATTATCTAAAAGAAATACATTAAATAAAAAATCAAAATATAATTAAGTTCAGTGTCTATTTAAATTACCAGTTGAAAAAATTAAGCATACATTGATTAATAAAAATAGAATTGATATCAATTTTAGCACATTGAAAAATATATTCTATGTTTGACTTGATTTTGAAATGAAGAATTGTTTAATCCACGGTCTAGTGTATTAGGCAAGAAATTAAATATATATATTTTTATTAAAAACATATTAAGATGCATTGAAGATTATATAAAAATAAATTAAAAAATATTTTAAATTAATAAATTTAATACAATGGTTGAAATGTGTCTTAAAACAAAGGTGGCTCAATTTCACTGCCAAAACCAAAAAGGTTGACGTGGGATGATAAATAAAAACATAATTAGACTTAATTTCATGCGGAAAACCCAAATCAAATAACTGATAGAGTGATTAATGTCTAATTAATTAGAATCCAAATGCCCCTTTGAATAATTGAGCCAGAGAGAGAGCACAGAACAGCACAGGTTCTCGTGTTAGTTTGAGGAAGAGTGAGTGAGTGAGTGAGATTAGCAGCGCCACTTTCCACTACCCTCACTCACCGGTTCGCTCTCAACTCCAAGCCTTGCAAGTCTGCCACCCAAACCCAACCCAACCCAACCAATACCCCACCCCTTCCCTTCGCTTCCCCTTTCTCTTCAAATCCTCAAACTTAGGGTTTCCGAACAAAACTAAAACCCACTAGCCGGAACAACCAACAACAACAACAATTGTATAATATATATTAAATAGATAGATATTAAATTAGGGTTTTCATGTTCTTCCAATGCCAAGTTTTGATGTCTTATGAATGGAGATTTTCTCTGTCTTCTCGTCGGAACCATCCCTTGTCGCCGTCACGGTGACTGCGCTCTGTTTTCTTCTCGCGCTGTTCTCTCTCCGTCGATCATTCTCGCCGCCCAGGAAGCAGCACTGCGATTGCGCCTCCAATTCTGATTCCGCCGGCGCCGTCCCCTACTTGAACGGCGGGGCTGCCCAAATGCTGGAGCCCAGTCCCGTTCAAACTCCGGCTCCGGCTCCAGCTGCGTTGTCGGAGCGGCGAACGGGGTCGTCGATGATGGAAGAACTGGTTCCGGAGATTACGACGCATGCTCTGAGTTACTTGGATTACCCAAGTTTGTGTCGCCTTTCGATGACCAATTCTTTGATGCGTAAAGCTGCGAATGATGATAATGCCTGGAAGGCCCTTTATCACAAGGTGAATTCGATTTCTCAGTGCTTCTCTTTTTCTTCAATTGTTGTTATATGCTAAACTATTAGGATTTTCCAATTTTTTATGCACTTCTTTTATACCATTTTTCTAGAGCTGAGTTTTTAGAAATTTGTGGAGTAACCATTTGGCCCTAACTGCATGCTTCCTATTTGTTTCCTTTGGCACATTACAACAATCAAGGCTTATCCACTAGGTGAAGTGGGCTAGACTTATCCCAGTAGGTGAGGTTGGATACATGATCACAACTAAATTTTTAGAAATATTATTAATCAAATGATCTCCTTTAATAAATTACTCTTAGGTTCTTATGGCTCTCCTCCTACCTGTTTTTGCAAGACTAAAAGTCATTTTCTTTGGCACATTGAAGGAAAGATATGAATTGAAACATATTAGGTGTTATCTTTAAATTTTCTCAAACCTTAATGACATTTTACTTCAAAATTTCACATTCAAAGTTATCTTACTCCGTTTGGCATTTGGATGGCTTTGCACTGCCACCATAAGGTTTCTTAGAGAAGAACCTTAGAAGAGAAGAAGAAGTGGGGTTAAGGTTTCTGTTTGGAAAATTGTTGATGGAGAAACACTTGGAAGTGTTTTTCCCCGCTTAGATTGTCCAATGTGGTGCTTTTCCATCTTCATTATGTTATAGAAACTGTTATTAATGTATATTTGGGAGTATGAAGAAACAGTAACGTATTACCTTTCTTGGCATGACCGATGATGAGGAGGCAAAGTGGATTGATCCGTTTGGACTTCGACTTGTGGTGCCAGTCTCTTCCTACAACCAAATAATTATTGCCCTTATAATTGTGGTGTTTTAACTGGAGAAAAGTTGATTTGTCTGTTGCGTTACTCATTACTCGCCTTCAACATCCAGAGAAGACACGTATCTTCTCTTCCCTTACCCAGTTGTAAAGAGGTGTAGTAGAATGGTGAAATGATATAGGGGACGTTATTATGTTGTAGGATAAAGGTATAAAGCACATTGACATGAATAATAACTATCCTCTATTTTGTCGTATCGAATTGATAGTGTTTGTCATTACTTTCATTGGATTTCATAGACAAACTTCATCATTCTCATTTTGTCTTTTGTATCTTCAATGATAACCATTTTGAATTTCTGTTTTTAGGACTTTACTTTGGAACAAGATAGTATTACACCCACTAATGGGTGGAAGGCCTACTATGCTGCAACAAGAGCAATTGTGAATATTAATACAGAATTCTTCAACATTGTTAGAGATAAGTCTATTCCAGCAATGAGTCGTTTTTGGCTAAATGCAGATTATGTGAAGTGCATTCATGCCTCAGGAGAACTCTTTTCTGGGTATGTATTTTTGTTTCTTAAGTTCTATTTTAAAATTATCCATTTTGCAGAAGTAATTCTTCGCATTTTTGGACTTGCGGTTCAAGTTGATTTTTTGTTGTGACATGGATGGTATATGCTGTGATACCTGAAAAGATTGTTTATCAAGTCCAATATATATCATATTGGCAAAAGTTTTTTGGATGCTTATATCTGACTTTGGTCACTGAGTTTCATATTTTATCAGTGATTTAAGCCTGGAGAGGATATATAATTCTTATGTTATACCCATGTAAGGTTTCACTCCTTACCACAGATATTTTTTGGGGATAAGAAAAGCATATTATAATTTGGTTCCCAGTGGGAACCCTGCCCTTCCCCTTCCCTTTTCCTCCTTCATGTTTATTCTGTTATGGCAGGCTGTGTTCCTAGTGTTGGAGACATCTCATCTACCATGTTAGCAATATGGTGGTCCAAAATTCCCATCGGTGTTGTTTTAGGATATTTTGAATGAACACCCCTCTAGTATACTATTTTCATGCCCTTAAGACTTGTTTTGCATTAATTTGGAGCTTGATGCTTCAGAGATACAAGCAGTTTGAACATATGATAGAATATTTTCGTTCTTGGAAAAATATCATATTTATTCCATTTGTAATTCTTTCTAAAGTGGTTGCAATCTTGTGAAACTTATATATCCATTTTTTTTCCTACTTCAGTCTAATTGCCACGGTACTAGTGAGCAATTATGAGTTCAGTAACACGATCGTCCATGCTACAGGTATAATGCGGTAATGCAGAGTTGGCAACTCGTATTCAACTGGGAGCAAGGATTGAACTTTCAGGTTCGAGACGTACGTGCTCGGGTCTTGACAGACATGGCTTGGGTTACCATGAAAACAAATGTTGCTGATCTGGATACAGGGCCATTCAATGTGACCAATGTTTTTGAATTCCATAATGGACGGTGGTATATGGTTCATCACCACAGTTCTGTGATGAATGGGGAGGTGGAGCACCAGATTGTGCATGGATAATAGTGAGAGATGATACATTGTTATGTCTGATACTGGTTACAAAGGTGGTTTTATTTACAGAAGCAAGATGCTTGAAATTTTTGTGATTTCTTTGGAAGATCCTTTTTTAGTTTACAATGTTAGTTTCATTTTTATACTGTATATAAGACAGGAAGTCGCAATGGCTATGGCGCCAGAAAAGAGTTATAAGTACAGTAATTGGATTTAAGTAAACACATATGATGGGTGGAAAGGATGGCTAGCTGTGAAATGAAACGTTGGATCAGGACGTTCGCTGGCATCAAATCTTAAAGGCGAGACTTGTAAAAACCAAGGCTAAGGAGGCAAATGCAAAAGCATTCTCCATTTTTGTCGTGCATCTTAGCAATGTGCATTTTTTTTACTGTGAGTTGAATTTTGAATCTTATGCTAACAAAATGATGATTTTACTGTAAAGCTATTAGAGATTTAGAATTGGTGGCCAAGAAGTATTGCTTTTCCTCCGACAAGGCGATGATAATCATGAAACAGATTTTGGATATCAAAGGGAAACGAAAATAATCATGTACAGATTGAGAATGTGCCGAAAATTTCCAAAACGATATTATCAGACTGTTTACATTAGTCTCTAAAGCAATGTAAATCAAAACTAAATCACAATTTAAGAAATATTGACAAGAGTTAATTAGTCTCTAAAGGTAAAATTAATTCTTGCCTCTTTTCTAATAAAAATATGTAATTTAGATTAATTATACATGTATTTTGATCATATTTAATGATTAAAAGTTTTTTTTAAATTAATTGTATTTAACTTTAAAGGGACGAATATTGTTTAGCTCTACTGTCTGTCATGAAAATGGATTTTTGATACGTTTTAAAAAGAATGCTTAATGGTTAATTTGAATACTAATTTATTATAAGAAATCTCGAATGAGATTCATAATTATGCGGAATGAGTAATGAGTGGTGAAGTGGGTGCCTCGTTAGCAGCCTCACAAATAAAAACAGTGGTGCTCGTTATCCATGCTAAAGAGTTTAAGAGCGAGAGAGAATGACAATATCTCTTTTCTCAGTTCCTACGCCTCATCAGGCACAATTGTACAAGAACAATTACTCATACCCTTCTTTTCCAAAGTTAACTATTCCTCTGTGCTCTCCTTCCACTCCAACTTCTGTTATAGAAGAAGAGGGTACTTCTCCTTCACCAGATGACCCATCTGAATATTTGCCAAACAGCGGTTGTAAGGGGTGTGGAAGAGAAGAAATGGAGAAAGGATGCAATGGGGAAGGAAGGATTCAGGGTGGTATTGCAAATGTACCCGGCTTTGGCTGGTGGCCCATTAAGGCTTACAGGCCATGCCCTTCATTCGTGGCATCTGGTGGTAGGTATAGGCGACAAGGACAAAGCATGGACGAGGTTATCTCACCCACTAGCTCCAAGCCTAGGTACATCACCTTCTCACGCACTATAATCTTTTATCTTATTCTTTGTTACTACTTATGATTCATCAAACCTGCAATATTACCTTTGTGTGCTTTTAAGAAATTGTTAAGATGTCTAAGAATATTGTCAGAATAATGCTTGTAAGGCTTAAACAGTCATCTTCCGGGTAACTAGGTTTTGTGAGTGAGATAGACTTAATATTTTTACTATAGCATCAGAATGTTTAACTATTGGGCTAATTTTTAGTTCTTCAAATTTTACGTGCTAGATGTCCAGTACTGAACATAATAGGAGTGTTAACTGTTAAGATGTACCATATTAGCTAAAAATATGGTCAAAATACTCCTTATAAGGTTTAGACAATTCTCTTCCTAAGAGCTAGCTTTTAAGTGAGTTAGGTTCATTATTTCTAATAATAGGGGCTCAAGTTCCATTTTTGAGAAGAGTATCTTCTGAACAAATACAAACTAGTTTTGGTGCAGGTGGTCTTTCATTGATTATTGAATGCCTTAACTATTGATTTGGCGAATATCTGGTTGGGACTTAGTTGAGTAGAAGGTCTTTAGATCTGCATGCTGATTGCACGAGAAGCACATAATCTTATTTTGCGTCTGTTTTCCACTTCATTTGCGGTTGATTGTACATTCTTACAAGTTTATGCAGATGATTGAAAAGCTTGAGATTGTTATCAACTGAAGTGTCCTTGTTTGTTTCCATGTTATGGACCAAGGAATTTTAGTACTGAAGGGGAATTCTTTATCTTGAATGATCCAAATTACTGTCTGAACTCTTCGTGTATTAATCTTATTATAAAGTTAAGGTGACATTGTGTTTTTCTAAGAGTCTGGGTTTTATTTATCATGGTTTTCTGATCTTTCATGCACCCTTTTTAGCTTCTAATTAGCCAAATTAATGTTCAAACTTGTTTATTGATCTTATAAAGTGGGTTGAGGTGACATTCTATTTGAGAATCTGAGTTCTAATTACTGTGATTTCTAATCTTTCATGTACCTCTTTAGCTTCTAATGAGTGATGTATAATGGTGCCAAAATTTTCAGAAACAAAAAGGAAGATCCGAAGAAATTTAAGAGGTAAAAATGTTCAGGAGGAGTACACCAGACATTGCTTTGTTGAGGTGAAATAAAACCTGTAGCTTCAAGGAGAAGGGGAAGAAAATGTCAGTGATATTCTGGTTTGCTACAGATGTTAAACTCAATATTCTGCAAGGACTATGGAAATGTGTAACATATCTTATCAATGCATTGGTAAATAGGGGATGTCATTTAATCATGCATGTTGGATGTCTTTGAATCTCAACAGCTTTTTTCTTTTCATTCATAACCAGTTCAACTGATATAGAATTGGGCTAAAGTAGGGATATTTCTCTCCTTTGTTTAAAATAAGTTTAAGGTTCTGTAATTTAAGTTAGGGAAGTACACCCTTGTTTTAACTTTGAAGGACTAAAAATGATTTTAACACATACAGAATGAATAATGTCAAATTTTGAGATTGAGTTATTTACTATTACTTCGAGAACAGGGCAATTCCATGGCTACTATCCGATATTATCTAAGTATTGATTATTTATAGCTAAGAAATGAAGCACCAATCAACTATAATTTTGTAAATAAAGCAAACAGTCAATTGTGGTATGGTCTGATTCAAAGTTATTTTTGCTTCCTTGGAATCCTTTTTATTTGCATGCTTAAAAGGGTAACGCATAAATTAAAAAATGTAATTAATATTTTTTATTGTTAGTAAAATTAGTTTTAACTTCCTAATGCAAGATCTGCTATTATTTCTTTCTCATTTATGATAAACCAGTTGAGATATTAATGTCATGCATGGGTTTTTATATTTAATAATTATGAGATTTTTCTATGTATTTATGTTGTATTAAATTCAGTTAATTTTTAAAAAAAAATTATAATTTAAAGGGATGTCAAATATTTAATTAAAATACATGCATTAAAATTATCAACTTTTAACTTAATTGACTTTATAAGAACAAAACTTTGTTATTAAATATTTATTTGTTATAATTTAAGATATGTGAATAATAATAATAATAAATTTTTAATTGTATTCAAGAGCATATGTTAAGAAACATTAAATATATTTTTTTATTAAATACATTAAATTATCATTTAAAATACACATTGAATAATTTTATAATTTTTAGAGAATAGATATTTTATGTTTTAATAAAAAAAATTATTTTAAAATTCTTAATATGCACCTTTGAACACTTTAAAAAAAATAGACTAAACTGTGATTTTGATCTCTGAGTCTAAACTTTAAACACATTGAATAATTTTATAATTTTCAGATAATAAATATTTTATGTTTTAATAAAAAAATTATTTTAAAATTCTTAATATGCACCTTTGAACACTTTAAAAAAAGACTAAACTGTGATTTTGATCTCTGAGCCTAAACCTTAAACACATTGAATAATTTTATAATTTTCAGATAATAGATGTTTTATGTTTTAATAAAAAAAATTATTTTAAAATTCTTAATATGCACCTTTGAACATTTAAAAAAAAGACTAAAATGTGATTTTGATCTCCCAAGAGAGTTTGTATCGTGCATTTTAGTCCTTAAAAAATTAATATCATGTTTGTCCTTGATTTTCATTTTCGTTGAGCATTTAAATTCCTAGACTTAGACGCCATTAATAGACAGTAACGGATTACTGACATGTCATGTTAAACGATACTTGTCATTATTTACGTGTCAAAATAAAGCTGACATGTTATGTTAAATGAAACGTGTCATTAATTACGTGATAAAAACAATGTTGTATGTAGTATAGTATATGTTTTTGTTTTTTTAATTCTTGAGATTATAACTTATCAGACATTTTAGTTTCTGAGATTATAACCCATTGTTTTCTGAATTTATTTTGCTTTCATTTTCATATCTTTCCTTCACATTCTCTTTAGTTTCTTTTTATGTGAATGTGACAACTCTTCTTCTTTGCAATTTTTCTTTGTATATGTTCATGCATTCATATCTAATATTTAGGCTTTACTTGAGTACAAAATCTTGAGTTATAAGTGATGAAACTGTCATTGGTGTGAGCGCAATCTATTACATTGGTGTAACTTGAAGATGATGCGTTGGGTTTTGAACAATAATAACTGATTTTGATGATGCTACAATTTACAATGGGTTAAGATAACGACAATGGTTTCAGCATGACTCTTCTATCATTTTGACGAGTGCAAGAACTTCAATCCCTCTTCCCTTCCCTTCCCTTCCTTTATCTTCCCCTTCTTACAAAGCCACCAACCATCTTGCAAATGCAGCTCTAAATGATTATTTTCTATCATCTCCTCCACCATATTATTTTTCAACAGAACCTCCTCACCTTTCTTCTCTTTCTCTCTCTCAGGGATTAAAAAGTTTATCGGTGATAATTTTAGAGACTAAAATATTCGTCGGTGACAATTTCAGAGACTAAAATATCTGTCATTGACAATTTCAGGGACTAAAATACTCGACGAGTTATAATTTCAAGGAGTAAAATGAAACAAAAACATATATTATACTATATACGACGTCATTTTTGCTATGTAATCAATGACACGTGTCACTTAACATAACACGTCAGCATCATTTTGTCACGTAAGTAATGACATGTGTCACTTAACGTGACATATTAATATTCCATTATTGTCTATTAACAGTGTATGGGTTTAGAGACTTAAATGTACGACAAAAATGAAGGTCAGGAACTAACGTAATATTTTAAATTTTTTAGGGACTAAAATGCAAGACATAGACTCTTTTGGGACTAAAATGAGAGTTTAGTCTTAAAAAAAAATGTGTTATAGTATGTATTATGAAATATTTTTTATACTTGAACTTACATAGTTAAAGTAAAGCTTTGATAGGATTGCACGATAATTTCATGATAGATTAAATATAAATAGAAAATTTACAATTTAGAAAATGATTATTCTGAAAAAAAGCCAATTGCATAATGCTTAAGTTTAAAAATATGAGAAAACTTAGGTTTAAATTTAAGAATTACTCAAATATCATACCTTCAGACAGGGTAATGATGACATTTCTTGCAATTTGTATCTTCTAAATTTGATATGATATATTGATTGAAATTTTAGAATTAACGTTTATTTAAATTTTAAATAAACACAAGAAATTAGGCTAAAAACGAAGGAATGTGATGTTGTAATACTGATAATGTATTTAAAAGATTTTATTAATTTTATATATCTCTCTTAATTATTTAAAAATTAGTTTAATAACTTGTGTAATATACTGGTATCTTTTAAAATATATATATATATATATATAATTTAATAATTAAATAAAACCTTATATTTTATAATAATTATATATAAAAACAATAATAATTTATTTAAATAATAAATTTTTAAATTATTTTGACTTAATTGTGTACCTATAAATAATGTATATCAAAATATGAAGATTTAATAAAATTCAATAATTTTAAAATAATAATCATTTTTAAGAGATAACATTCATAAAAGTAAAATTTAAATTTTTAAAAAAATATAATTTTTATAAATAAAAAATTAAATATTTGTAATATATATATATATATATATATATAGTAAGAAAAAAAGTAATAATTTTAATTTTTAAAATTTAATATAAAATTAACAAAAATGTGGATAAAAAAAATATTGTAGAAAGAGAAAGTGTAATTTATATATTATTTTTAGTCAATTTTTATTTAAAAGTATATGCATGACAAGCTACGAATGAAAATAATGTTTTATTGTAGATGATAATAGATGAAAAAACTTGTCCTGTTCGTGGAGATTAAAAGTAAAACTAAAACATGACAAGGAAAGAGACAAATTTGAACTCAAAACTCGAACGTGACATGTTAGTAAGATGAGTATTTATTCATATAATTTCACTTTTAAGAGTGCAGACTCAAAAAGTCAAAAATATATAAATGCATTAAACGGTTAAAAGTTAAGTAGAGTTAATAATACAATAAAAAGCAATAATTAATATTATGTTAGTGTATTTTTGGATTTGGCTAATTTTAAGGACTACCTCAATAAATCAATTACAAATATAATTAATGATCAGGATCTCATATGAAATATTTTTATGTTTGAACATGATAAATGCAAAAGAATTCAAAATAGTTTGTTTTATTTAAATTATTTGAAAATATATTTTTATAGAAGTATAAAAATATAAAATCATCTGTGATAATTATTCTTATTTAAAAAATCAATTTTTAATTATAAAATAAAAATGTAGTGAACTCTCAAATATTTTATTTCAAGTTTCCTTAAGTGGGCTCAACCTTTTCCAGCTGTTTAGACTCCTCCTCACAATCCTTCTCAATTTTGAACACTTATCTAGATTATCTATTTTTTGTCTGTCTAGTCAATCACTTGATGAAAATAATTTCTCTTTCTGTTCACTGTAAAATGAATATGAAGATCTTTTCTTTTTATAGTCAGAAGTTAATAGTAATTATTAATTTTATTTTCGCTACATAATATTTTTTTATCCATAAAGATAAAATATTGATTAAAGAATAATAAATAATTTTATTAATTTATTCTTAATTAAAAATGCACTAATTAATTATTTTAACTAAAAAAACTATTAAAGAATTATTTAATAAATATTCACAGGAAATTAACCTTGCTGTTATTATTTCACCCTCCCTTTTTAGCAAAAAGTAGGGCCAACACCCCAATTCATATTCACTCGCACGCACCCTCTCTATCGATTGTTTGGGTATCAGAGAAATCAGAGAGAGTGGAACAATGGACGATGCTGAAACCAAAGGAAGAATTGAGGTAACAGTTCGTAAGATATTGCAAGAATCAGACATGGACGAGGTTACTGAGTCGAAGATTCGAAAGCAAGCTTCCAACCAACTCGGCCTCGACCTATCTCAACCTCACTTCAAAGCCTTCGTGAAGCAGGTTGTGAAGGCTTTTCTCCAAGAGAAACAAGAAGAAGAACAACAACAAGACGAAGAAGAAGAGGAGCAGGGAGGTTCCAAGGACAAGGAGTACGATGATGATGGCGATCTCATCATCTGCAAGGTCCCTTTTTTTGTTTTTCTTTCCCTTGACCCTTTTGGTCACTTCACTCACTGATGTAACAATGGGAAAAGGGTTGATTAGGTCAATGATTTTCTTTTTGTCTTTTTGGAGATTTCAGCTTTCAGAGAGGAGAAGGGTAACTATTCAGGATTTTAAAGGGAAAACATTGGTCTCCATTCGGGAGTTTTATAGAAAGGATGGCAAGGAACTTCCTACTTCCAAAGGTACTTAATTTTATATTATGCTTTTCCTTTTAACTTAATCTGGATTCTCCTTATTCTATATTAGAGCAAAATTAGTTTTGGATTCTGGGGTTTCTCAAAGTTTTGATTCTTCGTATGTCTTTTTCCGAAATAGGGATAGGTTGGAGATTTTGGATTCTCCTCATTCATTTCCGATGCTATCTCAAGGCATTCGATGGGACTGTTTATGTTGATATCATGTTGTACACTGTTTCATGCATGCCTTCCATATGCAATGCAATGAAATAAAAGGCATCGGCCTTGTCTGTAATGTCTGACTGCAGTTTTGTTTCAAATGCCTTCAGTTCAACTTCTGCATTTTCAGACGAATGTCTAGTTGGACACCTCAAAAGTAGAAGTTGGGGATTTAGTTATGGATTAGGTTTAGCTTTTTCTAGTAGGGCTCTTGTCATACTCCATTTGGTATCTAAGAAACATTAGGATCACAAATGGGTTGGAATTCCCTCACCCAGTAATACTCCATTGTGTTAATAAGACTGGTTTATGTTTATTCCTTATGCAGATCAGTAGTGTCTTGAGTTCAAACTACCTGCTTTCAATTTAGGTTTGGCTTCAGCTTTAATTGGTGTACCCTGGCTTTGCCATGTTGCCAAGTTGACTTGATAGAAGCCTCTGTTGTAATTGGCATGCCAAAATTTGCAGAGTTAAGAACTTCATTTGTATCTAAGCATGCAATTGTTTATGCGCATATAAACCTATTTGGTGTTGCATTCCTGTGTGATGCAAAACCTATCCCTATCATGCAGTAAGATTAGTATTGTTCTACATTTGATTTTGTCAACCTTATGCCTTGCTAGCTGTAAAAATACTCACATGTAGATTATAAACAGAACTTTCTACTAAGAAACATGAAAGCTTCTATATTCTATATAGAACAGGAAAGATCTGTATCTACATGCCTGCTAAAAAAATATGCTCTTTGTTCCAGATGATAATGCTTATTTTTCTTACCTATAATCTAGAACTAGAACTATGAAAAGAAAGCAAATTTTGTTGTTACCTACTTCAGACAAGTGATGCCAATAGTAGCAATTTGGCCTTGTGTACTGCTCAATTTTTTTATAAACGTTTGTTTCTTCATACAACAAACGATGCCACTCGATAACTCAATAATCAAAGCTCGTTTCTGAATTATAACTTTCTTTGTCTTTTAGGAATAAGTTTGACAGAGGAGCAGTGGTCGTCCTTCAAGAAAAATGTGCCTGCCATAGAAAAAGCCATTAAGAAGATGGAGTCACGCAACATGTAAGGATGCGAGAATGGCAATCTGCAGACTAAGTATATATACCTCACTTCTCATGGACATACTAAGTTGATGTCTCAACTCTCAAATGATGTGGCTTTGCTTTTGTCTGTTTTGGGCAAGTAACCTACATCAGTGTCATTTTGATATCAACCATTTTGTTTAAAGACTTGACATCACTGTGAATGTACTGTTTAAGTGTAATGCAACCCGAGTTTTTAGGGCCATTTTGGGAAGACTCCGGAGCAAGGCTGAAATGAAAGCCGTGAACTTTAAACTATATATATTAATCTCGTATTTCCTTCAATATCACTGAGTCTTCTGAGTCAGTTTCTCAAGTTATGTCAACTTTTGCTAGAAATGGGGACACAGGCTTGTTTCCTGTTAGTACTAAGTTGTTTTGTTTGCGATGGTTGAGTTCAATTTGGTAATATGTTCATGAGTGGCTGCAAAAACATAAAACTAAGAAGTGAAAAGATCTATTTTTTTTTCTCACGAATGTTAACAGGTTTATGGGAATTCTCCGGTGCTCCATGCCTTGCCTAGTTGGCGAGGTGATTCACCGAACCTGCTACATTTGTTAATAAATTACCCTCCATTATTGCTTACTAAAATATGTTTACTAACAGATAATTTCTTATAGCAGTACGGTGCAGCATCATATATATCGACAGCAAGAAGTGGCGAAATGAATTCTTATATTTTCATACTTTTTTTTCTTACATTCATTTTTTATTGTCTTTTTTTTTTGTTTGTTATCGTATCATCGATCATATTTCTGACTTTTTCTTTTTCACCTTCACTTATTTTACACCCAAAAAGTAAGTGTGAACGCATAATTCTCCTTAGCAAGTTTTTATAGTCCATGATATCCTTTGATTTGTTGACGGGGAGGGATATGTCTCATAGTTTATATAGGGCAAGATAAAGATATTTATGGACACAGATTACTGACCCCTCGTGAAAAAGAAAAACATTATTAGATAGACCTATGTGCTCATATCCAGACACCAGATGGAGTCCAACTGGTCTTGGCACCCAGCATATTGACCTGATAATCGTCGAGTATGTCTTCAAACCAGTTTGTTATGTTGACAAAAAAGAAGTGTTATAAAAGTAAATAAATAAAACGTTTTTATTAAAAATAAACAAATTTTAAAGACACCCTTCTCATGCTTTAAGAGTGAATGTTTGGAATATGAAGTTTGTAAATTTGAATATCTGTGCGATTTAACATTAAGATTGAATTATTTTGACGTGATATTAGAAATAGATTTGAGTTTAATTCACTTATAAAAATAATTATAGAGAGGTTCAGAGGAGTATCGTTTAAATTTTATATTTTTAATCAGATAAAAAAGCTATATTTAAATAAATGTGGGATATCTTATCAGTTTTTTTGTTTGTACCGTGCCTTTTTTAGTCCGGGTAGGGAGATGGGAAATTGAAAATGATCCAGGTGTTTTAACGCATAGTTGAACTTATGAAACAATTCGGTACAAACCTGCACAAATTTTATCCTCTTTTCAAGACATCTTTAGTGATGGACTTCATATATACAATGCACACATGGAATACTTGTTTATGCACCAATGTTGCCAATTAGTTTTGGCAATCAAGTCAACTGATTTATTAAATCGCATTAAATCCTCTCAACCATCACATTTAGCGAGACATCTCTCTCAACCCAAATCCATTTATGATACTATTAGTGAATTTGGTCTTCTGTGGTAAGTAAGATGCAAGAAACAGAAATCTAGAAATACTATAAAACTGAAAACTGTTCAATGATCATTACATCATATCACATCATTGATATTTGGACAGGTAATCCAAATATATCATTTATGAACCTTGTTTGTTAGGGAAAACCTAACATGCTCACCAAGTGCTTTCTCCATAGATTGTACTACTAGCTAGAAAAACTTTCCCTAACAAGAACTCAAACCCAAATTAGACCCTGCAGTGGCAGTGCTATTAGTAATCTTTCCACTATTAACGTGCGTCCAGAATGTACCTAAAAGCGTTGTCTTCCAAGTGGTGATGGTTCTGCTCCTTGTAGGGCTACTAGTAGAGCTTGCAGTTGCAGCCATCCTCATCTTCTCAATCAGTGCCTCAGTATTCACCTCCTCTGACAAAATCTCCTCTAGTTGTCTTGTGTCAATCACCAACTTCACTCTCCATACACCATTCTTAGCTGATGACAGGACTTCAAGAGCAGACCCATTTGCTAGATTCTTCACATAATCACAAGGTGCACCACCAAGTGACTCGTTTGGTTGCTCATCATCTTTCACACCCTTACACTCTTCTTCCTCAGATCTTTGAACAAGCTCTTTACTTTGCACTTGTTCTGAAACCCCACTTGTGTTGACTTGCACCTCCTTCAAGGGAAGAAGATAATAGAAAAGAGCATAGCTTAAGCTCTCTTGGGGTGGCAAAGGTGATGAGGCATGACCTTGGCGAAAAATACCATAACCTGGGTAATGTTGAAGCACTTGAGCTACTGTTTTAGGAGCTTTGAATTGTAAAATAGCACCACTATCACTCAGAACCCGAATGGAGTGGTGACACTCTCCAGTGGTACTCTTGATAGAGCAATTCCCCATTTGCTAGATTTCACCTTCAATGGGTGTATGTGTTCGTTTTCATAGAACCAGAAGCTTATATTTGAAGTTTCAAAAACTTGTCCTCATTGTGTCACGGCACGTTACTGTCCTCTTTGGATTTGTTGTTTATTTTATTTTTATTCGTGTATTTTACCTTAGCGGCGCGCATGTGAAATTGGACCGTTGGGAACTACTTTGACAAATGGTGTGTGTTTGTGATGACTGATCCAAAGGGAAAACAACAGAATAAGAGGTGTATTTCATAATTTAATAATATTAAGAAACAAACATTTCAGAACCATTCTTATTTGAGTTATTTCAAATATCCGCGCCAGATGCTCCATCCACTTGTGCTCTCTATTGCCCCTTCTACACATTGATTTCAAATAATCCTCCACGCCTCTCTGTCTTTTCTGTGTTGCAAATTCAATGCCCTTCTATTTTTCTGGTGAAATTTTTTGAATGCATTTGATCATCTTGGGAAGAGTTGTTGGAAGTTATTAAATTCCACCCTATATATTCCGAGAACATAAAAAGAAGCAAGTAACTTTTGTTTTGTACAACTTTCATTTTACATAACTCCTTATTTTTCACATATGGTTAGTTCTTTCTTATGCAAGAATAGTTACCATCAATTTTTTGGTAAGAATTGAAGTGATGGGAATAGAAAAAAAAAAGAGTGAAACTCATCATCTTTATTATCTATCAATCAACCATGTTATTAGTCAAAATCACCATTCATGACTTCTTACTTGTTTTTTTTAGTTATATGAGAGGTGTAAATATTTAAATATTTAGGTTGAGAAGAAAAAAATGGTTTTATAATTTTATTTGATGCAAAAAAGAAAAATCACTTTTTGCACCATTCTTTTACTAGTCATGCTATCCTTTTTCTTGTCATTTAAAAAAACTATATATATTGAAAAATATTAAACATTTATTTTTTATATAATTTATTTGTCAGGATTTTATTAGAGTATTTAATATAATTAAAATTGAATTCATTGAAGTAATGCAACAAAAAATGTTGTATAATTAAAAAGTTATTAAAAATATTTTAATAATATAAAATTTATTTATATCGTTATTAAATTATGAATTGTCGTGAACGGTATTTTTTGTGATAATTAATTTATAAATTAACTGTAAAAGGCAATAAGCAGAGAAAAGAAGATAGGACAAAAGATAGAATTTTTTAAATCAACATCACATTCAAATCTAAAACGACGGGGCTAATTGATTGAATTATAAGTTCATTCATTTGTCTAATTTTTTACTTTAAACTGAAGAAAATTCCCATGCTCTTGTCTGAACGTGAAGCACATTTTGGATAAGGAGGCGAGAGAGAATTTTCTGAAATCTAAATCATCGTACCTCATAGGTTCGATGTATGGGTAATGGGGCATCAAATTAGGGTTACAAAGAAATATTACAAGATTCCTTCACGGACCTTCTTTTTGTCTATTCGCCCCGTGACACTTCCCCGTCAATATGCCAGGGTTTTCAACCATGTCCATGGCATTGGGATCATGACATTTTTTTTATTGAAAAGTAAATTTATTAACATTAATTTCTAGAATTAACTTTTTAATATTTTTTTAAATTTTTATTATACTTTCCTACATGATTTTTTAATTGATCTTTTACAAATTCTTTAAAAATGCTATAAATTGAAAAGTGCATGCATTAATCTATTACCTAAGGCTTGTATGGGAGTTTAGAAGAAGATTGAAGGAAAAGATTTAAAGGGTAAAGGAAAGAAGGGTAAGGAGAATTAAACTCTTTTGTTGTTTAGATATTTAATACGAAGAAGGAAGAATTTTAAAATGTTTATTTACGATATTTGTTCTTTGGATCAGTTATCACAAATATACTATTTGACACAAGGTTAAATTTAGATTTTTTTCTCATAAATATCAGAGAGAGAAACATTTTTTCCAATAAAAAATAATTACCATTATTTGGAAGGAAGAAATCAAAGATAATTTGTAAAGTGAGACCAAAGAGAGAGCGAAAAAAATAAGATCGAAGAACAAAAAGTGGAGCGAAAGAGCAAAGAGTCAAGAGCGAATAATGAGAGTGAGAAAGTGAGAGAAATACACCCTAATTGTGAGAAGAGAGCAGAGAATAGAGAGTAGAGTGAATAGTCAGAAACAGATAGTAGAATGAGAGATGCACCTTTTAAAAATAAACTAAAAATAAATTAGTTATTTTAAAAATTTATTTCAAAAACTCTATAATGGAGAACTTACAAAATTAAGTTTGAAAGAATTTTGGGATTAGAAAAAATCCCTAACCCTCCTTCTTCAAATTAATTAACTCTCAAATAAAAATTAAACCCTACTAATAGTAATTCTTCTCTTTCTTTCTCTTTTCTTCTTAAATATAATTCTCAAACAAAGCTTAAAGAATGATTAGGCTCAAATTAAATGTAATTTTTTTATAAATTGAGATTTGAGTGCGAGAGTGTTGATTAGGAACCTGATAATTATATCAAAACATACATTACACCCAAGCTGGACTAAAAATATTATAGTCTTTATGCATATAATCGATTTGAATTAGATATTGTCTCATAGTCTTGTATGATTCAAATTAGATTTGTCGGATGAAATTATTAAATGTAAATTCAACAGTGAATATTTCTGTTGTAGAGGATCTGAACGCATGTCTCGGATAAAAAAAAAATGTTAAGGATGTTCTCATTTAGTTAATAGTTATAAATAGCAAGTATTTTTTTCTTGATCTTAAAAAAAGCTCTTAGTACAATCAAATTAGGATGACAAAGCTGACCATAATCTCCATGAGCACTCAAGCTGTTTTTTTTTTGGTTATTATTAATATAGTTAATTGATCTTAACATATATTGTCATTGTCGTGCTTGCAGGCAATATAAATAAAGACTCATGATTCAAAATTAATTGCTGAGAAGGGTGAAGGTGTTAGGAAACATGCTAATGAGGCCTAACTCATAGAGGACTAACCAAACCACCCAACTTTACTGTTTGTTATTATAAGGCCCAATTTGAAATTTTGTTACCATGTAGAGACCAGATTAAAAATAAGCGTAATAGGTAGGAATCAAAATTTTGATTTAACACAAGTTACATTACACAATTAGTCAAACATAAGTTGGTCAACATAACCTAATAGTTATCAGAATAAGTGACAATGTATTGAAAAAAAAAACTATATATAAAAAATAATTTAAAAGATTTTTCCCTATAAATAAATAAACCTGAAAAATATAATGTATAAAAAATTAAAAGTTTAATTTAATACTTAGGCAGATACAAGCAGGTAATTCAGTCACAATCCATTAACCTCGTAAAAATGATTAAATGACGATGTTATTATAGCTGTAGAGGCTACAGTGAATAATGATTTTACATAAGGATTAACTAATTTCAATTTTATTATATAACTAAACTGAAAATGAGCAAAACTAAAAGTTTAATTTTTTACTTTTACTTTTCTTTTGTGGTAAAATATCTTGATCTTTTTCAATATGCTTTTTATTCTGCAAAATATGCCACGAGATCAAGGACTAAAAAATAAAACAATAAGTACCTGTTTGGTGTATGGAATTAGACATTCAAATTGGAATTAGTTTTCAGAATTTTAATTATCACATTTGAATGTTCATTTGGAATTAGAATTAGAATTTTATGAAATTTTAAAACAACTAAATTTGATTCACTTCAATTCTTTACTTGCATCCTATGAATCCTAATATTATATTTCACGAATACACTTTCACTTATCATGGCTCCTCCCCCGTCTTTGTTCATCTCTGTGGTTCATAATTCACAAATACACTTATATATCGTGCCTCTTTCTCTTTTTCGTCTCTTTAGTTTTTCGTATTTGTAGTTATTATTTTTTTCTATATACTTTATGATTGAGTACTTTTTTTTTTCTCTTTTCCTTTGTTCTCTTTTTTTCATATGTATTTTTATTTCTCTTCTTATATTTTTCTATTTTTCTGACCGAGTATTTTTTTTTTCTTTCTCTTTCTTTATTCTCTCTTTCCCATATGCACCTTTTTTCCTCTTTTTATATTTTCCTATTTTTTTATATTTTCTTTTCCTTTTTAACTCTACTTTTACATTGATTATTAATACATTTTTCTTATTTTTTTTATTCTCTTCTTCCTCATTTTACATTGATTATGTTAAATTCTGCAGAGAATGATCCTAATAAATCTAAGCAACTTCTGCTAGCTCAGCTAACTAATTCCATTAAATCAGTAATAACTAATTATTTCCTCTTATTCTGTATATGCTATTGGAATTACTCTTCTGTATATAGTATATAGTGTAAACTATATTATATTGTTATTCTGCACTTTTTACACTTGATAAAGACACAGTAAAAAGTATACTTTTGAAGCAATTATACATGACACTGATAAAAATTATAATCAATTACGTCTTACTTATCATGTAAGCTTAGAAGAATCAATTGCAATATTTTTATTTATTTTAACTCGTGGTTTCAAAATGAGACTTATATTCAATTTATATTTTTAATTTTAAGAATTAAATTATTTTTATTATCATTCATATGCTTTCATCTAATTCATAAGAAAGATAATTTATAACATAATATTAAATTTTAATAATAAATTAAACATAAAAAATATATTTACTGTGTTATAATTTTTGAAAAAGAAATATTAAGTTATTATTTTTAACAATTTATTTAATAATTATTTTGTATTTTTTGTTAATACATTATTTTTGAAAAAATTTTAAATAAAATTTTAATGTAAAATTAAATTATTTTTTAAAAATTTAAATCTTACATCATACTATAGAATTTAATTTCAACTTAAAATTTTAATTCTACATTTTAACTCTTTTAAGTATGCCAAACATAAAATTATGATTATACACCAATTCTGATTCTGATGAAATTGAAATTGGAATTACAATTATGAATGTCAATTTTAATTCCATGCACCAAACGGACTCTAATGGATATGTAACTCCAAGTGCTTTCGGCTTCGTTGTATCTATGAGCTTTGGGTTGGGTTTCGATGTTGCAATTTTGATGGAGAAATGTTATTTCGATAATAAAATTGTTATTATGGACCAAAAAAAATTTGTTATTAGCACAACAATTATTATTATTTGACCAAAAAATATATAATAAAATTGTTCCGACGAAAAAATTAAAATAATTTTTTTATTTTATTATAAATTAAAGAAAAAAAAAGGAATGATAAGACGAATAGTGTAAAAAAATAAAAGTAAAAAATATAACATAAAGGATAACATATCTCATTTTGATACCTTTGACTACATTAAAAAACATAAAATAAATGATAAACTTTATGTATTATTTTGTAGATGTTATTAGTATTATTTATTAATTAAAATTAAAGTTTTAATTTTGTATTAATATTATTATAAATTATCAAAATAAAAATGAATTAATAAATAGTACTTATGATACTTAAAAAAAATATGCCGTTTGTCCTAAAATAAATTTAGACCGAGAAAAAAAAAAATCATAAAGATAATACCTTAGCATTTGGAAATGAGAAGCATGGAAAGGGTCCGTCACAAGTGACAACCACAAGTGTGACTGGAAGACATTGAGTAGGACCAAACAAAAATTCATCCTTTGGAGTTGGCCTTATATTGCAGGTCCACGTAAATAACACCAATGCCAGACATTTATCGTAAGGTTTCCCTCTCTCCTACACTCACTCTCCATAATTTTGTCCAATCTAAACCAAACCATTGGATAATCACTCTTCCTAAGCCACATAAATCTCATATCAAATTGTCTGTTGCCATCTTAGAATTATCATTATCAATACATTAGCTTCCTCTCCACGTTGCTTTTCTCATTTTACACTCAAATTTCACTTAAACGTGCAAAATTTTCGTTAAGTTTCTACATATAAGAAATTCATCTACATGATTTGTTGTGATATTATATTAACTTTACGTTATAGTAAATATGATGAAAATTTATATAAGATATCTCGTGTGTTAATGTTAGTGACTCGACAAATAAATCTTGGAAAAAAAAAGGCATTCTTTTAATTTTTTTTATCTTTTACCTTTTTTTAAAAAATAAGTGGATCTAAAGAAAAAGGGTGTGTAAATGAAATTGCCCCGTGGATTGAAATATATGTATCATGGACTGTAACCTATCTATATCTATCTTGTGAGTGACTCAACGTTGAGCAAGGCAACAAAACGAAATGGGGTGTGCCTCTTCGAAGCGTATCGAGGCAGCAAAAGCCCCATACCGTCCAGCACCTGCGAGCTTCGCGGTGTTTGACATCAACGCCATAGAAGAGCCATGGCTGAAGCACCTCAACAACACCAACCCTCTCCCCAAAGACAAACCCACACTACCCACCCCTATTCTACAGAAACTCAACATGTTCGACACCTCCGAAGCTCCTCAATCCTGGGACGAGGTTAGCAAGACCCTCCAAGAACTCAAACCCGTAATCAAGAAACCACCTTCCCCTTCACCTTCACCACCACAACAACCTCAACCTCCAGTTAAAAACAAGTCCTTCCGCACACTCGAAGAGTTAGATGCCAAATTCAACTCCAAGCCGGAGCCCAAGAAGGAATCGAAAGGGCCCACTGAGATGACGAGGAAAATAAACGAGGCCCGAGCTGGCCCAATTGAAGTTGAAGGGGGAAACAGCATTAAGCCAGTGAAAGATAACATCTTCATAGTGAGGGACCGCTTGGAGAGGCAAAAGGGAGAGAAGGAATCGACGTACGAACGGTTGAGGAGGGACCCACTGAGCGAGTTTCCGGAGAGGTGTCCGCCGGGGGGAAACGACGCGGTGGTGATATACACGACGTCGTTGGGGGGAGTCAGGAAGACGTTCGAGGATTGCAACAGGGCGAGGGAGGTGTTGGAGGGGCACAGAGTGGTGTACGACGAGCGCGACGTGTCGTTGCACGGTGAGTTTCTGAGGGAAATGAAGGAGTTGGTGGAGGAAGGAGTGGCTCTGCCGAGGGTGTTTGTGAAGGGAAGGTATGTGGGTGGGATTGGTGAGTTGGTGGAGCTTAACGAGTCGGGTCGACTCGGGAGGATACTGAATGCGACACGTGTGGAGAGAGGGGTTGGGAGACAAGCGTGTGGAGGGTGTGGTGGGGCTAGGTTTGTTCCTTGTTTGGATTGTGGGGGTAGTTGTAAGATTGTGGTTTATGGAGGTGACAAAGAGAGGTGCCCTAAGTGCAATGAGAATGGGTTAGTGCTTTGCCCTGCTTGTGTTTAACTCACTTTTCCTGTTTACTTTTACTCAAAATCACTTCTGCTATTAGCTAATTAATGAGGTTCTGAAATACCCACTCATTAATCATTATGAATCATCCAGTCATGTTATATATTCCTATTATTTCAGCTTATCCTTTTTTTTTTACATACATCTAAAAAAGGAAAAAAATTATAAATAAGAGTTCATTTATATTTTTAAGAAAAATATGTCATTTTTTGTAAATAAAAAAATTTACAAGTTAAAATAGCTGGAGAATTTAACATTTAATTCATGCATGCTCTTACTTGAATGTTTACTATCATGTCGTGCGTAGCATGATCGCGCAATAGTAATATGGAATATTATTATTCTTATTTTTTTATTTGTGTTTTATCTTTATTATACATGTCACGTGTGTATCATAAAAATGTTTTGAATATAAAAATAACATTTAAATATAATTTTTTCGAACATTTTTTATGGAGAATATAAAATTTTATTTTTGGATATATACACTTAAAGTGAGATACAAAGAGAAAAAACGAAAAAGTAATAAATATAATAAGTGATGTAATATAAATCAAAATTATTTTTTCATATGACTTAATGGTACTTGCGATGAAAACTTTTAATGTTTTTTCATTATTTTCTCTACGTTTTTTAAAATTTTATATCTTTTTTTTTTCTTTTCTATTATATTATTCAAATATATATTTTTTTATTGTTTTTCTATCCCTCTTCCCTGGATACCCACCCAGTCAAAAAGTATAAAACAAATATCATCCACGGCAGAATGTCACTTGAAGAGTCCGAAACCTTAGTTTTCTGATTATACCCTTTCAGTCGCTTCTTTAAATAAAGGTATAAAAAATATATATTTTTCAGTAACCAAAAATATGTATGTAATTTAAGAAAAACGAGATACAAAGTAACAATATGATTGAAAGGAATAAATACAACAAAAGATGTAATGAGAAGAGGATAGTCATAAAAAAATGTATAAGATAAATGCAAAAATTGAAATATAAAAATTAAACTTAATTTCTTAAAGCACACAAACTTTTTTTATGCTGGCTTCATATCTGATTTGTGAGACCTTATTGGTAAAAAGAAATACTCTGTGATAGAGGGCCCAACCGGGTTCGAACCGGTGACCTCTTGATCTGCAGTCAAATGCTCTACCACTGAGCTATGGACCCAATACGTTTAACAATGAATATATTTAATAGGATATTTCTGTTTTCTGTCCCTTGTAATGAAGTGACTTTATGAATTATCCCTTGGTGGCCTTAAATTTGCACAATCAGGATTTATTGCGCTTGTGGTGTTAGAAAGTTTACAAGTCTTTTATTCCTCCTTATTTTTAAATTCCTTTTTTCTTCCATTTATTTTACACCTCTTAAAAATAATGTTGTAAAACAAATATTATCCATGTAAGAATGCCATTTGAAGAGCTGAGAGGTTGGTCTTCTAGAAATGTCATTAATTACATACACTTATTTTCATAGATATATAAGAAAATTATTTGTATAATAAAATTTTCTTCAATCCTTAACCGAAGGTTCATACGAATCTTAAGAAAAAGAGATATAAGAAACAAAATTAATGAAACGAATAAACATTTAAGAGGTGTAATGAATAAACAAAGTTAATGAATTCCTCACGAGTTTTCTCAATCTCAATCGAATGAGGTTAGATTATGATTTTTTATTCTCGTAGCTTAAGTCTAACTTAACCATTCTCATCCTTAACAGGCCGTTAATGAAGAAGTTAAACTCATATCCAATCTGCTAAACATCAAATCATTTACTGTGTGTTTGGATAGAAATTTTAAAAAGATAATGTAATTTTTTAAGGATTTTAAAATATTTCACAGTAAAATGATGTGTTTTGGATGCTTCTTAAAATAATTTAAAAATTTCAAGTAATTTTATTTAGTATTTTTCTTACGTAAAAGTAAGAAAATTAAGATCGCTTCTCAATTTTTCTTAATCGCATGCATTTTCTGTTTTTAAGAGTTTGTTCATTTTTTTGTGAATTTTTTTTTTCTCACATTCTCCTTTCTTTTACAGTCGCGAACTTATTAGTTGTCTCTTTTCTACACTCTAAATATTACATTATAGTGCTTAGGTAAAGTGACCATAATTTCTAAATAAGAATAGAACATTGAAAATTTTAGTTTTAAATAAAAATTAAAAAAAAGGAAATTTTATTTTTTTAAATAAAAAATTATTTATTCTATCCAAACAAAATATTTTAAAATACAAATCTAAATAATATTATTTAAAATTTTTAAATTAAAAATTTTATGATTATTTAATCTCAACACAACCTTAATCTTAACGGTATTAAGATCGGAAGCATGCGATCAGTCCACTTAATCTAACTCCCATTTTGACAAATTAATTTACAAAAAACGTTTTTTAAACAAAAATTTACGAAATATATAAATATCGCGATTCGGCTAATAAAGCCCCCCAAAGAGGAGGCTTCCGAGCATCAGTGCATGGTCTGCATACATACAGGGATTTGACCATCCATGATTAATGATTATACATAAAGAAACTTTATTCTCATTAACTTATGTGACATTTTTATATTTAAATCTGATTTTTTTAATATTTTTATCACTTTTAAATATACTTATTTAAATTTAATTCATTCTAAGTTGAATTTAAATTTTAAAATTTGAAGCTTAAATTCATAAACATATTTAAAAATGGCACACCTTAATATAAATAGTTCATTTTATAATTGATTGGTCAGTTTTAAAAAATATTATTTCTTTAATTTATTCGTCAATTCCACAATTATTATATCTTAAATTTTTCTTATTAAACTGTAATACATATTAATGTCTTAGTAGTTGAGAGTATATAAAAATAAAATGGAGGACGATATTATTCCAACTTCTCTTAAAAAAAAGAATATATATATTTTTTAATATTATTCATGTTTTTTTCTTATTTCATATTCTGTTAAGAAATAATATATTTTTAGTATTCAAAATACTTATTTAGTTGCTTTTATATAAATATATTGACTCATACTTTTATATAAATATTTAATTGTTTGATTTTTTTTAAATTGTGCAAAATGGTAAATAATGATAAATTAATAATTTTTTTATATTAAAAGTTATAATAATTAATAAAATTATCATGCTCTTTTGTACTGTTGTACATATGAAACAAATTAATTTATTGTTGGCATATTATTTAACAGATATTTATTTAATCCTTTAACGAAATTATTGGGGAGAGATTTATAGTATAATTTATACATTTTTATAGGACTCGTTCAATAGACATAATAAGAATTAAAATTTTGAAACACAGTAATCGAATAAAATATAAGTAAAATTATTCAAGTTTTTTATAATCTGATATACCAAATCAGCTAAAATAAAATACTGGGGAAAGGAGAAAGGTAGGGGATAAGGTGTCTCGCCACCGCCATAGGCAACGGCGTAAGAATCCAAAGAAACAGTTGTGGCCAGCTAGTCTTGTGACTTACCAACTGCAGATTTGACAAATAAATTATATAAAAGTAATGAATTGTGTAATTGTCAATTAGTGGAAAGATCGCTTCTTTTTTTCCCACTCTTTTCACTGTTATGACTCAGTCCATCTGTTTGGTTTCGTTACTATTCACAATTTCTGCCTTACCATTTTCGTAGGGAAAATAACACAAAAAAATATCGATATGACTAATTATTAGCTATTCATTGAAACGAAAGAATCAACTACTTTATTATGAAAGATTCTAAATTTGAAACTTTTTTTTATTATTAATCTTCTAACTTACCCAAGGAAAAATTAAATATGCGTTTCGATTATTAAAAATTTATTAGTTTGATATTAAAAGATAAATATAAAAAACTCATTGTTTTGCATTCTTTTTTATTTAAAACTACAAATATTCTTTAGAAGTGACAACTTTGTTAAAGGAAAAATTATGACAGACAACATGATGAAATTAGATATCGCGATTGATGTTTTTTCATACAAAAGATTCTAATCTTAAACTTTATTAAAGTGTACTACTTAACTTAACATTTATTTTTATTATTATTACTATTATTTATTAATCAACGTACCTTCAAAGTTTATCTATGTTTATAAAGAATTACCTAACAGACAAGTAAATAATTTTGCATATATGTGTTGGCCTTTCGTTAGGAATTGGGAATACCAAACCATGATACGTGAGTCCCTAACCTATTGACCATGTGTTCAGAGTGCTTCATATTCATATACACAACATAGCTAAGTAGCAAAGTTTCCTTTTCTTTCATCACAAAACTGATAACCTAATTCTCTTCTCATTATCTTCTTTGTTACAACGATTCCCAATTTTCAATCAACCATTGTATAAAGATCATTATTCCCGAAAGACGCGGCACAAAATCTTGACGAAGATAGCAGTCTAATTTCCCGGTCAATGCATAAGCGTCGACCAAGGCCCGTGGATTATGCAATTATTGATTTTAGCTTTAGAATAAATCACATTGAATGAATCTATTGGTCTAGCCCCATCACAACCCATAAAAATTAACTCCTGCACCAGAAAATAGCTAACTAGTAAACTACTGAGCAATACACAAATTAATAGGGATTTGAATCGAGGTTTCCAAAAGTTCAAAGCACATATTTTATCGATTATAAGACTATATTGAACCATCATCATATCACGGCTTCACGCCTTTCCTCTAATTTAACTTATCAATACGACACAGGCTATATACGAAGCTACAAAATGCTGGCCTTCCATTTGTCGCCAATTTGTAGTTCATAAACAAAATAGTACAGCATTCTTATTGTATTCTCTTAATATGATAACAGTATACACCAAAACCAAGAAAAATGGACCACTATGCATAGCAGCCTCTATATACAAAAGTACTAGTAATACATATATAGGCTGCTAAATATCCAAGCGTCCTAAGCTATATTCATTTTGTTTTCTTGTCTTCGGACTCTTTGTCCATAGCTTTCAAACCAACCCAAATCTCTAATTATCTATTGTCTTTGTGAGAGATATTCCTGTATTATTTGTTATTTCTATCCATTTATGCCGGCAAAGCCTTGAAAGTGTCGTTGAAAGTATCTTGTTCAGCAAAAATATCCAGCAGAGACAACGCCTATAAACCAAAAAAAGGGCATAATTTAGTGAACCATGAAAAAATAGAACGAACTTTGTATATTATTTCAAAAGGGGTAACTATTGATCAAGATAAGTATAAATACCTCGGGCACATTCAGCTCAAGACGGAACTTGGGCCCATCATAGTGGTGAAGGATTGGCCTAAAGGAATCCTCCTCTAATGGTTCACAAGTTTTCCTAGTAATCACTCGTACCTGCAATCATCATTTATGAAACGTTCTAAGCTTTTACACAAACTAGCAAATTTTAGACACAATTAACTAATTAATTATTAGCATTTAGAGCTGAATTGGAGATGTTACCTGAGCAGGGAATCGAGATTCACCAGCACACTTCTTGTCCTCCCAAGCCGTTGGATCAATATTTGTACCCCCAAAACTCGCAGCCTGAACAAACCCCACCACTTATTATGACTCTTAAAATCGAAATTCTAAAATGTATTCAAAACATGTAGCTTGCAAAGGTTAAAGTGAGGGCCTAATCCATAATTTAATGTGAATTCAGCTCAGTTTCATTAAATTAAGTTAATTGAGAAAGAAGACATTAACACACCTCAAAGATTCCATGGAGTTGGTGCGTGGAATAGTTGTAAAGGAAAAGAGGCAACCCCGGAGTAATTGCCCGAACTGAATCTCTGTATCGTGGAGGCAGGCCTAAAAACACCAACATTAACCGAGAAAAAAATTAGACAATTATGTATGAAGTTAGGAAAAAAGACGGTGGTTTTTTATAATTAAAATGACTACGACAATCAAAGACTCCAATCTATAATAAAATTGTCATGGGACTCCATAAATATGTAACCAAAAACAAGCTAACTAAACATTACTGGGAAATCACTCAAACAAGGCATAAAACTCTTAAAAGTGCAGAAAGAAAAGTACATCACAATTGCATAATTGAGAAACAAGGAAAAGGGGCATACCAAAGAGCTGTCTTTTGAGATTCTCCGCCATGGTATCATTGTTGCAAACAAAGATATAGCCCCCAATGGTTTCATTCCTAGGAAGAGACTCTGATGGTGGCAGTGTCTTAAATCTCTTGTCTGCAGCAGCCTTGGCATCCTTGTTATCATTGTTGTTGTTGTCGCCATGCTTCTTGTTGGGGTTGGAATTCTTCTTGGAAGGCTTTGGAGGGTGAACAAGCTCATCTTCACCCTTGAACTTGTGTCCCTTAGGATTGATATTCAGGTTATTATTGTGAAGATTGGAAAAAGCAGGTTTGGAATAAATTCCCTTGTTGAATCCTCCATTGAGACTTGATCCACCGTCCAACCCAACACCCAAAATGTTCTGAGGCATGTTGAGGAAAGATCCATTCATATTGGTCATCTCTTTCCACCCATCGTTGTAATCAGAAGCAGGTGCTTTTGCCTTGAAAGAGTTGATTTCACCACCGACTTTGATATCAAAATTTATCCTTTCATCTTGCCTCTTGGAGATGTAATTGTTGCTCCAAATTGAATCATTCAGAGAAAGGTTGGCCAAATTGGATGACTGTATCCGAAGCTGGTCACTGAATTGCCAAAAAGATTGATTGTTCTCCATTTCCCCCCACAAAAACACAAACTACACTGATATGATGAAAAATGAAAAAGCTTGTAAAAAAACTTGAAACCTGCTTTGAGTAGATATAATATCTATGACTAAGTATATATAAAATAAAAATAAAACTTGTCTCGGCAAAGGGAGAACTAGAAGAAGCGGATGCAGAGCAGGTGGAGGTTGGAATGAGAAAAATTGAAAGGGTTGAGGACAAGTGTGATTATATAAGGGGGGATCGAAGGGGAATAAAAAAGAAAAGAAATAGGAAATAAGATGAAATGAAGCTTCGTGGAAAGTTAGAAAGGCAAAGGCTGGGGTTGCGTGTGTAATTGTCAAACGTTGAAATGAAATTTGTTTTGGGTATTGTCATTTTATTCATTTAATTGAATTTAGGTGGGTGCTGATTAGTGAGTCATGAGTGATGAGGTGGAGGAAAGGTGCAGAAAGTGGAGGGTAGCAGTTGGGTTTGATTTTGTGTACTAGTTTCTAGAAGCTGTTAGAGTTGTCTTTAGTCTTTACTTTAGTTTGAGTTCACACCAAGAATTGTGAATTGTTTTCACAACTCTCACAATTCTAATTTTAATTCGTGTGAAAGTAATAAACTAAGTTATCTAAATGGATAAATAAAAAAATAGTTTTTATTTGTCTTGTTGCTATCTTTTTGATAAAGAGAAATGAACTTGCTTAGTTGCTAAGACATGGAGGTTTGGACGCGTAAACGTAGACAACAGTGTGGAGTGGGTGAGTGCGTGTCTGTGTGTATGACACTGTGGAAGTGCGAGGCTTTTGATGCGGTCCGTGACAAACGGGCACGTCGGTATATGGCAACGGCATGTTCATATTCAATGGATCTTTATTAACTCCTCTGTTTCCTCATCCTCTCACTTACGAGTTTAATGCATATAGATACATGGATACATTAATTAATTACTTATTCTCTAATATATTAAGATTTATGCATGTGAATATAGAATTAAGTACACCAATTTATTTATATTAATATATTATAGTCAAGTATTCATAAATTAAGAAAAGTCAAATGAAGCTTATAATTCAAAGACATTAAATATTAAAAATATTACAATAATACATAAAAAAACCGAAATATGAATGTTTAAAATTAAGCATAACTTGCAAACACTGAACAATCAAAATTATCTTTTGACGGATCACGTGGAGGAAATAGTATTTGAGCCCAAAACAAATGCAAAGTTGAATTTCTGCTAGAGTTAATGGGCCTAAGCTTGATTGTAACTGCAAGACTTGGTCTTCAATAGTTTCGTTTGCTAGGGATTACTTAGGCTGCCACTGCTCATTTTTTGAACGTGTCCTTTAATCAAATATATATATTTTTTGTATAATGAATTCTTAAATTTTGTTTATATAACAAAAAAACATTGATTACGAGTAATGATAATTACTTTTAAAATTTGAAGCAGTTATTTACGATAATAATTTCATAAATCATCAATATTTGAAGTTCTGTCTCTACCCGGAGCTGCACTTGGATTAGTTTTCCATGGCCGTGTATTGTAATAGAATTTAGAAACAATTTTTTTTAAAATATATATATAAGAGATAAAATTATTATTATTAAATAGTAAAATATTATTATAAGAAAGTATAATGTTATGTAATTTATTATTAATGACGACAATCTTTATTCTATTAAATAAAAAAAATAATGATATGTAACTCTTGAAATTAAAAAAATATAAAAAAAAACATTTAAACCAAGACACGAATCATTTTTCATTTTTATTAACATGAAATTATATGTGAAAAATTAAATTAAATTTGATCAAAAATGAAAAAATAATATTGTAAACGAATAAAAAATAAATTATGAAATACTTCATGCAAGAAAAATTAGGTATTTGAATGTGAAAAAAATACTTCATTTAAAAACAAGGATTTGTTATATTTATAATACAGGAGTAGATAAGTTTTGTCATATTATTTTTTAAAATTTCCTATTAATAAATTTGTAAAAAGTTTAAAAGATAAAAAAGATGGGCTGAAATAATTTAACAAATTAAAATTTACGAAATTATAAAAATATTCTAAAAATGTGTCAATCACTGGTTTTTTTAATATAAAAAAATAAATTACCAAAATATTGATTTTTTAAATCATGAGAATATAAGAAAATTTCAAAAATTGTCAATGCAGTTTGTTTTTTATTTTTATCAATGTCGAGTTTTAATACTTTAATTTTTTATTGTTTTTTTCAAAAATTTTTATTGACTTTTTTAATATTTTAATTTTTTTATTATTTTAAAAAATATTATTGATAAATTTGATTTTTTTTAATAAAATTTTATAATTTTTAGTTATTCTACTTTTGAACTTACGTACCTACACTAAAAATTTTCCATAACAATTTTAATATATATTATTTTTAAATATAATATTGATATTAAAATTAAATGTAGCAATAAAGCATGGCCTGTGAGTACCATCACCGTTTACTATTACGATATTCAAGAAAAGAAAAAAATAATAAAAAAGCACTTGCTTTTTCCTTTCTTTCATTGCAAATAATCATTTATTATTGGACCTATTAATTATTATTCCCATATTCAGTGTTTAATGTTAGGGATACGAACCTTTTTCTCGTTAATCCACTCACTTTGTGCTGTACCCAATTAAGTTATTTTATTAATTAATATTGCAAAATACATGTTATTTCACGATAATCTTCCATAGGATTACCAATGGGGAGGGTTCTCTTCAGTAACAAAGATAGGTACATAGGAGATAAATTTTAGTATAAAATTTTTATAGTACCAATTATTATAATAAAATTTATGGCTATATATATATATATATTAATAAACTGAATTACTCATAATTTATGCAATTTCAGCTTTTAAACGAATAAGTTAAAATTTAAAATCAAATTTTATAAACTTACATAATAACTTATAAATGATTTATATATGTATGCATTTCTTAAATATTTATAGTTTTATTTATTATGATTATTTGAAAAATATAAATTTGTTTATTATTATCTTTTATATATATATATATATATATATATATATATATATATAATTTTCTTAATTTAACCTCTCCAAACTCCATATTTTGAATGGATAATCATAAACTTTATTCGAAAGAATTATGCCTTCTTTATAACTGTTAAACTATATTTTGATACAATTTTTCTTTACTTTCTAATATAAAAGGTATCCATTAAAAACTAAACTAATAAGCTTAATTTTATTCAAAGAAAAAAAGCAATGAATAAAAAAAATTTACAAATAAGATAAGTAAATTTCATGCTTTTTTTTTTAAAATTAAATAAAATTCGAACTCTAATTTTGGATGATTATTTTCAATGTTCAGCTTAATTTAACTCATTTACGCCTTTAATATTATTCATTTTCTTTATACCCTTACAGTGTATGCATTTTTTTATTTGAATGAGAAAAAGGAAAATAAAAGAAAAAGACTGACAATGTATTTTATTTTATTTGATTAAAGAGATAATAAAAAATTAAATTTAAATTTCCATCTCTTTTTATTTTCTCCTCAATTCAAATTTCAAATTTGTTTTCTCCTCTCTGTTGAAACCAAACATATGCAAATATGGAAAAGAAAAATTAGTCACCGGATATTGATAACCCGTTTAATTTGGTACAAGAGGACAACATCACATTTAAAGCCCTTCCAATTCGAGAGAAAGCTCGAAAGCAATTTAGTGGGTATTTATTATAGGACACATTTTACCGTGCTTTTCTTTATCATTAAATTCTTACCTTGAATAGGTACATGTAGTATTGTAGTGCAGTAACATATCATGTCAATTAATTAAATTATATATAATTTTAAAATTAACTATTATAAAAGTTAATAATTTTTATTAATATGATAATTGATAATTCATAATATGTGTCGTAATTACGACAGGACGGTAATTATGTAAAGAAAAAGAAACATATATAAAAAAAGTTATAATCCGTTTAAAAAATTGATGATAAAAAGTTGTTATCAAAATTTATTAAAAAAATTGAAAAACTTTTAAAAATTAATCTTTGAAATTATATTTAGATTTAAGAGTTGTTTACGCATAAAGAAGGTATTAGCACTTACGATATTTTTTATTAAAATAATTACTTTTTAATTAATCGTAGAAAAAATATTTATTTTATTCTAAAAGAAAATAATTAATATTTTTTTTTAAATTTTATTTTTGATTTTTGCAATTTTTTAAAAAGTTTTAATTATATAATTATAAATAAAGAATGCAATTAAAAATATATTTAAATTAAAAGAATAAATTATTTATGAAAATATTATTTTTTTGTATTTTTGTATTAAAGAAATATATTTATAAAGGGAACTTGCCTTGATACTTCATTTAGAAAGAAAAAATATAATAATTTTAATTTTTTTATAAAGAGAAACAATTAAAAAATTAATTTGAATTGAAAAAATTTATAAAAAATTCAACTTGATATTTTATTTTAGTTATAGTTAAAATTTGTTTTTATATATTTTTATTTGTTTTTAAATAAAGAAACACAATTAAAAAAATTAATTTGAATTCAGAAAATAGATTATTTATAAAATATTATTCCTTTTTTTTGCATTTTTGGTATTAAAGAACTGTATCTTAAAAATTTTGTCTTGGTATTTTATTTATTTATCTTTTTTGAAATAAACTAATAATTTTGTTTTTTTAAGAGAATTATTTGAAATTACTCTTGGTTTAAAAAATAATTTAGACCTGAAATTTTTTTAAAAAATATTTTGGACTTGATGGGTAATATTTTTCAAAATATCAGGTTACCACTCCTATATATCATCAGTGTGTAAAGGAATCAAAGCCATATAAGTTCTGATTCTTCTACGGACTCTCTCTCAAAGAGTTATTAATTTTTTTTTATCTTTATTTCCTTATTCAAAAGTCATTATCTTTATCTGAAAATCTAAACTTTTTATTTATAGATAAATTTTGAAATTTTTAATCCCATTTAATATACAATTATTTATTTATTAATTAATTTTTATTTTAATAAAAGCTCCAACATCCCATGACTCCTTATTTTTTGATAATCTACTCTTCTAAAAATCTATAAACTATTTTAACCATTTTTAAATCAGATTTAAATTTAAAAATTAAAAATTTGTATTTTGAATTAATTTTTATCTATTTTCTTAATATCTTACAATATCAAATCATTATATTTAATTTTTAATTTTAAAATTTATTTTTAAAAGAGACAAGATAAAATTGGGTATTTATGATACGATTAAAATATAGTATATATTTTTCATTCTATTAGTATACTTAAATTAAATTCTTCACTTGATGATAAAAATATAAGTGTTAATTTCAGTTTTTCCTTTTAATTTAACAATCATTCTATTAATTTTGATGTAGTTACAAATATATTTACATGGTAGTATGTACATCAAAGTTTTAACGAAGCAATGTTGCATTCCAAGAAGATCTCAATTCTGAGGGGTTCACCTAAACTGAAGCCGCATGAGTAGTTAGGACAATAATCATGATCCACCAACAAATGTGTCATGGACGATGACTTTTCTTTATTGAAGCTTCAATGGGGTTGTTTAAGTAGTTAAGCGATTGATAGAAAATGAAACCAAAGCAAAATTTATAAACTATTTTTTGGCCATCATCGCCAAAGTCATAGTTTACATACACAATTCAGAACGAAAAAACACTGGCGGATTTTCCAAACCAAACTCTACACAAAGCTTCCTTTTTTTGTTTTTTTCTTTTCCATTTTCTCTTTCGATTCCACTGATAATCCAAGGTTCCCTCCTTTGCTTTAAATCAATATCAAATCACTCTCTCTAGAGAGAGAGAGAGATGGCAAGCATTGCTGGAACATGTCCTTTAGGAGCATTGTTAAGAAACAAAGTCTCAGAAAGCAATGGGGTATCTCATGTTCAGTATGAAGGGCTTAGATTACAGCACAGAATGCATGTGCCTTCAGCTGCAAGTATGCCAAGTGGGTACATATCAAATTATATATCCCTTTATAACATTCTCCTTGGTTTTCTGATTTCAATAAGATTAACAATAAGATTCTCCAAATGCAGATCATGAAACAGAATATAGATTCATCCAGCTTAACAAATCATACACGTTTTCTTTTTTAGCTAGATAGGTAGACATAGTGTTATCGTATTTGATATTAGCGTTCCCTTTCATTATCTTATTTGATAGTCAGTATTTTTTCGCTTCTGTTTTGAATTTGAGTTATTCAACATCCTCTTACAAATCTCATCCTACCCATATTATTAAATTGATTTGAATTTGAAATTTCTTAAAGAATGAGAGCTGATCAACCATATGATCCCCCAGGTGAGCCTAGTAATTTGCCTATGTTATTGGCATATGTTCATGTTCTATATAGGAAGTATTTCAATTGATTGTCATACCAAAATTCCAAAGGTACCATATTCAATATTAGGATGTAAAAGTGTAAACTAAAATGTATTTTTTTATCTAATCCAGTATTGTTAATCACTCAATCGAAGTTTCCCTTGCATTGCAGCCCCTAAATGCAGCAGAATCAAGGCCATGGCATCCTCAACTGTTGCGGCACCAAAGAGAGAAACGGATCCAAAAAAGCGAGTAGTAATTACAGGAATGGGACTGGTGTCAGTGTTTGGCAGTGACATTGATGCATTTTACAACAAGCTTCTTGAGGGAGAAAGTGGGATAAGCCTAATAGATAGGTTTGATGCCTCAAACTTCTCTGTCCGTTTTGGTGGGCAGATCCGTGATTTCTCTTCAGAAGGTTATATTGATGGCAAGAATGATCGCCGCCTTGATGATTGCTGGAGGTATTGCATTGTTGCAGGCAAAAGGGCCCTTGATGATGCCAACCTTGGACATGAAATCCTAAAAATTGTAAGTCACGTAACTTTTTTGATGTTGCAATATCAAGTTGCTTAACTTAGATTAGTACATTAGTACCAAGTTATAGATAGTAATATGTGTTTCTAGCAGATGGACAAAACAAGAATAGGAGTTCTGGTGGGATCAGGAATGGGGGGTTTAACAGCTTTCAGCACTGGAGTGGAAGCTCTTATACAAAAGGGATATAAAAAAATTACTCCTTTTTTCATTCCCTACTCCATCACCAACATGGGTTCTGCTTTGTTGGCTATAGACACTGGCCTAATGGGTCCAAATTATTCCATTTCCACCGCTTGTGCAACGGCAAATTACTGCTTTTATGCAGCTGCTAATCATATTAGAAGAGGTGAAGCAGATATCATGGTGGTTGGTGGGACTGAGGCTGCAATCATGCCTACTGGTGTTGGAGGCTTCATTGCTTGCAGGGCCTTGTCTCAGAGGAACGAAGACCCCAAGAAGGCTTCAAGACCATGGGACAAAGATCGCGATGGTTTTGTCATGGGTGAAGGCTCTGGTGTGCTGGTACTATCTAAAACCAAACATTTTCTTTTACAGTATATATACATTATTAAAAGGGATATGATGATAAATAATATCTTGAAAAAGTTAATTTTTCATCAGACTTAATGATATCGTATTATTCATATAGCTAACCTCATCTAGGAGGATAAGACTTGTTTGTTGTTGTTATATATATTTTACTAGCATATTAGCTAATCAATCTGGCTTACAATTTTTTGTTTTGATTAACTTTTATTTGCCACTGAGAAAAGGTAATGGAGAGCTTGGAGAGTGCAACAAAAAGAGGAGCCAGAATAATAGCAGAATATTTGGGGGGTGCCATAACATGTGATGCTCATCATATGACTGATCCTAGGTCTGATGGACTCGGAGTTTCATCTTGCATAACCAAGAGTTTAGAAGATGCTGGGGTTTCCCCTGAAGAGGTAAGGAAGAAATATAGAGGAGTACTATGTTAACTGCTGATTATATTCATCTAATAACAACTCAGATTCTCGATTCTTCATTGGCTAATTTATAAATTGTACAGGTGAACTATGTGAATGCTCATGCCACGTCAACACTAGCTGGTGACCTGGCTGAGGTTAATGCAATCAAAAAGGTTTTTAAGGACACATCAGAATTGAAAATGAATGCTACTAAAGTATGAAACCTTACAACTTTTAAATATTTCAGAATCTTAACAGCATGCTTTTGTTGATCTTTTGTTGATCTTGAATCTTAACATTAAATTCTCTTCGTCTTTTCAGTCAATGATTGGTCATGGTCTTGGGGCTGCTGGTGGTTTGGAAGCCATAGCAACAATCAAAGCAATAACAAGTGGCTGGTTGCATCCAACCATTAACCAAGATGTACCATCCTGAACCAGAAATTCATTCTATTAATCAAATATGTTCCATTTTGTAACTTTTGTCAATTCCCACAATATCTTAATTTTTAGATGTCTAATTTTCTCACTTTTCCGCAGAACTTGGAGGCTAGTGTTACAATTGACACCGTCCCTAACATTAAGAAGAAGCATGAAGTTAATGTTGGTATGTATAATCTGTTAGAGTGAATAGAGGTACTAATAATGTAAAATTCAATGTTTCTGATATTTAGTGTACTTCCTGCAGCTATATCCAACTCATTTGGGTTCGGTGGACACAATTCGGTGGTTGTCTTTGCCCCATTCAGGCCTTAAGTTGAATGCAAACTCAAGCTGAGTACTTACTTTTCTCTGTTTCTCTTCTTTTAAACATTTTGAGAACCAATGGTTTTGGGACACTAATTCAGACGACTATATGAGTTATGTACGGAAAATAGTTGTTTCATATATATTGAAATCATAACAGGGATACATGACTAACAGCCCAGATCGTGTAGTCTATTGTAATGAGCCCTGAAGTCAATAAAATACGTTATTTTCAGCAATTGTGTTGAAGACTGTCCACTAAATTTATAATAAGAATGAGGATTCAGTTTGGTTAACGTGCCTAAAATATGTACCAAAATATACTGAAATAAATAAAGGATTTTGCTTGTAAATATCTAAAGGACATTGGTTAAAAATTCAATAAATATTGTTATTTTTAAAATAGTGACAAGGTTGTATTGGAAACTGAAAAAGAATTATCAACACTTTCTTAATTGTCTTGGGAGCTTGAAATAGTGGAGAGCAAAACTGTATAGTATTTGCTAATATCGTTCAACGGCATACATTAATGAGTGAGAGAGCAGATCCATGGGTTATAAATGTAGATGCAAATGCAGTTAGGACCCTTCTTTATTTGGCTCAACCAGTTAGGACCTACTCCTCCATGCCATTTTCTGGGCCAATATGTCCATGTCGGAAAACTTTACATCGTCGTACTCAATTGTTGAAGTTGTATCGAAGTCCAAGGATCTACTTCGAGCTTAATAACAGCGATAATCTATTTCAAAATAATCCATGTCGTAATAATGGGCTAGATAGCCCAAATTGATTTTTTAGTAAGTTCTAATATTAAGATCGAGAAGAATCGGTTCAAGCCCCGTTCTTCCTATTGATGATGATGATGATGTGTGTGTGTAAAAGGGATGGAATAATAATAAGATGTGATATGACTGCCAAATTTTCCAATTTGGAGTCTCATTCCGATTCATCTTATGCATTATGCAGTACCAACTCAACTGCTATTCCTGCTTTATTCCCACGCCTTTCTCAGCTTTTTCAAAGATAATTGCACACCTTCCAATTTATCAATCAAATCTATGCTGCTTATTTTCTACCTTTTCTAATACCATTTTTCAAATATACGTAATAAATTTTTATTATAAGAATGTTATTTTTAATAAAATACAAATTTTTATTATGGGTTATTCAACAGATGTTAAAAAAACTTTACAGTACTATTTAAATTGTAGACAACCTTGTGCTATTATTTATTCTAATACCTCGTTGATTCGTAGCTAATCCTTGAAGAGTGCATATGGCTTCTTATTCGAGAGCTCTTTCAGCTTTTGGGGGGGTAAAGATGACCCTGCACCCACTAGCAATAATGAATGAATACGAGAGAAATTATGGGCTTCTTTTGAATTTTTTTAGTTGGGGGAACCAACCAAGATTTCGTAGATAATATTGAGGGTTGAAATTTAATGTATCACGAATCTGGATGCACGTTAAGTGGCAACAATTTTTTGTTGTTTTGGTCAATATCCATTCTACATTTGCAACAAATGGACTTTTAGATTCGTTTATTTAAAGTATTAGGTAAATTTAATGATAGTTTGTTTGTGATTATTATTAAGATGTGTGTTTAAATTAATCTCTAAGATAAATTTATATTAGAATGTATTTTTTTTATTGAAAGTGTGAGAATTGTTTTTTTAACAAACCGTGTTAAGACGTTGGACTCTTTTATATATATATAGACTTTAGATTATATTTAAATTTGATAAAATGTGTAAAATAAAGTGAAATAACATTAATACTTGCTTAATCCATGTACTGGGTGTTAGTTTTATAAATTTTGTTTGTCAAACTTATATTACATTAATATAATAAAAACAAGTTAATTTGATTTTATTTAAAAAAACTAAAAAAATTTAAATTAATTGGTTTTAATAATTATTCATTTTATATGAAATAATATTATTTTTTCACAAGAAAAATAAAATAAACTTAAATAAGATATTCAACTTGATTAATTTGTGCAACCATTCTTTTTATAATATATTTTAATTATTAAATTAAATATTTTATTTAAAAATTCAACAAGATAATTGTATTTAAATAATCATTAACTCAATAACCTTTACTTATTTTTATAATAGAAATGCCATTTAATTTGCATACAATATTTTCCTTATATAACGAGTATTTTATAGCATTATTATCCATCTTAAAATAATTGTCACTTTTTAAATTTTAGTTTATTCTAAATAATTTATTATTTTTAGAATTTAAGGAAAACATATTACCTTTTTTTTAAACTTATTTAATCTTTTAGATATTTTTATTGAATATAATGAGAAAATATTTTTTAAAAAAGAATAAGTTAATTAAATAAAATTATATTTTTTAAATAAAAATTCATAAATATTTTTCAATTCTTATATAAAATCTTAAACCACAAAGTTCGAAACGGGGAGAATTCTCACTACACTACAAAATAAAGGTCTTCCTAAGCAATCATATGATGCTTTTTCAATTTATAGATTAGTATTAAGAATTTAACTAAAATGTACAGATAATATGACAGTTTTTTACACTATCTTTAATAATAAATTTGTCATAAAATAATTTTAAATTTTTATAATAATTAATATAAATTTTTTTACACTAACAATAGATCAAAATTAAACGATAATATTAATTATATAATATTTTCATAATAACTTTTACAACATTATTTTTGTTTATCTATTTATATCAAATCAAATTTTTTATTTTTTTATTTCTCTCTTATTGTAAATAATTTTGCATAAAGAAACTATAAACATAATTTCTGACAATTTATGATCACTTAGATACACCACTGTCTTTCTAATAATGCAGATTACCATGATGGGCTATTGTACGATCATCCAGGCTCCATCCAAAAGGTGGGGAACACAAATTTCTTTTTAAATGTAAAATTGCAGATATTGTGTTTTACATCCCACAAACTCACCCAAAATTTTATTCCATAAATTATTGATTTTAAATATACAAAATTCTATACTCATCACAACCAGTTCAATGCCTCCTCTCCTTTCAATTCAAAAGGTATTATTATCTAACTAATACATCACAATTCCCTTGGTAAATGGTACTGTTTGTGGAAGCACTAGCTTCATCTTCTTGTTGAGGAGGCAATGATATGATATGTGATGGAGAGGCTGAAATAGCAACTTGTTGGGGTGGGTCTGAAGCAATAGGTGGTGTTTGATTAAGGAACTTGGTAGAGGGAATGATAGAACATCTACAAAGTGGACACGTGGAGTTTGATTGCAGCCAGTTACGTATGCAGCTTACATGAAACACATGCTTGCAATCAGGAATCTGTAGCACCTCTTCCTTCAGCTCAAATTCTCCAAGGCAAACACAACATCTGTTAACAAAAGAGTTTACAGCAACTTTTTAGCTTCACTTCATGAATTTATAGTTACTAGGCTATTAGCACAATCATCCTAAGACTTGAAATATTCATGTTCAAGACCCTACTAATTCAAATCAATCCAAGAGTTTCCAAATTACAATCCACCACTTGTCCATAATGAAATTCCTAAACCAATATAATACGGAAAATATCAGTAACACACTTTTAGTAATACACTTCTAATTATTAACTAATATGGTAAAAAATGTGCTAAATAATGTGTCATCTAACGTACATCTATTTGAAATTTGGGTTCTTACTATTCAATGGGTGACTCGTGGACGATTTTTTTTTTTTTGAATTTATTCCCGGTAACTCACCTTGAAATGTGTCGGTTAGGCATAAAAGGCCATTCTTCATATATTCTTCACACCTCTCACTTCTTTTTCCGCATCACGTTTAATGAAAATAATGGATGTCATGAAAGATTCTAAAAACTTGGGATATCGAATATTCTGCTAAAAAAAATTTTAGCTTTTGAAGAAAACACTCATTGAGTCTATTTAATTTGGTTGCAGTAGTAGTAGAGGTGAATTACAATATAGCAGATTAACAATTAAGGTCTAAAGCACAATCTATAGATACCTTGTGTAACAGATAGATAGAGATTAAGCAAAATCCAAAAAGAGATGAAATGAAACCAATAACAACTAGAGAGTAATCTTTCAAAGATAAGACAAACAAAAAGACCAAGTGTAGACATAAGAAAAAGAGAAGAATAGAAAAAGAAAAAGGCTTACACCGAATCTCTTGTTCTCAAATCCTCATCAAATAAAACTCTTGGAAGTTTGTCTAGAAATTGCAGAGTCAGATTCAAACGGCAAGGCTGTGATATTAAAAACATAGAGGGTAACATTAGTTCATTCAACTACTGATCAATGGATGCATGGTGGTGCAGTGTAGAAAGCAAGCAAGCCAGCCACCTAAACTAGCCATAGCATCTAAGTGTGTGCTTGGTTCAGCTTAATTTAAAGAAATAGTCATTTAACTTTATAAATTTTTAAGAGAATTTTTTGAAGAATAAGCTATTATTTCTACCCAACCACTATCAAACATGCTGTAAATTCCTCTAGTATTGTGTGTTTTGCTGTTATTATGATTTCAGATTACAGAAAGTGAATCTTACTTACTGATGAAGGGTAGGTATACGTAGCTTGCGGATTAGGATTAGAGTGAAGTATGTGAAGAGGAGGTGATGATGAGAGAGAGGAAGCCCTTCTTTTGAGGTAGAACAAGTAAAACAAGAGAACCAAAATAATGGAAAAGAGTATGGGAATTGAGAATATGAAAGCCTGGTAAAGTTTAAGCTGAAGTTCTTGTGGATATAGATGTGGAGAAGGGGTTGGTGTTTGTGGAACACCCATCACAGCACTCCTTCAATTTCCCTAACTTTCAAAAACCTCTTGCCACTGCCATATATACAACATAGCAGGTACAAATGCATAGAACATAGTATTAGAAAGATTGTTGAATAAGAATAGAAGAGAGAGTTGAAAATGTTAATTAGGGACCAGCAAATAGCTTTATTTTGTGCATACACTACTTGGGATGATATATTGATGGGAGGGTGGTTTGCTATTCCAAGAGAATCGGGTTTCTTTGGTTCTTTTCTCAGTTTGGACGGCAGAGAGAGACAGCAAAAATAAATGTCTGTTACAAATTGGTGAAAAGGGAAAGCAAGATATATACCATAATATTGAAAATTGTCTAAATTCTATAATAAAGTTAGAGGTGTAGCGTTTAGCAATTTAGTAATATCTAAATTATATGTGTGATATCTATGATGATGATAATGGCACTGGTACATATTCTGTGCTTTGGAATGGTGGAACAAGCTCATGATCCTCCACTACTAAGATATGGACCCCAGCTCCATGTTAATTAAACTACTAAGATCATTCTTTCTGTGTGTCACTGTCAATGTGCACGTTAAATTACCTAAGTAAAAAGGCCATCAAAAGTTTCAAGAATTAGAAAATGTTTGTTTGAATATTAGTATTTCATTGAAGTCCTGCTTGAAAGAAGAAAAGTTAAAGGTGAATTATGATGGGTGTAAGATGAATGATAACGTAGCCACAGGGTTGTTTACTCATCGACAAGACATCAATGGATCAATTCAGTTCATTGTTTTGCGGCTTCTTTCTTTATCAGTACGAGGAATTAGTTGTATGTTTTTTTTTTTCAGAATCACAGATATTTAGTATGCGAGGCTTATTTAATTGTAAGAAAAGAAACAATTATGAACCATTTTAAATACAAAATAATAAATTTGTTAAGCAATAATTTATAAGATTAGCTGATCATATCTATCTTATTCTTAGGCTTGGAGAGGGAGTGAGGAAGATTGGGAGTTAAAAAGAGGCAGAGCACATTGTAAGATGTTAAAGGATTTAACTTAATTTTTTTATAATTAATCTGCATTTATAATTCATGTTTCACAGCATAATCAATTGAACTTAAATCTGCACATTACTTTACAAGTATATTTTTGGTGAGTTGTTTAATTTTAATTTGGTCATTTTTATTATTTTGTAGTAAAAAACCATTAAAATAAACAGAAATAATAATTTGTGATGGTAAAAAAAAGTCAAAATTAATTAATACATCAAATTAAAATTAAATTAAAACATTAAATTATTATTTTTATCTATTTATTGATGGGAATTTTTTAATGTATATGAACACGATAAAAAATGAAATATAGTAAATTTTTATTGAAAATTATAAGATTCACTACATGAAAAGTAATATTAACATTTTAATAAAATTTATTATTTATTAATTTTTTTAATGTATACCCTTTCTCATAGGTTTTATAAAAAAAATTATTAGTGTTTCTCCTACATTTCCTAAACGATGATTCATTGGAAGATCTTTGAAACGATAATGGTTTTCTTCTTCCACGACGGCGTAGAAAATGACACATTTACAGCTCCAAATCCATTCGTCAAAACTATAATGATGAGTAACACATTCTTTTTTATCTTTTCTTGTATTTAGTGGGCTGTGTGCCTTATTCAAACTCGAACAATTTAACTACATATAATAAGAAAAATGTTGGGGGTTTATACTTGTTCTCTGTTTCACATATCTAATGTAAAATTTACAATGTTTAAATATGTTTTTGTTCAGTCAAAATGTTCTGATTCTTCAAATTCTATCATACATGTTCTATTCTGAAAATATTATTATTCCAACATGGAACCCTATATAGCACACATACACAGTAGACTGAACTTATATTCTCTTTTATTTTTAAAAAAATGTCATTAGAATACTACTAAAATCAAACATCGTCATATGAATGTTATTATAAAACTTTACAACTTATTTTCAGGACATGACAAAAAATTTTATAGGACTATCTAAAATAGTAAAATTTTAAATATATAGGTAATTAATTTAATAGCTAATTTTTTTGGATAATTAACGTGAAACTTCGAAGTATAAGTCTGTGAATCCAATATAAAATTACGGAGGACTAGTCGTAAGGTTAATGAAAAGAAAGAGCAAATGATAAAGTTGAAATATTTTAAAACACAGTAAAAGACAATTCACAAGAAACTAATATTCAAATAAATTTGAGATTTTTTTTTTAGTTCTTTGCTCTGTGTTAAAGGGTAAAAGAAGGTTTCTATTAGAAAACAAAATTAATTAAATTGATGACAATTTTTTTTTTCACTACATTAAAATCTTTCTTTTTGCCTCTTCAATACTTGTGGTGTATAGGATAAAAACACATTAAAATTAATGTTTTTTTTTAATGTGTGTATTGTAATGTGTATTCAATAGTATATATTAAAAAATTAATAAACTTTATTAAAAATTGCAGCATTTAGTATTATTAAAGTATTAGATTTTGTTAGTTATAACTTTTAATAAAAGTATAATAAGTGGATCTATTCTACAATGCAGTTTCAAACTTGTTTTTTGCCACCCTTCCTAGAGACCTACTATCCTATGTAAAGTATAAGGCATTTTGATCCTATGGAGAGTCACATAATTATGTGCACTGTTATTGGTGGAAAGTGATTACTTGAAGCATTGCTTGGAGAGTCAGATCTCAATTTAAACGTTACACCAGATTCTCTAAGTCTCAGTGGGTACAAAGAACGATGCTGCTTTATTGTTTTAGACAAAGTGTTGCCATTTATGTTGCTCATGTAATACCAAGTAGCAGCTTAGAGATTTGTATAAACATAGAGAAATTCTTGAGAAACTATTCAAATCATAGGTTAATAAAAATGCTTGATTAATTGGCAGTTGGTTGAGTTCATATCACTTTTATGTTAACAAAGATAAGATGAACGCTGAAATAAGAAACTATCTTTTGAAACTAAAGAACAAAATTAGTCGTCATTTCACTGATATAAGAAAATTTATCAGGATTTTCTTATGTTCCATGACTCTCATATTTTATGTTTTTTATTTTTGTTTAAGCGAATAATTTTTTACTTAAACAAAAACACAAGCATATAAAAATTATGTTCACACAAAAAAATAGAGAATCTCAATCCCACTTCAATCTCTAAGGTTTGAAATAAAAAACATTCAAAAATCATAACCCTTTTAACAAAACTTGTAAAATGACATGACATTTATTTTAATTTCCTAGGTGAATTGTAATTCAACGTAATCACAGTGATTTAGAAAAGGAAAGTATGAAATATTAGAAAGTAAAAGGTTTATCCAAATGCAATGCTGCAGAGTTTGTGTGGAGGAAGAACATTAGAAGATGATGAAATATGAAGGAGACAAACCAAACAAGAGTTTGGCCCATAATAGAGGTTGTCCAATAATTTTATGCTAGTGTTGACTTACGAGTCAATCTCACACGGCAACATGCGCGTGATAAGGACAAGTACCTCGTGAAACTTGATGGTTTGTGAAGTGAACTGTATAGTCTTTGGTGAACACTTCCTGCAAACACTTTCTGTACATACACACAACTTCAATAGTAAATAATTATGATAATTGTTATAGTTTTATATAATTACTATAATATTTTTTTATATGTTTCATTTTTTATGAACTGTTAGTATAAAAATTTAATACCAACAACCGATAAAAATACACTATGACTTTTGAAGTAGTTATTAAAAAAAACATTTTTTAATTGCATTCATTTATACTTAAATGATTTTTACATTGATAATGCATTCTAATTAAATTTATTGTTAATACAATATTTTCTTTTTATCTTCACTGCATCAATTATTTCATACAATACTCTTTACTTTTTCTCTCTCTCTCTTTCTATTTTATAAAAATTATAAATATTTGTTGAGCAAATGCAATTCCATATTATTATTATTATTATTATTATTATTATTGTTATCGTCAAAATTTTATCTGCATATTTTTTTTATAAATATGAAAAATAAAATTACTTATTATATAGTTAAATAATTTAATAATAATAATAAATAATTTAGAATTTCTGTTTTAATAAAAATAATTTATTTCTTAATTATCTTATTTTTAAAATTTCTGTTTCTTTTTAATTTTTATCTATTGTTTGAATCAAAATATAATTAATTTATGATTTGTTTTGAAATATATAAATAAATCAAATTTTTAGAAAAGGTGAGAGGAGGTTTTTCCAATCCCATCCCTATTTCAATGTATTATCTACATTATTAGAAGACAATCCAGTTGAATTTTAATTATTTCAATGGAATATAGATTACTTCAATTTACTTAAATATGTCATTATATATATATATATATATATATATATATATATACATATATATATATATATATATATAATAAAATGTTGTAAAATTATGTAACTAATTTATATTAATAATTAGACAAGCATCTATTAAAAAGACCAAAATGGTTTTAAAATTATAAGCATTAGTTAATTTAATCTTTAATGATAAAAAAAATTTGAACTTTGATTTGGACAATTATTAATTAATTTAGTCCCTAAAATTAAGATGAAATTGATGCACGGAAAAGTTAAGGACTAAATTAACTAATGTGCATCAAAGTAAAGAATTAAAATAATTATATATAATTAAATTTAAGGATAAAATTGTTAATAGATCCATACCATTAATTACTAAAATGACAAACCATTACGAATAATTAAGAAATTAAAATCCACGTTATAATATCTATACAAGAATGATTGAAAGTATAATTTTGGTAATAACGATAATTGTAACATAGTATTGACTTTTGTCCACACATTATCCAAAGCAAAAGATCTTGACCAAGAAAAAAAAAGGCCTCTTTTTTGTACACTATTTTTAAAACTTAGCTTTTGATCAAAACCATATAAAATTACACATTAAATTTATTGTTTGACGAACAAATTGTATGTTTCAAGCACTACAATTCTCGGTAACACTTAATGTAATGTTAAATAATTTAATGGTTCCGTATACTCTTCTTGAATAGTGGGATGAAAATTTTACAACTCAATTGCCATTTGCCAACATTGCGCAAATGCATAGGGGCAAGGTAACTCTGCAGATGCAAGTGATAGCACCCCCTACATCTCTATTCATTAAATTCAACCATGTTACAGAAACACTGGAATCCGAATGAAAACGAAATAAAAAAATAAAAAAAAATACCACAATAACAAATGATGAATATAACATTTCTTTTTATAACAATCTTTTTCTGGGAACTACTGGAGGCCTCAAAACAAACTAATATTTCCTCTTCCTGATTTTGGAAGTCATTGATCGAATAACATTATCATCCGCTAACAGTGTCTCCTCAAGGGTGCTTATGGAGTCCGGCTTTGTGAAATAGGTGAACAGGAGGTAGATGCCATCCAAGTATGTGTTGCTCTCTCCTGCTTTGTTTTTCTTCTTGATGCTATATGCTAGTGGAATAACTCCTCTGTTAAAAACCTCTACGTACATACCACCTCCAGCAACAAGTAGCTGCAAGAAGGACAATCGTAGGAATAGTGTAAAAAATTTAGTTCACACAATTCAATAGCACACGAAATTCATCAACATTTCTAATACTTCAAGTGTAATGAAAAATGAGACTGTCACCACTAATAACACACAAATATAACATACATACTTATCAAGCTTCAACTTCATCAGAGAATAAGTACTCTATTATTCAAATTAAGCCACATTGCATCCCCATGAATATAGAGCACTAGAAACAGCATCAGTTATCAGATCATAAAAATATCCATAAAAAGCATTTACACTGGATAAATTCAAGGGTTGATTCACTGAAAATTGATCAGCAAATACACAGAAAGCTGCAGTTTCATTATTTTTCCCAACGAAAAGGTAAAACATCAGCACTATCATAGTCATCAGGACATGACTCATACCATTAAGTGTAGTTTCAAACATACTATAGGAATAACAATTGTAGACCCATCATCCAGCAAGAGCATACAAGTTCAATTTTATTAAATTAAGATATGATAGGTATGAAAACCAAGAAAAAGTGTTAGAATTTGACCTCCTCGTACTTCTGGGTCAGTGTAAGTCGCTCATCCTCGGACATGTCTGGCCTCAAAACCATCATTGTTTCGTACTGTCGGAGTCCGGGTGGGCATTGGGGTTCTTCCTTTTCCTCCACAGCGGTGAAGCCGGGTAGGGGAGAGGTGGGGTCCTCTTCCGACCCGAATCCGCCTTCGAAAAATGAATCAGAGAAGTCTAGCGTTTGGGCTCTGACGGAAAACCCAGAATCGTTTCTCTTTTGGTAAAAGTGGGATTTTGATTCGGCAAGCAGAGGTTTGAGGCTGCCAGCGAATGCTCCACTAGGAGAAGACAGAAAAGTGAACGAAGGTTTGGAGCAACAATGTGGAATGTTGAGGGAAGAAGAGGAGAGAGGAATTGAAGTGAGTGAAGACGATGCCATTGATTTGCCCTGCTAAGATAGAGGGCTCTGGGGGTCTTTGGCTTGGGGATGTTGTATCCTAGCTTACCGAAACGTAGAGATACAGATAAGGCGAATTGGAGGGCTGAATGCCCACCGGCGCAACTTAGAATTTCGTCCCAGTATCACCTTTTTTTCAGAAATAATATTGGTTTCGATTTTTAAATTGATTTTAAGTATTTAAAATAATAATTTTTTATAAAAATAATATTAATTATTTAAAAATCTAATAAACATTTACTTTAAAAGATTCAAAACTATTAATCATGCTAAGATATATTACAAAAGAAAAAAATCTCAAAGATTCCTTTAATTTAAATTATATTTAAATATAATATATTAATCTTTTCAAGGAGAGATATAGTATTAAATTAAAATTAAAGTAAAGAAAAATATTAAAACATCAAAGAAAAAAAATGTAATTTAATTTTTTCTTACTTTCGGTCCAAGCCTTTAAAAAAGTGACTAAATTTTCTTAATACAATAATCCAAGCAGTTTTGGGAACCTCTCCAGTGTATTCCCCTTGCCCAAAAACTAAAAAGACTGAACCTGCAAATGACAAAAATAAAGCGGCCAAATCTGCACAAGGAAAAGATTGAAAAAATTTATCGAAATTAATAAAAATAATCGACGAGTCTCATATTTTTTTAATTTATTTAATAAATTCTTTAATATAAGTCATTAAGATGATTTTAAACTCATTTTAATAAACTTTATAATTAAATTTATAATATAAATTATTATTTTTAAACAACTATTAGATACTTTTAATTAGGTTGTGTATTTAAACACAATCATGTGCTTAACTCTCAGCATGGCTGTTTAGCTTTTAGTTTATATATTTTATACCACTGTAAGAATGTTTAACATTTTTATTTGTATCATTAGTTATTTTTAAATAGATTAGTCTTTGACTAAACAAATAACACGAAGTGAACAAATGCCTAAAGTTATTTCACAGTAACTATTAATTTAATTAATATATTAAGACTTTGTTTATTAAAATTTAATGATAATTCTATAACAAGAAAAACATTGACACTTTTCTTTTTCACGCTAAAAAAATACTGAAGTTGTGATTCTAAGTTTGTGTTGTTTAGATAATTTAAATACCTTCCATATCTCTCATCTAATTTGGATGGAATGAAATAAAATTAATCATATTGCTATCATGAATTATTTTTAAAATAAAACAATTTCCTTTTTTTTTTTTTTGTTTGCCAAGTCTTTCTGATAATTTTTAGTTCATAATATTTTCCTAATCATAAGTTCCAAAGCATGTCGTAATATAGTCAATTACACTAACATCGAAGTTTACAAGTTTATTTTTTATTGTCGTAAAAGCTTTAATTTACTTGCAATATATGTATTAAAAGTGCTTTAAAGATATTTAATTTAAATAAAATTTTATTAAAAATTAAAGTAAAAGGGTAGGCAAAAAAAATATAAAGTATATCAATATTTCTTGTAATTATGTCAAATTAAGCCTTGAGATTTTTTCATCCTGCACAAATCCTGTTAATTTATAAAATAATATAACACGAGTACCTCTACCTGATTCAAACTTCCTCCCTCCAATTAATTATATAGATAGAAAACGTCTAGGACGTGAAATGCTTCGTTCTTCATTTCAACTTTTAAATGATTATCGTCTAAGCTATATCCCCAAGTACACGAGAAGGTTGCAGTAGTATAGAAAACGTCAAGGACAGTAGGACGAGCGTCTGCTTCCCAGAAATAACTAGGAGATAACATAAATGAGTTTACGATGCATTACCTGTTAAAATCCAAGGTCAAAGCTTGGGAACGTTTCCTCTTTACACGAGAACTTCTCACCACTCTTCTCTTCATCGGTAAAGAGGCAAGAGTGATTTCCCGAACTTGATATGAATAAACCAATATCTGCCTCACTCGTATCTGTCTGGGCATCTTTCTGTGAATAGGAACACATTAAAAAAACCTAAGATAAAATTTGAGACAGCTTAAATTTCTCCATTTATAGAATACAAATAACATACCTACTGGAAAAATTGCGCACACAAAGAATCAATGATGAAAGTGTACACACAAAACACAACACAAAAAAAATATAATGATAGATTTACGAGATTCAACACCATCTGCCTACAATGCTTGAGGAAGGTTCTTTATGAACACTAATGCCTCAAACATAACATGATTATTGTGCATGTTATTCTGCAAGTATTATCCAAATGATATCAAATCCACAAAAGACTCAGCTATGATATATAAAGTCACTTTGAGAAAATGCAAACAAAGAGAGAGACTAGACCTGGAGGGACATTTTGACATTCTCGGTAAATTGGAAATTGCCACCACTACATGCTGCTGCAGAACCCATGTTAAGCAGAGTCAACCAAGAGTTACTAACATCTCAACAGTCAAATAAAAAACAGCTACTAAGAAATTTGTCCAAAAATCAAAATTGACTGAGCTAGAAATCGAATAATTCCATCTTGACGTACTTTCGGAAGACGTAATATCGAGGGATTTCATAGTCCTAGTCGATTCCATATCCGTAATATTTTGACAATACCCATTGGGCGAATAGCCAGCTATAGAAATCCCATATAATCATGTCAACAGGCAATAGAATATATTTAGTTAAGTTATATGTCTAACCTGGTACATAAATCTCCTGGGACTTCAGGTTAGGGTCTTGTAAAAAGGATAATATTTGATTGGCTGCCAAATACCATAAATCAATCACGTATTCAAAGAAAGTAAATGCTAACAAGTGCCCAAACACTAGTTAAGGAAGCAAAAATAGAAAAATTTTATTAGAAAATATTGTTAATACACCTTTTATGTGATTTCCAATGTATTCCCGAAGTAACTTTTAGTATAAGTTTTTCACCTTTAATTTCATAACAAGTGCCTTGAGGAATTAAAAAGATCCTATAAATAATGACGTAATATATTAAGATCAGCAAACCCACGTCAAACAGTAGGCTATTTCTTGACTGTGTCCATTGTCGATCATCTGCCCTATCCAATTTGACAGATGTCAATAGCACCTCGTTATTTATCTATTTCACAGTCAACATAGCATTACCAACTTATCCTTTCACTTTATTCTTCTCATAATTCAAACTTAAAGATGCCGATGCTAGTATATGATGATGGAACATTAATAAATTATATCTGAAAGCATTTGTTTCAAGTAGAAATCATAAATCAAATCAATCCTAATTTAGGACATTCATACTTACGAGGAAAATCGTTAATCCACAAAATGCATGCACAATTGCACATTATAAAACTGAATCAACGTCCTATATCCTATTGAGGGAGGAAGGAAAAAGTAATGCAAACGAAACAGGAAGATGAGAATGAGAGTCGAGGTTGTAGGAAATTAACAAGTACGAACCATCACGTAAAGGCTTGATAGGTGGGGCTCTCCTGTTTGATTTTATCCCTTCAATCTCGGTGGAGTTCAATACTGAATCTTGCCCTAGACAAGGCTCCCTCGGAGGTTGTCCTGCATGGTATAGCCATAAACATTTGAGAAAGAAAATCGAAACCTGTCGACAGCTCATTCAAGATATGCTTCCAGATTACCCGGAGCCAGTTTATGGATTTTTGTCGTAATTTTTAAAAATTATTTGCAGATTCTTAGCTTCCATGTCTCTTGCAATTTTACTGATATTAAGGTCTGCATTTTATGATGTTCTTCACTTGATATATTTTGCAGTTGTACTTAGTATCCCAAACATATATATACGCACAGAGAACAAACTTTTTTCTCCGCTTCTGAATCAGTATTATTCAATATTTCTTTTGCAATCAATTCTGAGAAAAATGGAAGCGATTAATTAGTTAAAATTAAGACCGGGTATAAGCTTTAAAAGCAAAAACAAACTAAATGAGTCAAAGATATTACAATTGGACAAGATATTTCAACTTTAGAGCAAGGGGGCACAAAGCAAGGGATAATAATAGCTTCAAACATTCAAATGACATGCACAGAGCTAAACAGTAATACGACTCCACGAACAAAAAAAGAACCTTTTGAATTAGTAAAGGACTAACCTTCAGCAACAGATGGTTTGACCTTGTGACAGCCATTGTGTCCATGTTCTTGTTTCCTCTCAAAAACATCATTACCATTACATCCTTCTTTCAACTTTGCTGGAGAGTGATGACTTCCTTCAGGTTCTCCTACTTCAACTAAATGTCCATCAAAATATACTAATTCACCCGCTCTTACAATTTCATCTTTCTTTAGGAACCTGCGTTCTAAAGGTTTTTTGTTCAAATCACACAGAACAACCTGAAAAGAGAACATTAAAGAAAGCATAATTGATAAATCTGATTCTGTCACAACTCACACGCACAAATACATTAAATTAAGCGCTTGAATATGCAGTTCGGTTAAACGCTTATACAATCAGCTTTTATCGTAGAACACATATCATTAATTTGACTATTAAACTTATTGAAATAAGCTACTAAAAGCATGTAAGAGCCGCAAGCCATTTTCATAAGCCCAAATAAACTCTAAAGAAGCTCATCCCAGAAACTAAAATTGATGGCAGATAAAAAGACACGCATGGAGATACAGAGTGGATTGAAGAGGTAAAAAGTAAAATTGTAGCAAAAAATTAACCTGCTTCCCGCGGGATCCACACAATTCAAGTTGTAAAAAGCCATCGTGATACTTCTTGGCTTTTTGAGTTAATTGTGAAGTGTACAGGACCTTCCATTCTAAATAGAAACGAAAGAAATATGTAAGTGGACAATAAATGAAGATAATCAAACCAGAAAAGAAAATACAACCTCTGACATAATGAACTGCAAATGAAATTGATCATATTCAAGTATCAAGGAATCCATTAAAAAGAAAAAGAGAAAATGAGGTCCACTGATTCACTAGTTGGTTTCAAAGAAATGATGGTAAAATTAAATATTCCAACGCATATATACACATATGGACGGCATGCTGCACATCGGAGCTGTAAGGGCTATGAAATATGAATTCTTACAACTCTTTGTTCAATTTAAATTTTATTTGCTTACAAATGTTCATTCAATCAATTAAAAGCATGAATTTTGTATTCCAAATCCACTATATTAGATTAACATGGTCGACTAAATAGAACACCTATATTCATTCATCAATGTGATTTGTAAACAATTTTCAGCTCATTAGAGCAAATTATGTGAGCCACTGGCATTTGCAGACTCTACATTTTCCCCTTCTTTTGCTTTTACCTTTCTTCCTGAAATTTAAAAACAGATATACTGACAGAATTGACCTATAAGAGAGAGCAATAATAGTATATTTAAGAATTGATTGGAAATATAAAAGGAAAATGATATCTATAAGCATTTTAGTAAAAAAATATTAGAACAGATGCATAAAAAAAACAGCTGGGCATATACAATTTCTCATAACACAATAGCTGTTTGCTTACCACTTTTTCTACCGGTTACATGGGTGTCAGTGCCGAGAGAAATTTTCTGTGTGTCCGTGTCCATCTTCATACTCTCAATGTTAGTACACTTGTCTCTTAGAACATTGGAATCCGGGGTACATCTTGCTTGAAGCTCACCAATGTCAATCAAATATGAATCAAATGCAATTGATTCACCAGGTTTGATTACATCATCCTTCTTAAGAAATCTGCTGTCTAAGAGTTTCCTGCTTGTATCAAACAGCATAACCTGAAATGTATACACAAAAAGGGAGAATGAGAATTCATTGGAACAATTTTTACAAGAGCACAAAGTGTATAGGCACAACCAATCAAAAGCTCAAGATAATATATTAAAATAATAATAAAGCCTAAGTGATTTATGTGATAAATTTATTTCAATAGTATCTCGAGCTTTTGATTAGTTGTGCCTTTTTCCTATAGGCACCATGCTCATGCAAGAATTGCTCCATTCATTGTGTCCTTCATTGAATCCTGACTACTACATTCTACAACTTATATGTGACTACTCATAAGGACATTTAATGTATGCTTGAATTAGCTTATTTTTAATCAAAATCTTATTCACCGAACTTAAAAAGAATAAATTAAGCTAATCCAAGCATGCTATAAATCACATTATCAAGAGGAAAAAAAATAACATTGCTACAATGACCTTTCCGGTCATATCCTTAAATCAGAAGACCATATATATTGCCTTTTTGATAAATGAAATATATGTTTGAAACTCACCTGTGCCCCACTGGATCCACGAACATTTAGTCGTAAGAAACCATCATGGTACTTCTTTGCCTTCTGAGTCATTTGTGTGGTGTACAGAACATGCCACTCTAACCGAAAATAGAAAATTTATGTATAGTTAGAAGAGTACAAAACGGAAGTTGCTTAAACAAAAACACAATGCTCTGCTATTAACTGTCAGTTTCATTATGTATCTCGACCTTGAAATTGAATATAAGCGAGTGACAAGGCAGAATCTATGCTGCATTCGCATGTTTGGGATTAAGAAATTGAAAGAGAAAGCAAGGCAGGGTGGGCCCAGCATGTAAATTAAAACTTATCTGCAAGACACACTAACCTGTTGCACTATATTTTTGTGTTTCCTGACTGACCTTTGGTGACCCGTACTTAAGCAGTTCTCTCTTCTTAAATTCTGAAATGTTTGCAACTATTATGCACATACAAACAACTAAACTGTAAAGAATTTGTACAAGTAACTACAGCTAATAAACTATCATCATTACTATTAGTTGTACGCTTGAAAAGGATAATCTAAGAGCATAAACACATTTTCACAAAGCTTTAGAAGCCAAACTTCTGAAGATAATTATTCCATTATCTACCTTTGATAATTTTTTGTGATGGACTAAGAGGTTTCCGTACCCGTACAACACTCTCCTTTGCATTTATTTTGGTATCTTTTGCATCACCTCATAAACAACAGGGACATACAGAAGATAATGATTAACGATTTGACATATCTAAATTTCTAGAAAAATAATGGATGTCTCTGTAGATAAACTTAAACTAAAACTACAGAGAATTCAAACCAGAAGGAGACTTGAAACGCAAACGCGAATGATTATTAAGCTTTCTATCAACATTCAAATCAGATTTAGGCTCCTTGCTTCCCTCAGAATCACCGATGTCAACAAGGTAACCGTCGAAAACCAACGTTTCACTGGAGGTAACAGTTTCATCTTTCTTCAAGAGCCTACACTCCAACAGTTTCTCGCACTCGTCATACAGCGCCACCTGCAAGTGAATAGTGAGCAAAGAAACAAGTTATTCTGTCTGAAATCGGTTATGTGATTGAGCAATTTCAATATCAATTTTGGATCCTAGTCAACTATTGATTTAAAAAAATTTCGGCAATTTACGGTGAAAGGCTTGATAGAATACCTTGCTGCTGGCAATGTTGAGCACTAGGAATCCATCTTGGTAGACCTTGCGTTTCTGTTTGATGTGCTTTGTGTAGGTCACCATCCATCGCTTCGAGTTCTCCATTCACAAAAATGGAAACTGAGTGCGGAACCGAACCATGTAGAGGAAAATGACGAGTGTTTCCCTAACTTTTTGAGTTTTTCATCGTCGAAATTTGTTGCGAGTACGCGGGAAAGGAGAGGATATCGTCGTCTTAGTGGGAAGGTGAAACGAATGTCGTTTATAAACAGTTTGGCTAATTCTTTCGGCTTAAAAAAAATGATAAAATACCAAAATATAATATTTTAAAAAACTACGAAAATATAACATTTTTAGTATTTTTAATTTTTTTTAAAAAATCTATTGGCATTTTAAAAAAAAATTAGTATTTTTAAAAATTTTAATTTTTTTAAAAAACCATCAATGAAAATTTTTTATACTTAAAATTTTAATAATTTAATTTTTGAATCTTTACATTTACACTAAAAATAGTATGATATTTTTAAAATGTTTATATATTTTTTTAAAATTCATATTTAGATATATATTATTTTTAAATTTTTTATGTATAAACAAAATTTAATTGTCGAAAATGAGATTTTTCTTGTAAACTTGCTATATCTTTTGTGATATTAATCATTAATTTTAAATAAAAAAGTTTTGTCACAGGAATTGTATTAAAATTAAAAAATATAATAAATATTTTTTAATAAAATTTTATTATTATTAATTAATTATCTTCAGCTTTACAAATTGAAATTAATAAAATTTTAAATAAGTATGCTTATTAATCTAAAAAATTATTAATTTTTCATATTTTATAATTAAAGTATATCTTCTACATCCAATTTAACTTTCTTTATGACAAAAAAAAAACATTTCATATTCATCAATTAAATGAATTAATTTACTTTTCAAAAGTAAAATGTTTTTAAACTAATCACTATCCTTTTTTTTAGAAAAAAAAAATATTGAAACTTATGTTTTATAATCTTTCATAAAAAAGTAAAATATATTATTTTTATTAGACATAAAATAAAAAATATAACAAGGACGGCGAGTGTATATTTATGGAACCAACAATAACAAATCAAAGGGCAGACGAATGCAGCTCCGTGGGATCATAGTAAAGACGGTGGTCTAATCGGCGACTTCAGCTGATCCCCTTGCTACAGCCTACGGCGTGCATTGCAACACAGGAGACGCAAATGCAAGTCACTGGCGCTGTAGCCAAGGAAATGCTGCCATAAACCCTTAATTCCTCGCAGATCCAATCTAACCCAACTCCATTATTCCAACACAACAAGCTACGTTACAGTCCCAGACATGGTATTTGTCTTTTCCTTGTCCTGACTCATTTCTCTGTTCTAATCCTTTGCTGTTTCCGAGTTCATAATTTCGTTTCTCGTGTCTTGCAGTCAGCTCTTTTCAATTTCCACTCGTTTCTGACGGTGGTTCTGCTCGTGATTTGTACCTGCACTTTTCTCAAGATACAGTTCCCCGCCATCCTCGAACACAAAACTGGGTATTTAAAAAAAAAATTAATTTTAGTTGTTTGTTTTCACTGTTGACATCAAAGTTAATGTTCTCTTTTTTAATTTAACCGGTGAATCTTTTTGTTTTCTTATTTTTTCTGAGAAATCATGCTGATGCTTATTTTCTCGGGTTCTCAATATAGGACTAAAGGTTGCTAAATTGGGATATAATATCCTGAATGGTGAATACCCCTTGAATGCATCTGATTGACAGTTTTGTATATCATTTTTACATCTTACTTAGAGATGATGGGCTATGCAGTGATGCTGTAGTCCCGCTCCCGTATGTTTGATTCCTTTGTAATGCAATAGGTTTTGTTACCTGTCTGCTGGAACGTGTCAAGGGTAAATTGTTCGAGGTAGAGACCAAATTTAAATACTTCCAACTACAGTCAGTGGAAGTATATGTTTGATGTAATGCTTATGTGGTTTCAGTCGTTCACTAGGGACCAAAAGCATATGCTTTTTGTAATTTTTAGGGATTGAAAATGAACAAAATTTTTATAGGAACCAAGACCAAAAACTGTAATGTTTGTAGAGATTAAACTTATTTAAGCCACGAGGATCCCACGTTTAAGATCCCAAAAAGAATTTTTCACACCCAATAGAGGTGTCTACACTCTACATCTAGGAAGGGAAGAGAGATATAGGAAGAAAGAAGACAGAAAATGATAGATGTGAATCATGGTTGAAAAATTGGTGCAAGGTGGACAGAAAAATTGAGGTTTGAAAAATTAGGGTTGTTTAAGATTGTCTGTAAAGCTTATGGAAAGCAATGCCTTGTTTAGCTTGGTGTCAAATCTGTTGAGTAAACTGATATATTTTTAAGTGGGAACTTTTTCACAGCATAGTCTTCTTATAGATTTGAAGTATTGCTGCAGTATGACAATCAAATCATACCAATTACTGATTTTGCATTTCTTTGATGAGAAACTGAGGAGGAAAAGAAAGAAGGGGAATGGAAATAAGGGTGGGTAGGTGTCATAAAATAGAGTAACTAGTTGTAATTTTCCGTTCATGTTCTCTTGGTATGAGTTATGGCTGTAGCCCTTAATATTACACTCCTTCCAAAATAAGAGTTACGGTTTACCTCTTCCTGACAAATTGATATGGTATGTTTGAATGGAAGGTTTTTTAGAGGAAAAGGAGGGTAAAATTCTCATTTTTGAATTAAGACAATGATATAGTGTTTATAAAAATAAGAAAGTGATGATTGGAAGGTTTTCTGATAATCTATCATTTACTCCTTTCATTCTAAAAAATTCTCAAAGAGAAAATTTTAGACTCTCTTTTCCCTTTCCTTCCAAATTATCAGTCCCACCAATTATATGTTTAACTAAGGAATGACTTTTACATGACCAGTCTCATTGTGGATCAATCCTAGAAAGTATGGTTAATTTGTGTTTGCCTAAATGTGCACAAGTCAAATTAAATAGGAAATAGGTTATCTTGTACTTGTTTCTCCTTGTGCCATTCATTTTATGGCTTTGGTCATTCAACTATGCATCAATGAACATTCTCTCTTACTGCTTCAATTTAAATTAGTAAATATAGCAGCTTTCATAAGTTTAGCAGATTCTCATAAAGTTGTTTTATTGTCACCAGGTTTCGAGGATTCTTTTGGAAGGCTGCTAGAATAGGTTAGTTTTTTACACTTGTTTTAGTTTCTCTGAGAATCAGCAATTGACAATGCCGTGTGGGGTGGCTATTTAGCCATCAATTGTTTAAAGCATGCTCTCTGTTACTTTCTCATTAATCAGAGAACAAATCAACGCAAAAATTTTTGGATTACAAAAATATAATGTCAGTCATTGAAGACTATAGGACTAATGGTTTTATAACTTGTTCAACCTTTTTATTTATGTAGGTGAAAGAATTCAGCTGATTTTTCTGTTTATTTAAAGAACAGGTTTAAGTGTTTAACTAATTTTTCTATTCAACACTTATTTTAAGATTTGTAATTCAGCCACAATGTGGTATGTGGTTTGTAATCACTTCTCTAGTTCGACTCTTTCTTTAGCTCTCTCTGTATCGAATGATCTTCTTTGACTGAAGGTTGTTGCACTGTTTTCCCCTGTTCGAGGTAATTGACTTCTTTTGTTGACATGATATTATGCAGGCGAACGTTTAAGCCCTTGGGTGGCTGTGGGATGTTTTACAATGGGCGTGTCAATTCTGTTCTTCTGAAAAGGGTCTACTTTGCAAAATTTGGAGCGGTTCTATTGTTTTGTTTATCAGCCTGGGCTCCCATTAGTTATGCGATGATCGCTGAACGTCCCTTTTACTTAAAATAGTCTCAGCTTAGTGCATTTTAGTTCAGGACTCTAGCTTACTTTGCGGAAACGATCTTTCTTCTTTTTTGTCAGCTTTTTAAGAAAGCTTTTGAAAAAAAAATTGTATTTACTTAAATATAATTAAATCTAAACATACAGTTAGTTTGTGCATTACCTGGGGTCTTGCAGTTATAATATGTCCATTTTCCTCCTGAGCATGTGGTATTTGTTGTCATCGCCAACTTGTTACTAAATATTAAGTAGAGCCGCAGTTTATTGGTAATTAAGTAATGGATTTGTCTATAAGTTATTTCATGGGATGAATAAATCCATTCCAGGTAGATTAATGAGATTTTGTCTGTAAAGAAATAAATAAAAAAGTTGATACAGTTTATATCTTAATGTCATTATTCCACTTAAGATTAAGTTATTTACCTAGTGAGATAACTTTCCAAATCCTTAACTAATTACATCCGGCTAGATTCTAATTATTGGAGTTGCCTAGTTCTGCCTTGATGGTCTCTGCAAATTTAGGGTGACAGCATCTTTAAGCATAGAAGCTGCTGTGTAAATTTAGTCACCCAGGTGGATGGCATGTGGTTGAAAAAAAAATTCTTGTGTTAATATTATTTCGTTTCTCAAGTAACGTGTGTCCAAGTGAAGGAGCAAGATAGAAAGGGTTGGATCCATTGCTGAATTCTGCGGGGGATCATAATAGGGAAGTTTGCAGGTGTTTATTATTATTTTAATCATCTAAAAATATTAAGATTTTATTAAAAATAATATTTTTTTATACAAATATTACTTTTAGATGTTTAAATTCAGTTAATGTTTACAAAAATTTAATTAATATGATAAAAGTATATGAAAATAAAGATAATTAATACTATTAAATGAAGATGTTTAAGAAGATAAAATTTTGGCGTTAACGTAAACCAGTTACATTAAATCCAACGTTCTACAAACAATGCTTCAAGCAATCCTGAAGGTGCATCTTTATCTTTAAAATAATAATGATAATGATAAAAAAATAGAAATAAAAAATAAAAATCATCTTAACGCAGAGGGAAGACAAAAAGTAGACAAGTCCGTTTAACTTTCCATCCTAATCAATAATTTGGTTTGGATCCTTGGCCGTCACTACCAGCCACCACCTGCGACAGGTCCACTTCTACGTTGGCTTTCCTTGCCGCTATCTGCCTCTTCGTTGACTTGTAATAGGTGGCATACAAAATCAGCTGCGCGACCGCAAACAATGTTCCAAGCCCATTTGGTATCTGACAATTAAGCACAAACACCAACAAAATAGGTCATTCATTTACTTTACATATGTACATGTTGTCGTTTAATTTTGAGCATACATCATCAAACAAGAGAGAAAAGGTGAATATCATGAAGAGATATATTAAAATTCTCAGTTTCTTCTTTATTTACGGTAATGAATGGGTCGAAACGGATGAGAGCATAAGTAGTCCAAGCCACGCCATTCCCAAAGGAGGCCAGAGAGATGAAAAACGGCATGTACTCAACGCTCTTGGTCTTGATCACCAGTTTCTGCACCGCATATAAAATAATAACGTAACTGACCCATTACTATATGGTTGCTAATTGAAGGCCAAAGGGAAATTAAATATTGAATGAACAAATAACAATATAGTTGCTAATTGATGACTTACCATGACAGCTAAAGGTGAAGCATACATCATAATGTTGAAGAGAATGCAAGTGGTTCCAACGATGGCAGATCGTTTCTTGAGGGAGTGGACGAGAGTTAATGTGACAAGGGTGAGGGCTGTGATGAAAATGAGTTCCACTAACAGCCACAAGAACACCTTGAGCCTCTTGCTTCGGTTAGAGTAGATCAAGAAGAGTGTAACGTAGATGATCTCAATGACGCACCCTGAGCCGTTTATGGTTACCACTAAAAGGCTGTGTGGGTGCACCATGGGTAGACCGTACAGGGTCCAAACCATGCAGTTCACTAGCGTCGCTAGATATGGTGCTGGAGAAAACTGCTCCACTGATCCTTTCCTCCATATTTCCATAAAAGTTGGCCTGTTTATTTATTTCAATTTAAATTTAAACAACATACACACAGGCACAAGTTCAAACAGTTGTTATGTTTTCTATTATGATTTAATTAGGCCAAATAATTGTTTGATTGTTTTAGTGTAGACATCACTTGACTCAGGTTAAATAGGTAATAAAACTAAAAAAACAATAGTATCATTTCATTAAAAATACGAGTTTGTTAAGTTTAATTTTTATTTTTTTAGTTTGATTTTTAATATTTAAAAATAATATATATTCTTTTAAAATGACGTTTTTATTATACTAATAAATTTTTTTATAAAAGACATAATTTTTTATTGAAAAAAACATCACTCTTAATTACTTAAAATTAAACTTACCATTTGACCAACTTTTGTAACAGTTTCTCATTTATTTCAATGTATTTCTTTAGGAGGGAAAAATAACAAACAGATGGAATTAGACTCATGTTATGAGTGTTACTATGGCTAACTCTTGAGATCTCATAAACTCCATTCAGCGTCCAATGGAATGTTATTTCAACTCTGATCAGAGTGAAATTGTATAATTTTTTCAAATTTTGGAAACTCTTGGTGTCAGTGAAGATTATGACAATATTATATGGTGAGAAAGGACACATGCAAAGATAAAATTAGCATACTATATTGCAAGTCATGCTATATATATTTTATAATTTTTCTTTCAAAAAAATTTAATATGAGAGAATCTTATCCTACTTTCCTTCACGAAACAGATCTTATTTTTCGTACACCATTCAAAAAACGTTTTCAATCAAATTATTAAATGTAAAGAATGTCCTGAAACCTGTGAGTCGGAAAGGGTCTTTATTGGTAAATGAAGAAATGGAGAACTTTGGGTTTTACTAAATCAAGTCAAGTGGATAAAAACCTAGCTGAAATTCAACCCAGTAATGGCACGATACAATTTATAATCAACTATCATAATTTATAAATTTTTTAAGATATATGAAATTTAACTGGTTTTAAAAAGTCCTCCACAATTAGATTTTGCAGACAACAGCTAGGTTGACATCTTAAAAGGCTATATATCATAAGGGCACTTCACTATTTTTATTTTTATTTTGTTCCTTTTATTTTTGGATATAAGATCAATATATATATATTGACAATTAAATATCCCCTCATCACTTTAAAGAATGGAAAAAAAAGGTTAATTAATAGAGAAAGGTGAAGCTTACACTGGGGACAAGAACAAGAAGCCCGAGATGATGTTTCCTGAAGTTAAGAAAATTATGGAGGCAAAGATCGATAAGAGTGAAAAAAATTAATTCAAAATATAAGTACACATAAAGTTTAATTAGACTGCAATTTGACCCACCTATTATGCCAACTACTGTTCTAGCAATATCTGCTGCAGCCATGGTTCCAAGACAGAGAGAAGTCTAAGAAGAAAATGGGTATCAAAGACTGTTGAGAGAGAGAGAGAGAGAGAGAGAGAGAGTTTTGTCGCTGAATATTGAATTCACGGGGAGAAAGAGGAATCGGTGAATTAATGAGAGTTGGATGCAAATAAAAAAGCTAAACGTAAATGCAGTTTGGTTGTATAGGAATTCTAGTTGTAGCTAGTTGAACATGTGCATGACATGTATTGGTTTGTGCAACTCATCTTGTAAATATGAAATATGGTGCTCCTTAAATAGAGCGAAAGGGATAGAGATACAGAGACAAAGCCAAAGCTATTGTTCTGAATTTGCCGCTGCTGCAGTGATATGCTCAGACCCTACTCATCAGCTCAGCGCTACAGTCATCATAAAGCGACCATAAATTATTCCTGTGCGTCAGCGTAGCAGCCAAAAATTAAATAAACAAAATGTTTTCACGTCAAAATCTGATAATAAAAGATTTTTCTTTAATTTTAAGATACTGTACATGAAAATATATAATAAGTTAAATTATGTACAATGTTGTTTATGATATTATTTTTTATATTTAAAGGATAAAACTAAAACATGCAAATAAAATCAAGTCTATATTTAAGAATTAAATAAGAATTTATATAACTTTGTCTAACTATACAATATCGCATATAATAAAAATATATGTATAATGTTTTTTATTATATATTATAATATTTAATAATATTAATATATTGAAATTTATAATTTTTAATATAAATTTATCATATATATATACTTTTATTATGTATAATATCACATAAATTAGAAAATATAAATTATTTAAGTTAAAATTAACTAATTCACTTTCTTACCCTTCTAGACATAATTCATACATCGGATTCTAATATATGACGGTCTTATTTAAAGAAAATTTGAAGAAAAATAATAAATAAAGAGACTAATGAGAAAAAAATGAAAGGTTAAAAAACTCAGTAAATGAGAATAAATTTATAACAACTTAAAAAAAAGGAAGAACAATATTAATTAATAAAATGAATCTAAGATGTATAGCCTCCAATACTCAAGTTCAAAATACAAACTTAAGTTGCAAATTAAAAATAGGTCACAATATTACAGAAATTATTATTTATTAATAATTTAACATTAAATTAACTTTCATTAATGTAAGTTTTTCGAATAATAATTTAACTATTAATATAAACATTGTGAATTTATACTAACGTTTATTATATCAATAGATAATTGCATATATATATATATATATATATATATATATATATATATATATATGTATATAATCAGATATTAGTAAACAAATCAATTTTTTATAAGTTAAAATTATTTTATATATATATATATTTAACTTTTTTATAAGCTCTTTCATTTAAATTTGTTTAAAATTTGAGGATATAAATTATTTTTAACTTATGAAAACTTATTTGTTTTTTTAAGGATTTTTTTAAAAATGTATACAAATTGTAGCTTAGTATAGAATAGTTTAATTTTTTTTTAGATAAATATTATTTTTATATTAAATAGTTTTTATTTATTTGTAAGTAACAAATGTGCATATTGTAATTGGGTTAATTTAATTGAAGAATAAGTTTCACATTTATAAAATAAAATAAAAATTATATGAAAAGAAATAACTATGAGTCAAGAATTTAAAAAATATTTTCAACAAATAAATTACACAAACTAAAAAAATATCTGACTCACTTCTCTCCTTTCTTAAATATGACCTGCACATAAATTCTCATAATAATCACTTTTAATCATTAAAATACTATAATGATTTTGGCCAGATGCCAAAGCTATTCACAAATCTTCTCCATCATCCGTGTGGTTAAAATTTAGCTTCTAGAAACTATATATTTAGTTTTAGAAAACATATTTCTGTATTTTTAAAATTACAAAAGTGACACTTTTTTATTTATAAAATTTATATAGGATTTTCTTTATAGTCAGCAAATAAAAATTGAACTCCATTTTTTAAAATTTAATTTTAAAATAACTTAAATGCCTTGTGTTATTATTTAATCATAGAAGACCCAACACCAAGCCCACAGCAGCTCAATTCCCTAATGGGTCGGATACTTAGCCTAAGGCCTTATTAAACATCAATTCTTGCAATCTTTAGCATTCTTTGCACACATAACACAGGATCACAACACATTGTTCATATTTTTGAGAGCACAAGTGGGGTGGCCATTGTACCTTGCTTGTGATTTTCTACATTTTAACCTTATTTGTAGGCCACCATCATCATATCAAGTACACGCATTTTCTTCTAGTTCTATGTTCTGCAGTTGCAAATATTAACTTCAACGTTAAAATGTTTTTGTAAGTACACCCTCTATCCATCTCCAATAGTGCTCACTAGCATTGCAACACAGTTTCATATATTGTCCTATTCGTGCACCTTTGTACCGACCATAATTCACCCAAATTAATTAGAGGAGTTATATTTTTGTAACAATCATACTACTATTATCGGTATATATAAAAAAAAATTGGAAGAGCACAGAGAAGTAAAGTAAGGCACTATCAACAGTTCTGTCTAGGAATTTGATAGGTTCCACTGAGTGAACCTGTAAAGTGGAGAGGTATTCATGCACTGTGTGTGTTGATTTCATATCAGACAATGACGTATAATTCCACCTACAAGTAGAAATTTCTTTTGCAACAATTCCACCTTTAAACAGAAATTCCTTATGGTCCACTAACCAAAGGAATCGATTCTGGGCAAGTACTTGCCTGTCACATGCCTTTGGAGTATGGAGTTCAACTCATGCATGGTTATATATATATGTGTGACTGAATACTTCAAAAGAATGCTTATTAATTTCTATACCATGATCATTACTTTGATGACAAATGAGTAATTAGTTTAGGTGGTTGTGATTTTTTTAAGGTCTTGAAATTTAAATGTTATATAAATTAAAAATTGTGAGAGAAATATTTTTGCTATATTATAAATGTTCTCTATTTAAATAAATTGTTTTTATACATAAAAAAAAGTGTATTTGTACTTTTCATTACTTTGATGTGTAATTGTGTATCAAATATTAAGGTGTTAGGTTTTTAGTTATGTGGAAGTTGAAGCTGTATTATTTCTTTCATCGCCAGGTTTCATTAAAAAAAAAATGTGCCACTTGTTTCATCTTTAATAAATAACTGATCATCAAGGAGAGGATGATAATTGATACAAAGTTTTTGTACAAAATTATATCCAAAGCATCTCTTCTCTGATTTTCTGTCATATATATATATATATATATATATATATATATATATTTTATTTTATTTTTATTTTTTTTTTTAATTTAATATTTTCCAACACAATATTTCAAAGTTTTTGGCGAATCATGTTTGTAAACATCAAAGTTCCCCACAAGATTCATCGTTAAAAATGAACTTCCAAGCTTTAGCAAATTTATAATATGTTATAATAAAATCTTAGAGAACACTTATGATGATTCCCCAAAGATTAGCACATCACAATATTAATCATTTAAAAAAATTTCGCTAATAAATTGTTATCAATTATGCTTGTCTTTTCATAAATATAAGTGTGGTGATGTTTACCATTTTAAGGAACAGATTTAGTTAATATAAACTTTTAGTTGGTTATATTTTTAATCTTCATATTTAATTACTATATTTTTTAAATTATTAAAAAAAACAATTGTAATAATCGTGAAATAATAGTTAAATGACTAATTTAGAAAATTTCAATAAATAAGAATATTATTTTCGAAGTATACTACATTTCAATCCTCTTATTCTAAAATTTGCGTCTTAAATTATTTGGATATTAAAATGTATTTAAATGTATGTTTAAATCATTACAAATTTATGTTTAATCTAATATTATTTTTATATTAAATGTATATATTTACCATTTTTTGAACATACTTTTAAACATGTACCTCATCACGAATGGGTACAATGCATACTAAATTCAGAAGTATAAAATTTCTAAAAGTCAAATATAAGATCTTATCTAATATAATTAATGAGGCTAGCAAGACGTGCACAACTTGGTTTGCATTACTCAATTAAAGGATAAAAAACAAATGCCTCTGCCGAATAACATCTCTTATCTCTGATAATGAGGACTGAAGTCACAGGCAATCGAAAAGTTTGGAGATTTCCAAGCATCTTATAGGATGTAATATCGATGTTGCATACCATACACATCAAAAGAAAAAAAGAGAGAGAAATTACATCATCATCACTAACCAAAACATTTATTTGTCATAATCTTAAGGAGAATTTTGTATTTTTCTTTCAAAAACAAAAAATTGAGGATATTACCTAGAAAAAGTGAATTTCCAGCACCTAACCATTAGGCACATTCGATGTCCCATCTTCTCTATTTTCTTCCCTCTATTAAGTATTGTTTATCCAGACAAATAAAACCTAACTCAGTTCCTGTGTGCATTGGAACTTTGGATCATGTCCCACCCCAATATATAAACCCATGATTCTGCAACACAGAGCCTACAAGTGCGATGCCCAACATGATTAGCATAAATTAAAGAAAAGAAAAGATACCTTGTTTATTTATATATTTTCAGATGATTAAAGTTTATTTTCCATGGTAATTTATCTAATTGTTTACAGTAAAAATTATAATTAATAAATAAATAAATTTAAGAATAATTTAAAATTGAATTTTAGGTCTTTTTAAAAAAAATTAAATATGTTATTAACATGATAATGAAAATAATGTCATACATTAAGAAAATAAATATAATAGAAGGATAATAAAGTAGTACTAAATTGAACTGAATGTAAATATTTACAGAAATATACTGAACAAAGACTAAATTACAGGAAAAAAAACATAAAATGAATTGAAAATAAATTACAAAAAAGTAAAAAAGTAAATGTATGACTCTAAGTAAAGAATAGTAAGGACTATGAATTCTTTAGTAACTAGTGTTTGACTCGGTGTAGAATTTAAGTGTGCCGAGAATTTAAACACAAATGTCTAGTGTAAAAAGTCGTCTCTTATGAATGTGAAGCTTCATATTATTTATAAACAGGTAAACTATAACTGCTCTCCTCGTTTTGCAGGCACTTCTTGTTAACTATTTTATGTGTGTTTCTTCTCAATCGATGTTGCCCATTATTCATAACCGCTCAGTGCATTTTTCATAACTTCTGTTGCCCACAATCATTTTTTCGTATCTCTGACATTTAATTAGTGGTAACCGTTGGTAACTGCCGCTGCTGTTTTTATGGACGTTTCAAATCTTGTTCAATCCTTATAATTTTTTGACATGTTTTTCATCTTTTGGACTTCATCTTGTCTTTAAGGAAATCTATCAAAGACTTTTGTGAACTTAGAATAATTTTTCTTATCAATTAATTTTTAAACAATTTTTAGGAAAAATTAATCAGTTTCAGCTTATCTCGTACACTCAGAATAATTTCTATTGTCGAGTCCTATTTCCACAAATTTTGAAGAAAATGTGTGAGTTCATCTAGTCTCGTAGACTTAAAATAATTTTCTTTGTCAATTCTTGTTACGACAAATTCTGAAAAAATGTGAGTTTATTTAATCTCGTGAACTTAGAATAATTTTCTTATCGATTCCTTTTTTTAACAAGTTTTAGGAAAAATCTATGAGTTCCACCTTGCTTCGTAAACTTAGAAAATTTCCTTTCTCGATTTCTATTTGGACAAGTTTTGGCTCTTCAACCTAGGACTTAAAAATCTCCAAAACTCCTCAAAAGGCCATCCTCTCTTTAACAAAATCAAGGCTCTTCTCGCGACATCTCAAAACTCCTCGAGATGTATCCTTCTTTCCAATAAAGAATGAAACTCTCCTTGCAACTTTTCAAAACTCTTTGAAATATAACCTTCTTTCCGACAAAGAATGAGACTTTTCGATAAGTCTTTGTAGATGTAGGAAACTATGATTCTCTTTAATTTTAGTTAAAAGATGTATTCATTCCACTGATCTTTAAGGTGTGTTTTTCTTTAAAAAAAAACATAATCTATTTTTTTATCATGAAAGTCTGATAAATGACTTTGTAACTTATTTTTTTTTCTCCAAACACTACTATATAAAAGCTAGAAATGAATTAACTTTATATTCCTAAAAAAATTATGGTTATGGTTGCAATTATTAAAATTTATAAAAAAAAATAATTTGACTTTGTAGGTATATTTAAATCTTATCCATATAACTCAAAAAATTTTGGATTTGAGTTAATTTGAAAATTAATATTTACGTTTTATAACTAAAACAATAAATTAATTTATTATTTCTATACTAAATATTTATAATCTCACCTATTGTGATGTTAAGTCATTAAGCATATGAGAGGTGAAATTTATGTATAAAAAAAAACAGACTTGTAAAGATAAAATACTATATCTATTTAAAAAATAATTAAATTACGGATTCATCGAACCTTACGCAGAAAATTCCACCGTTTGTCAGAAAGAAACTTTCAACCGCTTTAAATTTTTTGAGCTTATAAATTCTCAACATATTATAATTATTGACGAAGTGTAAGACATTTATAAAGTGATCGTTACAATGCATTCAGGCCAACAAGTATTTTGTATATTGCATGATTATTTTTAATTTAAAAATTAAAACTACAATAAAATTATTAGCAATTATTTCAGATAAATTTTAAAAATACTAATAAAAAATATTTCAAATTATCAAAGAATGTATATTTCTAAAAATAAACATTTATATTATTTAATATTTTTTTATAAAATACGAATCCAGTAAATTTAACTGTTTTATCATATAATATATAGAGCTAGAATATATTTGTTTTTGGTGTAAGAATATATTAGCTTTTACTTTAATTTTACAAATAACACGACTTACAAAATGAGATAATGTTGGGTGAGATTGTCGGCCAAAAAATAAGATAAAGATTACATTGATTGAAGACAGTGGCTGTGAGTTACTACGGACGTAAGAGGAAAAATGATTAGCTAATGTGAAGTTACTTTTTTATTTATTGATAAAAAATAGTTTTCATTAACTTCAGTCTTAATTTAAATATTTATAAATAAAAATTTATTTTTTTTATTATATTAAAATTATAAAAATATAATAAATATTTTTTAATAAAATTTTATTATCAATTATTTATCTTTGATCATAAAGTTAATATTTTAAAATAAAAAAATTCATACTAACATAAATTTAAAATTTTTATATTTAATCTAAATTTAATTATCAGTAAAATAATAAATTATAATTTATTTAATATAAATTAAATTAAAAGCTGATATTGAATGTAAAAGTATTTATACTTATATTAGCATTTGTTCTTTGGAGCTTTGATAATCTGGTGATCAACTTCTGACCTCAGTGCATTGAAGTTAACAAGGAGCTAACAACACAACACAACACAAAGGAATCTAATCTATCCCTTTATTTGGTCTCAAGAAAAAGAAGTGAAATATCAGAAGAGGGTGCTACATGTGGGGAATAACATTGCCTAGAAGATAATCATGATTTGATTACTTCTGCTATATATTCTGTGATTCATTTTCATGTACATCCCCTACGCTTTCGAATCTTGCCCTGTGAATTTCACTGTTTATGACTTTGTACTGAGTATGACTCACCATAACTTATTCGTACGTGTACCATTCCAAGACCAAGAATCACAGTCGCAAGTCAAAGCCATTAACCCACATTTTACCATGAGATGCAATGAGATTTCAACACACGCATTGATTCACGTAATCTCGTACCATGTTTAAGTTTTCATCTTTGTATCAAATTTTATGACTAAAAGATAAAAACTTTACTAACATAATGAAATTTTTTAGAATAATATTATCTCAGTCTAGCATGCTTTGGAATTCATTAATTTGCTGAATAATTATCTCAAAACGGGTGTATAAACATTGTGTTTGTGACTCAATGAAAAAGTAGTGGTAGACTTAAGTGCGTCAAAAGAGAACCCGGCCAATGAAAATATGTGATAAATGGAATTTGTCAGAAAGAGCAATGTCATAACTCATACAACCTTGCTAATATTCAAACTTACCCCTCGTCCATACAACAATATGATGGCAACTTTTTCTGGCAAAAGAATTATCACCGTTGCTATTTCTTGTTTAAAAGCTTTCTTTTAATTTCAAAAAACTATTAAGTGAAGTAAAATAAGATTTTAAATTTCTATAGATTCAAAAGTTTTGTGTGTTTTATAACGATACATTTTCTTCTTCTTTAAATCTTTTATCAAATTTAGGATGGTGGTATATTTTCAGACTTATTTTGAGTTTTAAATGCAACTTTTAGAATAAAACGTCTTCAATTAAAATAGAGTTAAATTAATTTTTAACTTCAGTTTTAAATTTAAAATTAAAAAAATAATTTTAGATATAAATAATTTGAATAATTAATCCTCTAAAAGTTTTACATATTAATGTTATTTCTCTTTATCTACTATTATCATCATTATTGTCACCCTCTATTATTACTACCATGTTCACTCTTATTTTTGAGCTACCATAACTAATTAACCATTGTTATTATTGTAATCAGCATTAATTTACTGTCACCACCAAACAAGCTCATGTCAGTCAACGTATAATTTGTGTTGATACATTTGATATAAAAATTTGAAAAATTAACAATAAATATTAATTTTTAAAACTTTTAAAACTGATAACCACCTTGAATAGCCCGTAGTTACCATTTTTTAATTTTAGGTTTAGTAACTCATCCTTTCAAATTTTTAAAATATGACAAAAATAAATCATTTTTGGCCATTACGAAGTTAGAGAACGTAGAGCAAGTGTGCCAAATGAATGTCAATTTCAATACATTTTTATTCAACTGGAGTCCCAAGTCAAATAGGTTATCACAGACGAGTATATTGCAACTTAAAATCTTCAGATTTTTATGATAGTTTTTTAATATATAAATACACTCTTTAGCCACAGTAAAATTTTGAGTAAATTAATTGTCAAAATTAAAATGCCTACAATTGTATGACAGTCAATATATAGAATGCGACGGTTCCTTGTTTCCTACCACAGTACTGAAGAAGTGTAATTTAAGATAAACATATATTTTAGTTACAAGGAAAAGGGAAAATTTTATTTTAAAAGCAATTTATTTAGTTTAAATATTGAAAAGAATGATAAGAAATTCCTATCTTCCCATTTTTGTCTTTCCTTCTGTAAAAAAATGAAAGGAAGAAAAGTCTGTAAATAGACTAAGATAAATTATCCTCGATTTAATCACTTGAGTTGAACGATCTTGCAAGACGACTATCTCCTTTCAACAAAATCCACAAGAGTCTCAAGAAACTAGACCCGTATCACGGGTCATTTGTGACCTTTCACATGTTGATGTAATTCATAATTACCATAAATAAATAAAGCACAAAAATTTCGAGATGTCGTGCGCTCTTTCTGATCAAGCTCCAACCACATGCGTAATTCGGAACCAGAGAACACAAATTTGCTAGCTCGATTAGTCACAATATGAATAAAACACAATCTCATCGAATTTTATTCTCACTCGAATAAAAATTTGCTTTCAACATTTTTCCGGAAACGGAGATGGAATTCTGTGGTACAACTTGAAGGTCACAACACAATTGACAAAGCAATTAACCAAGAAAAACAAATGCATGAACAAATATCAAGAAACCGGGAAGCTCGCTCCCAAATTACATATTCAACCCTATACAAGATATCCTATGTTACAGAATGTGCATTCAATATATATGAATAAAAATATGGTTAAATTCTAAACCCCAAACCAGGCCACCTCTTAGTCCCCTCCTTCTTTGTCCTCTTTGAGCCGGGATCAATAAGGTTTTCCAGAGATTTCGCTTTTCTGTCCCTTGTCTTCCCTGCTTCTTTCAGAAGCTCGGCCAGCCGGCGCTTCTCATCTTCAAAATCAGGATTTGCTATTCCAAGCTTTTCTTCCCTCAACTTAAGGACATATTCTAAGATTTCAATCGCGTCTCCCACTCTGAAGCATGCCATCATATCAGGTCCAGAGTTTAACTTACAAGAGTTATGGCATAACACAACTTAAAATAGACATTTCACTTATTCTACTTGAACACAAAAAAAAAAAAAGACTATCAGACAAATAACTGCGAATCCAACCACATGAAGAGAATGGAAGTTAGGTATGAAGTGAGGAAAATGAATGAGTCCCCTGCAACGACTTTTCAGACCAATGGTTACTGCCTATGGAAACAGAAAAATTATACACTCATATGCAACGAAGCACAAGCAGGGGCAGAGCTAGAAAATATTCACTGGCATAGCCGAGCTATGAGATCAATGGAGGTCCTAAAGAACGAAAAACATGGCACTATTAAAGTATTAGGCAACCTAATCATATTTATATTTGAGTTTTGCCATATACTCCTCCATATTTTCCTAAAAATCTTCTAGTTTATAGAATAAGTATTAAATGAAAAAAGACATATATTCATTATTTTAAAGACATAAATATAGTTAATACTTTCTTCATTTAATAATTAGAAGGATTTGTAGGCGTAAAAGGTAAGAGAATTCAGAATTATTCTTTATGTTTAGCTTTGCCTTTGCCCAAAGGATTTAAAAAGCTTTTGGCTCTGCCCCTGTAGCAAAGGTTGGGGTGGAGGATTTAAAAAAATGTTGAGCTCAGCACAACTGAAACAAAACAGCTGCAGTCATGCAGCCCAACATATAACTATGGTAATAACTACACTAGGCCACCAGTTGGTCACTTGTACGTCTCTCACAATGTAAATTTATCGGATTTGTCTAAGTTACCCCATGGGATAAATAAACCTCATCCTAGGTGGATTAATGATATTTTGTTTATAAAATGTCAAACAAAAAGTTGATAAAAATTCTAATATAATGTCTTAACTTGATTAGTCCACCTAGGATTGAGTTATTTATCCCATGGGGTGGCTTAGATAAACCCTAACCTTTAACTATCTTTTATTTTGTGAGTGCTTGAAGGGATTCAACATGATGAATCGAAGGAATAAATATATGCTAATATGAATAAGGGTGAAAAGAAAACAAGATTTTACCTTCCCATAGCATCATATGTAGCTGCAAGATTGCTGTACACTCCAAGAGTATCCTGATGACAGGGGCCACACTCCTGTTCAAGGATTCCCCTAGCTTCTTCAAACAACTCAGCAGCCTCATCTATCTTGAACAGTTGAACACAGGCCAATCCCATCTGGTTCAACACAACACCAAAGAAAGCACTCTTCCTCTCCCCACTTGCTCTGAGTTTCGCCACAGCACTCTCAAAAGAGTTTCTCGACTCCTCATACCTCCCAATCATGTAATGCATCACTCCCATTCGCGCTTCTATCCCCGCAATTGTGCTCTGCTGCCCCGGCTTATCCTCCAACAATTTCATTGCCCTGTTCAACAATTTCAGCGCCTCCTCCGGCTCATCCACAGACTCAAAAATAGCCGATACCTCTGTCAAGCCGCCGGCAATCTCTTCCGCGGTAGTTCCCGGCACCGGCTTGGAGTAAATCCGAAGTGCATTTTCACAATACGACTTGGACTCACGAAGCTTCCCAGTCCTGTGATATAAATCAGCAAGACGCACAAAAACAGACGCAACGGAAGGGTGATTTTCGCCCTTGGAAGATTTGAAAACAGTAAGCGCCTTCTGATACGAAAAAATAGCCTCATCAAAACGACAAAGCGACATGTAAATATTCCCAATGCTAACATCAATCGACGCAACCTCATTATCTTGACCATTCGCAATCATAGCCATGCTAGCGAGCACAAGATGCTCAAGCGCCGATTCATAATCTCCTTTCGCCTCGCAAATAAGCGCCATGAGCCTCCTATCAGCAGCTTCTTCAAGAGAAGCAGGTTCACTGTGCGCACGATGAATCTCCAGAGTCTTCTTGCACAACTCCTCCGCTTTATCAAACTGCATCGCTTGCACATTCGCTTCAGCCAAATATCTGCAATATAGAGCATCAATCAACAATCTAGATCGATTAATTGAAGAGTTGGAACAAAAATTGAAAGAAGGTGAAGATACGAACCTGCAAGTTTCGCCGACTCTAGGATCGATATCGCCGAGGGCTTGGATCTGAATCTGAAGGCCCTGGTCATAGCAAGAGATGGATCTGTCAACTTGACCGAGCATGGAGAAGGTGTCGCCTAATTGCATGTAGCCAGAGAAAGCGGCGAGCGCGTGATCTGCACCTCTTGCCACGTCAGGAACGTGGATCGCGCGTTCGAGAACGGGAACGGCTTCTTCGAACCTGCCAAGGCTGCAGTAGATGGCGGCGAGAACGTGGAGGCTCATGGCGAGGTCCAAGCTGGGCTCGCCTTCAACGGCACAGCGCTCGAAGGACTTGGAGGCCCGGATGGCGTAGTCGAGGGCCTTAGCGGGCCCATCACCAGAGGCGATAGTGTCACGGGCCAATTTAAGAAGGAATGGGCCGAGATCGGGGTTGTCGAGTGAGGCATCTTGGTTGGGAGGGGTTTCTGGAGTCTTTTTTTTGGAGCGAGAAGGGGATGGAGAGGGTGGTTTTTTGGGGAGTGGCGATGGGGTTTTGATGTTAGCGGATTCGGATCTCTCCGTTGGGGTATCGGGTAAGGAGATTCGGAGCGGCGGAGCGTCCGGTGGGGTTTTTACGGATACGAGACCGGGCATGGTGGTGGGAGTGGATTTAATTGGGAGAGAGAAAGAGATTTGTTTGTGTTTGTGATTGGGTTTGTGTTTGTGTGTTGAGTGATTTTTGTATTGATTTGGGGATGGATAAGAACTGGGCACCACTCTCAACTAAAATTGGAGAGTTGTGGTGAGCAAGGTTTGGAGCGTGTAGATCAAATGTCTCTTCTGTGCTATCAAAGTGTGAGCTGTGAGGGAGGTTTCATTCTTTTCACTTTCTCTTCTCTTCTCTTCTTCTTCTTCTCTCTCGGTTGGGTTAGTTTCGTAATTCCACTACTCTCCTTCTCTTTGGGTTCAGGGAATCCTCTTTAACTCAAATTATTAATTATTAATGCACCTTTTTCTCCCCTCTTAATATTCACTTTGATTTCTTTTTTTAAACTATGATGATCCTTTCGTTTTTATTAATCCGCTAAATCCAAGCTTTTTTCACTCACTTTAATCTTCAGTTTACTGCAAACTAGTACCACTCTCGAATCGTATGCATGGATTACATTTGTTTTGCAGCTTTTGGTCATGTATTAGATCGAGGTGGATCTCACACAAATTTAGCAACATAAAAAATGCTAATATTTACATTGCTTTTGCTTACAGAAATTAAGAGTTAAAAGCATCTTGTTAAAAAATCTAGGAGTACATATTTATGGGATTTTTAATGTACTTTAATACCATTTTAAATAAAATATCATTTAGTCGTTTTAGTCAATGTCTTAACAAGACTTTTAAATATAAGAATTTACATTTTATGTGTTTAATATATGTAATTATCTTTTATATTATTTTTAAAGTGGTATTCAACTTAAAAGAATTCAATTATTAGAATCATAATCGCTGGTAAAGTAGATCTTCGTGTAATTGTCTCTCCATTTTTCCCTCGAAGAAAATATATTGAAATGGAAATTGGTTTTTGGTAATGGGAATGAAATAGATTTCTAATTGATTATTAACTTTTTAAGAATAAAGTCAGTTTCATTAGGAGTAGAATGAAGTTTGCTTGCTATCTGAAACGCTTATCCAATTCAACTCTTAACTTGATATAGAATATTCCAGGATTTTGAAGTTATTATTGCAGAAGGATGCTTGTAAATATGAAATCTTATGTATAATTTTTTTTAATTTATTAAAAAAACACTTCATAGAAATTAGTAAGCTTTGTTGATTCTTTAAAAATGATATTTTTATATTTTGTTTCACTTTCATTTTCATATTGACAGACTGATACGTAGTTTTTTAATGAAAATATTCAAATTCATTTTATATATGATACAACAATTCATTTTTACCTGTACTCTAATTTTTTCCTTTTATCATTTAAATTTTTTAAAACATTAAATTCTGACTAAACGTGCCTTTTGATTTATGAATTCAGAAAGAAAGAAGATTATATGCTATTCCTAAAGTTTATCCATCAAATACATTAATTCAAACGCCATTGCAATGGTCCTGCCCGTATATGGGTCTGACAAATTTACATGAAGGAGGTGAAACTATTAATTGACCATTTATTTTCGTGCCAGTAACCCTGCCTTGTGCTGTGTTGGTGGATCATGCATTCATATTAATTTTTGCTTCCTCCAATCCTCGTAATCTCTATTTAAGAACATTTCGTGAATAAGTTAAGATATTATCATTTCATTTCTAACATTTGTTGAATTAATAGAATATAATAATTTATTTTATCATTTTATCATATTTTTTAATAAAACTTTTATTTTATGAGAGTCTAAATTAGAAATAGATACATTAACCCAACAAAAATTAGAAACAGGTGAAATAATATATCAATTTTCATTATCAATATTATTAAATATTGAATAATCCAACAATATTTTAATAATTAAATACTACTGATTCAAATCTAACATCTACCTCCTAAATAAAAATGTGGTGGTTATATACACATTATTTGGTGGCACTTAGCAATTGGATTTTTGTCTACCATCTCATATATTTATTTTTTTAAATTTCTCCTTTTTGTTCCCTCTAGTGCATAACTGCAGAGGGCCAATTAAGACATGTTAGGCATCTTCCCTTGACTTTATGGTTAATTGGTTTAGCATGCTGCTTTAATTAGTGCGTTTGATCCTTATACACAGTAATCAGCTGTGAATTAAAAGGCAAAGAAACAGCAATTGTTGTCGTTCAACTAATGATATCATTGCAGCTAAACTTCTTAGGTTGGACTGTTTACTAAGATCAAAGAATATCTATTATAGAAGATTGGTGAGAAACAGGTACTACTATTTTAGTGCGTTGGATCACCTGCCATAAATATTAACATAAACCATAATTTAAATGATAAAGCCTCTTAAAAAATTAAAAAAATATATAAATTAATTTTAAATCATGAGAAGTGTGTGTTTTATTTCACTACTTAATCTTTCACTTTAATAAAAACTTATTGATAAGTTTTTTCAAATTATATCTGATTTTACATTCTGGTTTGCGAACATTTTCATGGATTAAGCAGGTAGAGAAAGCAAAAACACTTTCTCAGCTTCCATTTGGATTGCTATGCATAAATGCTATTTATTGCTAGGTTGCAGATCTTAAGTGGTGATACATACATAAAGAGAGAGAAGAGAAGTAGCACTAGCACTAACAGAGCAATGAGTAAAAGTTTAGTCGTATTCACTATGAAATCAAAGGCAGTGGATTAGTTCATACTCTTGACCACTTTTTTATATAAATTGAAAGATCGCTGCTACAATTTAAAATTGTTCACCAAGAAAACATAAACTTAGGATCTTTGTGAATTCTTACTCTTTCTTTCCTAATATTTATGCTAGTCTGTTATTATGTGGCAGTTCATATTCACCTTTAACTTCATTTAAATAATTAAACTCCCTCCTAAATGGCAGCGCTTTTAATTAAAACATATTCCATATGCTTTTACAGTAACATTAATTCAACAGCCATTCTAATTAGCTGATTCATGATAAATGTGAGGAAGACAGAAACTTTTAAGATATATTTCGTGTTCAAATACATTTATTAGTTGTTAGCTAATTGAACTTTCACATTAAATATAACGAGTTAAATTTTACTATTCGATAATACAGGATACAAGGCTCAGCCGCACGAAAAAATTGGCAATCCATTAAGTAAAAATCTATCAAAACCAGAATATTGAGACGTAATATTTATTGATTTTTACATATCAACTCCCAGATACATATAAGTCAAATTTACTTTTTCATTAATCTATTTATAATATCAATTAGTAATGAAAATCGTAAAGCGTATATATAATGATCAAAACACAGAATTGAGACGTGGAACGTTGAGGGTCACATCACTGAAACCACGGCACTTGCCATGAAGTTGACTTCCTATCTTTGCGCCAATTCTATACCCATCATCATTTGGTTCATCAAGAAAAGGCAACTACAAATGAAGTACAGGGTAAATTATTAGTTAAGTATTATCTACCACTCTAATCACTATTAAACATATATTAATAAATTATGTCAATAATTACACTCATCTTAAAAAATACTTTTCAGCATGTCATTTGACCCTACAACCAAATGTCGAATCTCATCACAACAAATGCCTTCTATTATATTATTTATTAGTGATGCAGCATATATATGACGCTTTGAAACCAATATGAAGTTAGTGATTTACAAACAAAAATTTGAGGGGAAAAGAAGGAAGAGACAGGAATAGCAACATATAATTTCGTAAAATTCTCCAGACACAAAAACTTTCTTGTCGGTCTTCAGCACTTCATTTTAACATTATTACAGAAACACGTATAAATCTTATATATCTTTTCTTATATTTCTACAGCTTTTCAGCTATAAGCAGTGAGCTGGCTTGAATTATTTATTTCATTAAAATATATCATATATAATATATTACATATTACAAGTAACGCAGCACAACAATTACTTCAACCGTGTGGCTTCGTTTTCCCTTGATCATTCCGGGGATTAGCACCATATTCTTTGTAGTCATCAGTATCAACTCTCATAAGCTGTCTTCCCTTCATCCGAAAAGAGACCTTCAACAAAAGGGTGTTTCAATAGTGTTAGATTCACATAAATCACACAAACAACCATTCATCACTTATTTTTGTATCCATTTTAGCCACGTAAATCAGTGGTCCTCCGTGTAATATATTAAGACTTTTGTAGTTATATACAGGACATATAGATTGAAATATGTGTGTATAAGATGAATTTAAGAATTTCTAAGCTTGAGTATATATTCTGAGTTTACCTTGGATGGTGATTTTACTACATCCACTTTAATCCTCAAGCTGCTGACTCTAGCTATAAGAGATTCAAAGAAACGAATTTGGTTTAGTTATCATTTTTTGTTAGCATGCATGTATGTACTTTATTTAAAATATATATATCCCGAGAATCCAGCTACTTACCTGTATACAGTTCAACAAAGAACAAAAGGAAGATCATAATAGAAATTCTGAGCTTCGGATCCATAAAGTTGGCTATAGCGTTTGAACGATGTCCGAAATTGAAAGGAAGGGGGAATATCCTTTTATAGTACGTACAGGCATGGCAATGAGGAATGAATTAAAATAGATGCATGAATCTTTTTTCTCTCTCTTTTTTTTTTCTTTTTTCTTTTTAAAGGAGGTTAGAATGGGGAAATTGGGCTTGTATCCACCTTGAAGGGAGTAAAAGTTATCACAGGATACATGTGGGATGTGGCATGTCATATGATGCATTCAACTGGAACGAATAAAGTTGAACATATTGGCATGTGGGCAAAGTCAACTCTATAGCTAGCTAACTTTAGTTGCATTGGACCTGAAAAAATTTAAAACAAAACCACTCTTACCCAAATCAACTCACAAATTAGCACTTGACGTCTGTGTTGCACTAGCCACCTACGTTATTCTGCTTTTCCTTTCTTGGTTCTTGACCATTGTATTGTATCAATCACTTAAACAATATTATATATCCCATCTAAATTTTAGTTACTGATAAGTAATAAGTAATCCCGTTCGAAGATGGATAGTCAACCAACTTCTCGGTGCTCAATTATGATGTGTAGTTTTCATGCTAGCTTTTCTATTGAGTAGTGGCTTTATTAGTTCACTCCCCACATGATTTTTCAATACAACTATTTTATTTGTATAATCATTTTCATTTTTTTTCTTTTTATCTTTTTCTCCTTTTTTTTAATCATTTTTTTAACCCCTCTCTCTTCTTCCACTTAAGTAACCCCCAAAATGTGGGTGTGGATGTAATATTTTCCTTCTCAATATTAACTTTAGAAGTGCCACACTTTGTGGCTACGGGCAAAGTTGGCTTCTCAGCCGAGAAATTTCAAGGAAATAACAAAAGGAATAATCTTTTATCTTAGTCTTGAACATTGTATGTATCAGTTTAATTTCTTTATTTCTTGATCTTGCAAGACTTTTATTTTAATCGTTAACTTTAAAAATGGAAGTTTACTTAAAAAAAATACTAATGAATAAAACAGAAAGTCAGGAGAGGAGGATGAATTAAGTAAAAGTCAAGTCAATGGGAGTTGCTTCAGAAGAAGGACTCAAAACGGACCAGTGAATGATATGTTAAAAGTATCTAAACAGGGTGATTCTAAAATTCTCCTTTTTTTCTTATAAAAAATAAGGTAAAAATAAATTTTGCAAAAACTATTAAATATTGTGAATCGTTGATTTTATGGGTATCAAGTCGCTATTATGTTTATTAACATATTGGAACAACAGCGAAGCAAACAATCAAAGCTTATACACACCTTCATATATGACGTTAAAAATAATGACATTCAAAAATTTTTGCTACTTTTTACATTGGTTCTCTAGAGAGAACTAATGTAGAAGTAGCTACACAAAAAAAAAAATTTCTACATCTGTTCTTTCTAGACGTTCTAGCTATATACAAATTTTTTTATTAATAATAAGATAAATGAATTATTTGATTTGGTTGGAAATATTCATAGATTTATGGAATCTGTTATTATATTATTACTAAGTTACACAAAAGAAAGAGAAAAATATAAAAAGAACAAACGGAAATATTATGTAATTAGTCGGTATTCAAAATAAAAAATGAAAGTAGACAAATTAAAAAGGAAAGGAGATGGTTGAATTAAAATAATTCCCTATAGAAAGTTATGTTTCTTTTTTAAAATTACGACATCAGTTTTAGAGAGAACCAATGTTAAAGTAATTGTATGAAAAAAATAATTTTCTACATCAGTTCTCTCCATAAAACCCATGTAAAAAGTTAGAAAGTTGTGTTTTCTTTAAAAAAAATATATTCTATATCAGTTTTATGAGAATCGATGTTGAAATAGCTGCGTAAAAAAATAAATTTTTACATTAATTCTTTAGAAAGAACTAATGTAGAAAGTTGAAACATTTTAATAAAATCATATTTACATCTAGTGTTGGTAATGACTGATGTAAAAGTTTAAAAAATAAGAAAGCATAGATTTAATAGCGGTTGGTTACAGAGAGCTGATGTAGATAGTGTTGAGTGTTTATTTGAAAATTTTTGAATGTGAAGTGGAACGACTTGGTAGAAAGCGCGAAACAAGCGTTGTAAGAAGCGGTTATCTTACCTGTGAAGTTTTGATTTGTTCGGTTAAACAATTAAAGAAGTGTAGGCTTTGTTTCTGTTGAATGTTTTTAATTATATTTTCTCAAATTTTATTTTTTTTAATCACGTTTCATGTTCTTCCAGCCATAGCTCATTGGATTCCAGATTGATAAGGCAGTGCATGTAATTCAAAGGGAATTATGAAGTCACAGAAAAGAAATCTCACTTTAGTTAATTTTATTCAACAAATTTTAAAGTTTAGATTAAAAAAATCTAGGAATATAGAAGGTTGAGAGGAAACGAGAGAGATGAAAATGGAGGAGTTGTTGTAGAAATGAAGAGGAAAGAAATAAAAAAGAAGTAACAATTTACTTATTTACCTTTTATTAACCTTTTATTACTCAATGTAGTCATCTATTCCTCTTGATTTTTAACTTTTTCACTGATAAATCTTAGCCATTCATTTTATATCTACAAATATCAACGGTTCAAATTTTTTTTCTTTACTTATTGAAAAATATTGTATTACTTTTTACAAATAAAGGGAGTATTTTAGAATTACTCATCTAACTATAGTTGAAAGTCTGATAAGATATAGGTTATTTATAAGCGGCTTGATAAATATTGTAAGATATAATTAAACATTCTTTTCAATTATTCTTTATTATTAATAAAAATTACAGAAATTTTATTTTTAATTTAACGAGTGAAGCTCATGTCTTAAAAGGCCTAAGCATGTTTCATTTAGTTTGACCTGCTAATTATGCAGGGCAGCATTTTCCATAATTGGAGAAAAGAAGTAAATGATCTGAAATTTCTGGCTGAACCCTTGTAGGTGCAAGTAATCGAGAGCATCAATTTAACATATCAATGATGCTAAATGAGAAAGAAACGAAGGATAAATAAGTGTATTGTAAGGAGAGAAATTAAAGTGTATTATTATTATCAACGTCAACAAAAACGCGTCTTGTAGCGACTAACTTATCTTGAAGTCAATATGAAGAATCATTTGATGCTCGAAATGCGGTGTCACGCACCATTTAGTACCAAATATTGGAGATATATCTAAAACCGTTCAATAGGAACGTCTAAGAAAAAGAAAAGTTGACTACACATGTGACAGTTCCCTCTGTGGCTGAAACTTACCAGAATTAATAATGCTTTTTTCATGCAGAGTTATGCAATATTTTCACGAGATAATGAGTATGCTTTTAATTTCAAAGAGAGCATAATTGTTGCGTTGAATTAGGTTCGCTGAAAATTTAAATCAACACTGATGGATCAACAAAAACGATGGCTTTTGAGAACACACACACACACACACATGCACTCTACTCCACCATGGATCGCTGAAATTTTAGCTTCCTCTTTTCTATTTTACGTATTTTTATGGTTACTGAAATTCGTATAGTTGATTCAATTCACATCATTAAATTCATTAAGTGAAAGAAAAATCGTTGAGACCCTAAATTTGATTACTGTAAAAATAAGTTATATCATACTACGATCTTTTAGAAAATTGAGTTGTGATAATTTAACTCCTCTCCTTTCCAAGTAAAACAACGCATCCTTAAATTTAAATAAGATTAGCCTCTCTTTTAAAATATGTTTTAATTTTTTGTAAATATAACTAAATTTAGTTCTACTCTATTATAAATTTTTTTGGTTAGTTTTGATATCCAATTTTTTTTTTAATTTTACAAATAATTCTTGGTATTGAGTGACTATTCTGAGTGACATGTAATACGATATATTTAAATATATGTCACTTTATTAAAAATTAAAGTAGACAAAATATGTTATTGAACCTATTTAGATTGACATATGATGAGTGATAAACTTTAGTAGTGTAAATTTAATTTAAACTCGTAAAAATCATATTTAAAATAAGTTCGAGCTAATTTGGTTGAGGAGATCTATTTTGTTGACTCTTAATAAGTAATAATAAAAATAATTTATAAAAAAATTAAAATTAATAGCAAATCAAAAAATTAAATAGTAAAAAAATTAATCATATTTAAAGACAAAATATATTTTACTTAATACATATATATATATATATACACTTAATTAATTATAATTTTATTTTTAAAATTATCATTACATTTTTTAAAATATTATTTTCTCTTTTTTTTTTCCTGCTATTGTCATATTAAGATCTGAAAAAATAGAGTGAAGATATTTTATCTTCTCGTTTCTAAGCAACACAATCCAGCCTAGAATGTATTAGCCAAAGAGAAATGTATCATATAGTAATTTCTTAAACTTTGTGACAGGACAACTTTAATGTGAATTAAATGACGAGCAGTAGCTTGATTGAATGCATATAACGATATTTTTTGATGTCCCATTTGTACTATAGTACTACAAAAGCCATTGGTTACGAAATCAAATATTAATTTAAAACAAGATCGTGTTATTTTATAATTTTATGGTCTGGATTCTTGTCTTTTTATGTTTGGTTAAGCTATAGAAGTGGGAAGTGTATTTCCAATGTCTGACATAAACAATAAAAAGTAACTTGCGGGTTACGGTGACCTAAATCTGTGGACTTGAAAAGTTCCTAAGAAATTGAAAGATTAGACAGGAAACTAAATAAATATTTTTTTAAGGATGAATTTAAGAAATATGAAACAAAACCAAATAAAATACAAGACAAAAGTCCGATTATTTGGTAAAAGTGTAAAACTAACCTAGAAACAACTGCTTGTCTCATATACATCACCTGAAAGTTAAAAAAATTCAACAAATGGGACAAACCCCGGTTGACCCCAATAGAAAACAACTAACAAGCCTCATCGGCCTTGTACCCAGCGCAACCCCATGCATCCCGCTAAAATTGTAAAAATCAAATTTTTATTATTAAACTCAATTTTCAGTTTAATTTTAAAAACATATTTAATTCAAACTAAACCTGTGTATATGTAATTTTATATATATAAATAAAAGATATCTCATTGTTTATATATGTTTATAAAATTATATAGCTTACTAATTTTTTTATGTTTAGTCTCAAAATTTGTTATTAAATATCAATTTAAAGTTATTTTTATGTCACACTTTTTTATAAAATAAATGTTTTATATCTTCACCATTTTTAACTAAAATAAAATATAAAAAACCGATTTATCTAATTTAATGTAATTTTGCTTTTGATCAAATTATATCAATATGAATTTGATATTATATTTAAATGAATCTAAACCAGATCACAAACACCTCACGTTTTGTATTGATCACCAAACATCAAACAAAACAAAAAGCTACGTTACGCTATTTTTTTTTCTATTTATCTTGACCCCTAATGCGCATCAAATACACACTTGACACATTTTTAAGAGAAAATTCAAGGTACAGAAGTCGTGGCTATTCAAATAATTTCTCAACACCAAGATGAAATGTAATAAGATTGATGGTAAATGTACACGAGTTTGAAATCAGAACAAGCAATTTGCTCTCAAGATATCTACGACAAACTATATAAAACCTCAACAGAATAAAAGATCTAAAAAGAGAAGGCTGTGAAGAACTAAGATCCCAACAGTAACTGGTTTCAGCATTGTTCTCTTTCTACTCGAAATACAGGTACAACATGCCACCCATATAAAAAAATCTGGAAGGCAATGTAATGTGGTACCTTGGAGAAGTAACGTGTTGCTGAAAAGCAATAAAAGAATCATGCGAAGAATCAACAGTTACTACACATTTCACAACACTAGACCAGAGGTCAACAGATTTTCTCGCAACGATGGAAGTATTGTTAAACATGCCTAAGGAACAAAGGCCAATACTAGTTTCAAGAGTGCTGATATAGCTGATACAACAGTCCCACTTCTGCTGCCACTGGTGCGGTCTTCAACCGTATGTCACCAAGAGAATTTATTCTGGCTCGAAAAATGCTTCCAGTAGACATCTGCCTCACAAAACGAGTAAACCGATCCCAATTTCGGGATTCAAACAATCTTTTGTCCATCCTTACAAAGTTGAATGAGAAAGGGCGCCTCTCGATCCCATTTGAGTAAAAATTCGACATCTTCAGCACCTGGGTGAATGCACCATCATCCAAATTGGTTGAAAAATTTTGACCTTCAAGTGATATGTCACACAACCTAGCAGCCAGTAAAAGCTGTCTAAGAAAACCTTCAGGGCTACCATCTGGATTGATCTTCTTCATAACTGCATCTTCCATCTCAAAACAAGAGCAACACATTGAGAATCCATACTTGCTAAACATGCGAGCGATGGGTAAGTATCCATCCCTAATATAAGTATTATAGTAGCCCGCTGTTAACTCTGATGGATGGGATTGGATGGCAAAGTGCCAGTGAATGGCAGCTAATTTTGCAGATATACGGACTTCTGTACCCCTAAATATAGTTTCAGCTTCTCTGCAAATTCTTTCCCCATGCAGCAGCAGCATATCTGAATACCAATCAAGGAAAAATTTACCGTATGATGTGTTCCAAGAGCCACCATCATTTCTGAAAAAATCAGTACGCTCAGGATTTTGCATCAAACTTCCAGTACCAAATGGACCACCATTTCCCCATTCACGCTTTCCAATATTTCTTGCAGAGGCATTTAGAGAAGCAAGCATATACTGGCAGGTGGCAAACAAGAGAAGATGAAAATTAAACATAATACTAATCATTGAACACCATGAAATATGTAAATTGGTTATTGCAAGTCTCCCATAACACCACATACAAACTACTGGCTAAAGCTGAATACCTAACCTACCTTATCATAGCACTGAAACTCTCCAAGTTCAGGAGGCCAAGCCAAATTTGGCTTCTGGGAAGAGAATGAAGGATATCTTAGTTCACCACTGGGACCCATGCCAATCTGTACACCCTGCAAAAATAACAGTTACACAAATTATAATGAATATGTGATAATAACAGCTGGCAATTAGAATCTTCATTGGACTGTAACATCCCAAAATCATCATAGAACCTTACTGTAATGATAACACCAAGAGAAGGCCTGAAAGTGTCTCTAAAGTCCCTCATAAGATCTGCATATGCTTGAATAGGAGAGCGTCCCCGTAGAACAGGAAGACTATCACATCCAAGGGAAATGTATTCAGTATTTCTTCTTCCAAACCTGTCACAATATGCTAACTCTGGATCTCTATGTATCTCATCAAGCACCCATAGAGGAAGTGGTATCCTACACAAGGGGGACAAACTTCCAGAGTATGAGGCTTATGACTAGGAAACAATAGCTACCTACAAAAATAGTAATAATTCAAAATAAACCAAATTACTTAGCTCAAGATTACCCAGGTAAAATGTCCATACAATATTGAATAAAAAAATCACAGGCTAGAATTATCATTTTACCACACACTATTGCACTACATGGATCAACCAATGTCATTGAACTCTAAATACTACTGAAGAGTTTTATGTTGGTCTACCTAAAACAAACCTTCTCTTTTTGCATTATTTATTGAAAGTTGAAACCATGAACTTAGTAACCTACTTGATCTTTTTATTTATTTCAAAGTTGAAACCATGAACCTTCGAACCAAAGATACGTCAACCACAGGCCACAGAAGAGGTCCAACAATTGGCAATAAACGGCACCTAAATGAGCAACATATACTCGAACCGTGTTATAATCGAATTTAGCGGTGCAATAAAAACCTAATTAACACTTATATCACAAAGATTTGGGTCCAAGTGAATACAACTTCTTAACTAAGGCCCAAACTGAGTAATTTAACCAAAAACGAAAATTTCATGATAGCAAACGAAAATGGCAATTGAGGAAGCCAATTACCACATACCAGTTAGGATCATCAGGTCCGGTACCGTACTGATGAAAAGCAAGAACAGCACGAACCTTAAGGCCACACATACACGCCATCATGACGAGTTCTTTATACCCTCTCCAATCATAAACCCTAGGCTCATTCTTCTCAACCAACCCCCACCACATCTCAATAACCACACCTTCTACACCAGCCATAGCTAGCGCCCTGAGTGAAAACATCATCGCTTTAGGCCTTGTAACCAGGCCCTCTCGGCTAACCGAATTCACCGGCAGCGTCACAAACACTGGTGATCCACGCCTCCGCCGCTGCAGCGAAAAATCGTGGTGGAGCTCATAGGCAACGTCCCCGTTGTCCGGCGAGACAGAACCGCCGGCATCGGAGGATTTGGACGAGTTGAGACGGGACAACACTGGGAGACGAGTTGAAGAGCGAGTTTGGTTTCTTCGGAAGGTGACGCAGCAGGGGAAACGAGTGAAGCCAGTAAAATCGTTCCGAGTAGAGATGAAGGAAAGCGAGAAAGTAACGGTTGATTGACATAGGATGGCCATGAATTGGGTGTTGCAGAGTTATTAGGGTTTGAAAGAGAAGAGTGTGTGAGTGTGGTCACATAGAGAGTGAGCACAGTGAGGTGAAGAATGCATACTACACTGTACTTCGCCCAGGTTGTGGAGGAGAGATTATATACCATTTTTCACTTTTTCTTTTTCACAAATTGGCTTTCTTCTTGTTCTTCCTGCTTGGAATAAATAAATAAAGAATAATCCTTTTACTCATTTTATATTATTTTTTACTCCTTTAAAGACTTTTTTTTCTTGGTTTTTCTTTTTAAAAATTAGGCAAGTTGTCATTACAGGGCATGGTTTTTTTTAATACAATATTTATAATAATAAGATTTCAAACTTAAAACCTCATAAAAAAAAAGAAAAAATAATTTAAAATGAATATAATATAAATTAAGATAATATACTTATAAAGTATAAAAGAAAAATATACATTTAATATAAAAAGAGAATATATGTTTAAAGTTCAATAACTAAATAAGGTTACTTCAAAGGTTTATAAATTTTTCATATCTATAGAAAAAAAATTTTCTTTGATTCCTATAAAAAGATTATAAATAAATTTTTTAAAAACTTTTCAAATAAGATTATTTTTTTACTGTTAAGCTCCATTTATTAAAAAAAATAAAATAGTCTTTATTTCTATTTTTTTATTTTCTATTTATAACATCTTTTTTTAATTTTACTCTCTGAACATAACAATATTTTTATTATAAGAGTTAAAATAAAAAAATTGTATTATAATATAAGAACCACAATAATATATATATATATATATATAAAAGATTAAACATATCTTATAAAATACCATTGTTATATAGTGTCCCTTAATAATTAAAATATTTTTTTTAAAATGATTAAAGACCTGTTGATAAACGGTTTTCATAAGAATCAAATAAAAAATTAATTTTATGCAAAGATAAAAAAATTATTTTTAAACTTATTTTAGATTGTGTATTAAAATACTTTTATTCAACTAAGCAGAGTTAGTCAAAGTCTATACATATTTTATTCTCGTATTATTATTATTATTTCTATTAAGTAAAATCATACAATTTCATTGAACAGTAGAAAATTATTTTTTATTAATTTTAATTTATAAAACTTACAACCAATTAGAGTAAGTAATTTAATTTGTCTATTTTTCATCAGTCATTATTTGATATAAATTGTGCATTTCTTCTTACAGGTTGGACACAACTTTCAACCGCTGTTAATCTTGGGATTAAACACTATGGCCATTGCAAACCAAGAATGACAATTATCACCAAACAACAAATGTTTACACAAGAAACCATATCTTAGAATTCACACATAACTGTCTTTTATTTAACCCTGCAAGTAACGTTGAATCTCTTGCTTAATAAAAAAAAAAAAAAGAATTACCAAATCCTCCTAAAATGTTCTTAGTAATATAGGTCATTTAAACTAATAAATGATGCTGAATAAGACTCGAACATTTTTTTTACTGTAGACAACAATGTACTACAAAATTAATACACCACCATGAGATAAGGAGCTTAGTCATAGCAAACTACTTGCCCAATGTTTTGCATAGAGGTTTGTGTGTTATGCTTCTCTATTGTTTGTTTGTGACTATCGATAATTTCTAAATTTACAAAATTTATTTAATTCATGTTTTTTTAAAATCAAACTTACAATTTATAATTAAATACTTTTTTATTTAATCATATTCAATTATTTGCACAACAATACAAGAGAACCATTATTACAATTACAAAAAATTTTATACCAATTTATGTTTTCCTTGTAACTTGTTTTTCTTACCCCCAAACATCCAAATTCGCGTAAAGGAGACATTGTACAGGGCAAAATTAACATATCTAAAATGATATTCTTTTGTCTCAAAGAGTTTCTTTTAAATTTGATAATAAAAATGTGTTAGAGTTTTGCAATTTCTTTTAAACTTTAAAAAAGAAAGAATTCAAATAGTTAATCTTAACAATTGAAAGGTTGATGCAATGTCAACAATTTGAAACAAAATTAAAAGTAATTTGTCTACAAATGTATTCAAATTAAGCCTCATTAATTATGCATTTTTGACTAATTGAGAAGAGACTATTAAAAATAATTAAAATAATAAATAAGAAAGAAAATACATATTTTATTAATTTTTAATTAATTAAAATTACATAATTATCGAAACTTTACACGTACAATCTTGCACAAAATAAATAAATCAAATTAAAAATAGCAACTAAATATAAATAAAGAAAAAGAAAAATATGGAAAACATAAATGAAACATTTTTGCCAAAACTTTATTGTTGCTTATCTATTATCAACAAACCATTTCTCACTTATTACATAAAGAAAATACAAAACTATATATAAACAACCCCAAAAAAATATGAAACAAAAAAACAACAAAAAACACAAGCAGCTAAAATTACAGGGGGTATTCCGAATAGGCAATGGCTTTGTTGCTTATCAATTATCAACCAATCATTTCTAGCTTGTTTGATAAAATAAAACCATCAAAGTAAAATAATACAGGCAGCAAAAATTAAAGGGTGTAATTTGAGAATAATTGAGTTTAGAGTGCTTCACAGGACACCGACCCGGAGGCTGCCCCAATGCTGACACTCATCTAATAATGCATAAATGTATATTTCAAGACATTTGAACTTCCGTAAAAAAAAAACGTAGAAGCACGATTAATACACCCCAATAAATGGTGTGCACTATACAGTCTTATTAACCAAAAAAAAAAAATTAAAACAGGCTCATACTCGGGTCTGATCATGCAAACATGAATGATATATTTTCATGACATCCATACTTCGTTAAAAATGCAAAGGCACACTTAATTAATACATCCCCATGGCTCGTTAATCATAGATGCACCATTTGAAGATATATGTATTCGTGATCAGAAAAATAATTCAATAATAAAAATTTTGATGCAAGAGACAAAAAATTATTTGAGTAATTTCAAGGAACGACTAAAATATGTTGTGCATTACCTATTCCAAACACATGGATGGACTAAGATGATTGTTTCACTCTACAGCCAATAGTAAAAGGTAAAAAAGAAAAGGACATAATATCTGGACCACCAAAACATTCAAATAACTCATGCAAACCCAACAGAGACGGTATTGGCAGATATCATGGGATATCTCCTTCCTTGCTCCTCCCCCATTTCACCCTATTTCTCCTGTACGTAAAAACCGCATCTTTTCTGCCAAGTTAGCAGGAAGATTGGTCATCACCCACCGACTTCCTCCATAGCAATGCAGAACAATAAATTTAAAAAAATAAAAATGAAAACGCAGACTCCTTGTTGCTGACATGAAATGCAGACAGTCAAAGGACCGAAACACCTGTGCCCAAAAATGGTGATGACCCGACTCCGACTCATGGTATGCAGTTGAGACCCCCACGCAACAAATGCAGATATGTATGCAAGAACTAGAACCCATGAAATAGCAATAGCCTCAAAATGAAATTGCTCGACTGATTGCCAACTTGGCCCATTCGGCAGATTCCTTAATCAAATGATCATCAGATGATAAACACTCTTTGAGGAAGTCTTTGCTGGACACAGATTGCTGAATCAAGGGGCCAGCATTACTACCCAAAGTATCGGCTAAATCTCCAAGCACACCAATTGCTGTCTTAGTCACAACATCATCCCTAAAAGGACAAGAGATAGCAACAAATTTAAAAATAATAATATAATTTTTAGAAGTAAAACTAACAGGCAGACAGAATCAAAATACAAAGAATTTTACTTACATGTCCTTCTCCATGTACAAACTATCCAAGAAATGCAGCACATGAGGAGCATAAGGCATCAGAAGCTGGGTCTTTGGGGAACCTTTAAACCCTTGGAAGATACCTGAGTATGCCTCTAGGATTCCATTTCTCAAAGAATTTGTGTACTCTGTCATATCGTCATCAGCACCAGATGTATGAGCAGAGAGCTCAGCAGCACTCTGAAGCATAGGCATTGCATATAACAAGTACTTTTCAAAGTTTTCTCCGATCGCCAAGGCAATGTCACCAAAACATGAAAAAATAGGAGGCTTCACAGACCTATGCAACTGATTGCTGGATAAATCCTTAAGAAGTTGGGTCATTATCCCATCACAGTAGGGTAGTACTTTCTCCTCCAAGGCTCTGCATACATCACCAACCACTCCCACTGTGATAGCACAAACCTGGTAGTCCTCAAAATTTTGGAGACCCATCTCCAAATACTTGTAAAATTCTGTCATGTATTTAGCAAAATCAGGGCCACTTGCATAGGCCAAAGCTCCAATGGCAAGCATAGCCTCTTCATGAGCTGTTGCACTTCGAGAAGCAAACACTCTTAAAAACAATCCCATAATTTGGTCAGCATACTGCATGAAATGATATTTTGTTGGTTCAGATGATCCTAACTTCTGTATGATAACCTGCAAGCAACCACATAGAAGGCCTTGTAACTCATTTTGCCTCTCGTCAGATGAGACCTTCTGGCTCTCAAGTGTCTGATGAAGCTCCAACATGATGAGAGGTACAAGTTGTACAACCATTGGAGCTGTTTCATCATTAGAACACCTAACTACTTCATTTAAGGCTTCATAGGCTGCTGTTCTAAGGCGAGATTCTCCAGCATCCTCTCTATGGGTTACAGTGAGGAGAGCATGCACAATTTCTTGGAAGAAAGGGGTCAGCGGTGAAGACGCTGATCCAGCATCCTCGTAACCTTGGGCAAGAAAATAAAGAGCACCACATGCCTTCTCAGCAACATTTGGCACATCTTTCATGCTCTGAAGCAACACAGTAATAATTTGCTGGCAGTTTGCTGGAGTGATGATGGGAGTATCCAAAGCTGATCCATGCAAAAACTCAAACATTCTTCCAAGTGTCCATGCAGTAGTGTCCTTCACATGATTATTTGGATCTTTCATCAGTGCACTGAGCATGAAGTTCAAAGCCATATTCACAAGTGGCACAAGTTTATCAGGGGATGGACCTTCTAGAATGGAGCCAAAAGCATAAGTTGCAGCTTCCCTTTGCCTCCAATCTGGTTTGGTTATGTTCTCTTCAATAAATGGCATAACCAAAGGCACAATATCAT